CTTGGGACCCTGAACCCACATGGGAGACCTGAAGAAGCTCCTGGTTCCTGGCTTTGGAACAGCTCATCTCTGGTCATTGGGGCTACTTGGGGTGTGTGCCAGCAGCTAGATCTTTCTGTCTCTCCTCTCTGTATATCTGCCTTTCCAATAAGTAAACAGATAAATAAATTAAATAAATAAATAAATCTTTATAATATACATATATATAAATTTAAAAGAAGAAAACAAGACAGTACTTGGGTACTGGCTTCGTGGCACAGCAGATTAACTTGCCCCTTAAAGCCCTCTGATCCCACACTGGAGGCAGAGCCCTGGATAGAGGCCCAGCTACTCCACTTCTAAGGCAGAGCTTTTCCCAAAGGTTTATTTCTTATTTGTGCTGAAAGTCAGAGTTATAGAGAGAGAGGGAGGGAAAGAGAAAGAAGTCTTCCATCCTTTGATTCACTCTCCCAATGGTCCCAACAGCTAGAGCTGAGTCTGTAGGAAGCCAAGAGCCAGGAGCTTCTTCCCTTATATTCCTAACCTACTTAAGGGTTTTAACAATTTTGTGGGTTTTTTGCAGTTATATTTTTCTGCTTGAGTCAGCTGATGTGATGAAGCAGCTCTGCATACTAGAATAAATGTTGCTTAGATGTCATGTAGGTTTTTTGTTGTACTTTATTGGATTAATTTCCAAAGAGCTTCTTGAGGATTTCTCTGTGTGTCATGAAACAGTGATATGTTTTTTTTTTTTTTCCCGGCTATGTATCTACGTTTATATCAACGTTATGTCGTCCTCCCAGATTGACTTAGGAAGTATTTCTCTGCTTGCATTTTGTGGAGCCGACAGGCATCCCCAACTCCATGAACGCGTGGTAGAATTCACTTAGTGAAATAATCCTGGGAGGAGGCGGGGCGGTTACACAACATGGTAGTGTAGGTTAAGCTGATACTTGGATGCTGGCATCCCATATGGACATGGGCTCAAATCCTAGATGCTTTGTTTCGCATCCAGCTTCCTGCTAATTTGCCTGGGAAGGCAGAGACTAGCCCAGGAACTTGGATCCCTGTCACCATGTTGGACTCCCAAATGGAGTTCCTGGCCCCTGGTTTTAGACTGATTCAGCCCTGGCTCTTGGGACCACTTGGACACTGTAATTCTATCTTTTAAATAAATAAAAAAAATCATGAAAAAAGGAAAAAATTGTCTAGGACCAATGTTTTATCTAGAAGCTTATTATTTAATGAATTATTTTATAAAAGGCTTGTGTGTAGTAGTTCTTTCTCCTTGCATGTTTGTTAACTGTCTCTCACAGATTCGGTTTATTTCATCTTTCACCTAATTTATGAAATCTATGAACAGTTCACAATGTCTCTTTATTATCCTTTTCTTGTTCATGAAATCAGAAGGGATGGCACTTTTCACTTCTGGTATTTTCTTCTTCGAGTGGTAAGAAATTTGCTAATTTTATTTTTACTCAATTTCACTTTGGTTTCTTCAAATTCCTCTGCTGCTTTCCTGTTTTCAGCTAATTGATTTCCTCGATCATTTCATCTTTTGATTCTGAATTTTTCCTAATTTCCTATGATGAATGCTTCCTGATTTCAAATTTCTCATGCTTTCCAACATATGCATCCAACACAATAGCTATCAAAGTCTGCGAGGTTGCTTTTGATTTTCATTTGCTTCATAATATATTTTTCCATTGAGACTTCTCTGACCCATGTGCTTACAATTTATTGTTGAACTTCCTAACAAACTGAGATTTTCCAGGTACCTCGTTGATATCTAGTTTACTTCCATTATAGTTTCAGAATTACTTCTAATGGTCTATTTAAAAAAAAAAAAAAACTCTGTAAATGATTTCTCTACAATTATGCCCCTCATAATACCTCTCTCTTTTTTTTTTTTGCCCTGACGTTAGCTTTGTAATGAACTTAATATAGCTATTCCAGTTTCTTTTAGCTGATGTTAGCATAATGTTTTAGTCGGCCTGGGCTGTCATACCACGAAGTGGGGACTGAAGCAAACGATTATTCCCTCCGATTCTGAAGGCTGGAGGTCTGACATTTTCATGCTAACACAGTCTTGTTGTTGTTTTTAAAAACTTGTTTGTTTGTTGGAAAGGCAGGTTTTACACAGAGGAGATATAGAGAGAAAGATTTTTCCATCTGCTGGATCATTCCCCGTGTGTGCAACATGAGGATTTAACCACTGGGCCATTATGCTGGGTGTGTTATTTTTGCTGAGGTTTTTCTTCCTTCTTGGTGTGTCTTCACATGGAAGAGATGAAATACTATGGTGTCTCTTTAGGGCACTGAGTTGCCCTGTCCTGTCTTATCTAATCCTAATTTCCTTCCAAACACTTCAATCCCAAATACCAGCACCCTCGGTAGTTTTTTGTTTTGTTTTGTTTTTCCTTATTTTTATTTAAAAGGCAGATTTACAGAGAGAAAGACCTTTCATCTGCTGGTTCACTCCTCAAATGGCAGCAATGGCCAGAGCTGAGCCAATCCAAAGCCAGGAGACAGACTTTTTCTGGGTTTCCCATGTAGGTACTGGGTCCCAAAGCATTAGGCCAGCTCTACTGCTTTTTCAAGCCACTAGCAGGGAGCTGGATGGGAAATGAAGCAGCCAGGACACGAAAGGGAACCATATGGCATCCTGGCACTTGAAAGTGGAGGTTGAACCAACACACCAGCCCCCAACACTGGATTTCAAGGCATCACTATGAATTTTGAGGAGACACTGAATCCATAACATGACATACATTTCTTCATTCCTTTACTTTTAATCAATCTGCATCTTTTTATATATAAAGCAGGTTTCTTATATAAAGTATAACTGAGAGGTGGGTATTGCAAAATAGCAGGTTAACCAGCATTTGGGGAAGGCTGCAGATATTGGAGTGCCTGGTTCATGTCTTGGTTCTTTTATTTTTTTAATTTTTATTTTTCAAACTATACTTCCATAGGTTTCACCCTCTTTATGCTCCCCGCTTAACTGTTTTCACTCATATTATTACTATAGTCCTTCAGCAACAGTCACAAGTCCATCATTTTGCCACTTAAATGTATCATAACATTGTAGGTATAGACAATGGTAGACAGTCCAGCATCCTACTGTCAAGATATATTGAACAGTTTCATTGAGAGCCCATCTTTTATTTAGGAGTAGAGGTGCATACTGCAATATATCTTCTTGGTTTATCTCTTCCAAAACTGACACACCATCCTGCTAAGGTATTGTGTGAGACAAAAGGTGTCGGTCCAAGTGCTTTGGTTCCTGCCATCCACATGGGAGTTTCAGTCAGGGTCCTGGCACTGGGCTTTGGTGTGAGCCAGCCCCACTCACGTTAATATACATAACTGAATTCTTTTCATCTACTTTCATGGTATCTGTATATTTAGGTTACTCATATTTAAACACACTGGCACAGATGAGTAACTATCATATTTACTAATGTTTTCTATTCATTGTCCTTGTTCTTCCATTTATTTATATTTTTTTCTCCTGACTCTCCAGGAGTTAACAGAATGGTGATAGTTACACCATGATGGAATAGGTACTGTAATTGTTATAAGATTTATTTCCCTGGAAAGTACATTCTGCACACACAAGATGGTACAACAAAATAATCACTATGTATCATGAAAGATAACAGCATTTATCAAATAGTGTTAACTAGCAGAAAGGAGACCTAGATAGGAAACGTGGTCAGAGCGAACTTTAGCTTTGTCTAAAATATATCTATTCATTTTTTATATGACTGAAAATCAGGCTTTTCACCAAGCTAGTGTCCAAGTCAAAGGAAAGCTCCAGATCCTCCCAAAGTTAGAGCCTGAGCAAAGCTATGAAGGCCAGAGCCAGGGCACCTGTGTTCCGGTGGCCAAACCACGGTGACTCCGCAGCCCCAATGCCTTTAGAAGAGCATCCCCAGGAGAAACGAGCCTGACCACTGAGCCACAAAGAGGAAAGACACTGGGGCCTGGTGGCGTGGCTTAACGGCTAAAGTCCTCGCCTTGAACGCCCGGGATCCCATATGATCACCGGTTCTAATCCTGGCAGCCCCACTTCCCATCCAGCTCCCGGCTTGTGGCCTGGGAAAGCAGCTGAAGAGGGCCCAAAGCCTTGGGACCCTGCACCCATGTGGGAGACCTGGAAGAAGTTCCTGGATCCTGGTTTTGGATCGGCATAGTATCGGCCGTTGCGCTCACTTGGGGAGTGAAACATCGGACAGAAGATCTTCATCTCTCTGTATATCTGACTTTCCAATAAATAAATAAATCTTTAGAAAAAAAAAAAAAGAGGACAGACACCAACACATTCAACTTCACTGTGGATGTCCAGACCAATGAGCACCAAACAGGCCATCACTGATGTCATAGACTGATCCAACCATGATCAAGAAAAGCTGACATAATTGGATTGGATCCTCCTTATGATGCTTTGGATGACACCAATAAAATTGGGATCATCTAAAGTGAGTCCTGGGCCCGGTACAGTAGCCTAGCCAGTAAAGTCCTCGCCTTGCATGCGCTAAGATCCAATATGGGCACCGGTTCTAATCCCAGCAGCTCCACTTCCCATCCAGCTCCCTGCTTGTGGCCTGGGAAGGCAGTCAAGGATGGCCCAAAACCGTGGGACCCTGCACCTGTGTGGTAGGCCCAAAAGAAGCTCCTGGCTCCTGGCTTCGCATTGGCTAAGCTACAGCCATTGTGGCTGCTTGGGGAGTGAACCATCGGATGGAAGATCTTCCTGTCTGTCTCTCCTCCTCTCTGTATATCTGCATTTCCAATAAAAATAAATACATCTTTAAAAAAAAAAAAAGATGCATGTCATCCTGAATGACTACCATATAACATTTTTGTTGCTGCTTTTGCTATATCTTGATTAACTTTTAAGAAAAAGTCTTTTCTATTTTAAAAAACATTCCACATAATGAACAGATGGAGATAATTAGACTTTTATTTACAGAAAATTAACAAAAATGCTACAAACATTATTGGTAATAATGAGCAGAATCAAGAGCAGATTAATCATGTCATTTGGCATACTACATATTAAAATGCATTTTTTAGGCAATCTTCACCCATTAGCTCTTTTTATCACAATTTTTAGCCAATCTAGAAATATGGTAGTAGACATGAAACCAATTTGATAAACTCTTAAAAGTATGCAGTCTTCTATGGATAATACTTCGACTTAGAAACCATCTGCAAATTGAATCACCTTTGCATTACACCTGCCAAATATAAAGGAGCTAAGTACCAGGTGGAACTCAAAATACACAGATACATAAATTTTAAAAGAAAAGTATTAGCAATATCATAAATTAACAAAGAATTTCCCAAAGAATATTGCATGATGTAAGGTACATTAAATGTTGTATGAGTCTGGAATATTTCATTTGCATTTTTGCCCATACAGTTTAAGATATCAAATTACTTAGAAAGGCCCACTTAGCAACAAATAATGGGTGGTGACATGCATCATTTAAGGATAAAAGGAAGATGGACTACGTGTTGTCATTTGCAAATAATGTTCTTTGTACCATGTTTCTAATATCCTTGAATGACAGGACTCTTTACTGTGTGAAAGAGGCCATTCGATTACTGATGGAAGGCTTCCAATCGTATTTGAGTTGGATCTTCTGGATGTCTCAAGGCAATTCCATTACGCAGCAGCAGTTCAATATAAGGAGGCCAAAAGGAATCAGTAATTTTGACATATGGATTATGTGGAGCATCAAATAACCTATTTATAAGAGTCTAGAAAAAATAATGATTAAAATATAGCTTGTTACAACTACAATAAAACAGAAAATTTTTCCACAAAAAAATTGATTTCTCCTTGAACAACTGTCTATGTCATAATTTTTATTTACTAACATAAGTAACTGACTTTATGTTCATGTGAATGGAAAAAGCTTAAAATGAAGGCCTGCAGCTTATTTTGAAAACATTTCCTAAAAATTGGCTAGCAAACATTTACAAGTCTTTCACTTCAGATTAGAACTTTCTTATAGTAAAAATGGAAACTTCAAAAAAATTAACATACAACAAAATATACTCGAAATTCAAAAGAAGTCAAATCTGCTATAATGTCTGGGGGCCAGAGCATCAGTTTTGCCTTTTCCAAAAACACCTGTTCTTCTACAAATCTTAAAACAAAGGGGGTCGGGCCCGGCGCGGTGGCGCAAGTGGTTAAGTCCTCGCCTTGCACGCCCGGGATCCCATATGGGCGCTGGTTCTAATCCCGGCAGCCCCGCTTCCCTTCCAGCTCCCTGCCTGTGGCCTGGGAAAGCAGCCGAGGACGGCCCAAAGCTTTGGGAACCTGCACCCGCGTGGGAGACCCGGAAGAGGCTCCTGGCTTCGGATCGGCATAGTATCGACCCGTTGCACTCACTTGGGGAGTGAATCATCGGATGGAAGATCTTCCTCTCTGTATCTCCTCTCTGTATATCCACCTTTCCAATAAAAAATAGAAAAAAAAAAAAACAAAAAACAAAAAAAAACAAAGGGGGTGGGGGCTGGCATCCCGTATGGGTGCTGCCTCCAGTCCTGTCTGCTTGTGATTCAGCTCCATGGATTCCCAATACACCCAGAAAAGGAGAAGGTGACAGTCCAACTGCCCATGTAAGATCTGGACGCAGCTCTGGGCTTGTGCTTTGAGCCTGGCCCCGCTCTGGCCACTGTGTGCACGTGGGGAGAGAAACAGCAGAAGGGAGATCTCTCTATGTGTCTTTCCTCCTCTGTCTGTAACTCTAACTTTCATATAAATACATAAATCTTATTTTAGGGGCCAGAGCCATGACTTGGTAGGCTAAGCTTCCACTTGTGTTGTCATTATCCCACACGGATTCCAGTTTGAGTCCAAGCTGCTCCACTTCCTATCCAATTCCCTGCATATGGCTTACAAAAGAACAGAGAATGGCTCAAGCCCTTGGGCCCCTGCAGCCACATGGGAGGCCTGGAGGAAGCTCCGGGCTTCTGCTTTCAGACTGGCCCAGCTGCAGCCTTTGCAGCTATTTGGGGAGTGACCAGGTGAATGGAAGTTGTTTCTTTCTCTCGCTCCTCTCTCTCTCCCCTTCTCTCTGTAATTCTGCCTTTCAAGTAAAAACAAAACAAAATCTTAAATATATTTGTTTTTTAAAATCTTCAAAACAATTTCATCATCACGACTTATTTATTAATCTTTATATATCTGAAAGGCAAAGCAACAGAGGAGGGAAAGAAGAGCAAGAGAGGAAGGCAGGGAAAGGAAGAGAAGGGAAAGGAAGGGAAGGAAGAACGGAGATTAACTCCCCAACGGCTGCAGCAGTGGGACTGGGCCTGCCTCACCAGGTCTCCCAGATGGGTGGCAGGGACCAGACTCTGCTGTCTTCCAGGCACATGAGCAACAAGCTGGACTGGAAGTGGAGCCAAGCCCAAAACGAGGCTCTCTGCAATGGGATGCAGGTTAACTTGTTGTACTATATCCATCCAAACATTTTCATTTCTTAAAAAAAAAAACCACACATTTATTTGACAGATTTATGGATAAAGAGGCGTTACATCTGTTGGTTCATTTGCCAAATGGCTACAATACCAAAGCTGGACCAGGTGGACGCCAGAAACCAAGAACTGCACCAAGGTCTCCCACATGGGTGGCAGAGACCCAAGTATCTGGGCCATAATCCATGGTCTTACCAGCCACATCCACAGGGAGCTGGATTAGAAGCAGAGCAGAATACAGGATGCTGGTATTGCACGTGTCAGCTGAGCTCACTGTGCCACCCACTCGCCCTCTTTAATTTCCTAATCATGAATACTGAGGGGTTATGGTCATAAACTGAAAATAGTTCAATACCTTTTGTAATTAATCTGAGTTATATTGGTTAGTATTCCCCCAAATTATATTCTAAGAAATTGATCTACAAAACATGGTTCTTAGTACTTGCAAAATAAAGTAATCTACTAAGTATAGGAAAGGTTGTTAATGTCAACTGAGAATCATCTGTTTATTCAAAATCCAATGACATTAGGACCATTTTGTCAAGAAACAGGTATTCACCAATTCTTCAAATACTAATGTTCTATAAAACAGTGAAATTTTTTCTTATTTTCCCAGCTACTATCTGATGGTTCCACAGAATTGTATCGTCAAAAATATGAAATTATAAATTTATTTTTTTAAAAAAATCAGAATCCACAAGAGTTAAGGGAATCCTTAGTGGCAAATTATGGATTAGACTATGTCTGAATTTCCAAGCTTTAGCTTTAACTGAAAGATGCTGGTATTTTAAGCAACACAAAAAAGACACAATTTATGCAAAGTACTACTGAAATAAGCAAAATTAACATACCAAGCTCTAATTACAATCATACTTCATAATACTGATAGCACAATTCTTTCCTGAAAAGATTTATTTGCTTCTCTGTTTTAATGGTAGGGTAGTGGAAAGAGAAGGAGAAGGAGGGAGGAGTAGGGTTTACTACTCAAATGGCCACACCTGACAGGTCTAGCACAGGCCAAAGCCAGGAGCCCGAAACCTAAATCCGAGTCATCCAGACAGGAGCAGGGACCGTTGCTACCGCTTTCCCAGGCTTACTAGCAGGGAGCTGGATCGGAAGCAGAGCAGTCAGGGTCTCCAACCAGCACTCTGATAAGGAATGCACTCCAAGTGCAGCTTAACGCACTGCACCACATGCCAGCCCAGCATCATAATTCATGATAAAATATCACCAGAGAAAAAAAGCCTTTGATCTTTTTCTTAGAATAAAGAATTAAACATATTTATATCTTAAGATGATTATTTACTTTAGTACAACTTAAAATCTTTCTTTTCATTTCTAAATTTAATCGTATTAACCAAAATTCTTATAGATGCCAGAATTTGCAGTTAGTGACTTTCAGTATTTGTCAAATAATAATTTTAGTTAAAAATTGTCATGAGAAAAAGCTTTATTCTATATAAACACAAATATCTAAGAAATATCTAAGAAATTATAGTTACAGATCTAAGAAATATCTGTATTTTTCTTTACACAGCAAAAATATTTTGTATTTAGATATTCTGACACACAAAAATTTGTCAGCTGGACAGAAAAGAAAACTTTGGCTACCAATTTAATAAATTATAATGAAACATGTTTTCCCTACGTTGTTCTCTTCTCAATTTACCAACAATTTTTAAACACATGCATTAATTTCATTTTCCTCTTTGGACAATTTGTTATAAATTAACATCATCAAGATTTTCTAAAGTATTTAATGGTAACATCTTACAATCTGATTGAAGTTCAAATGATTTTTAAAGACAAAGATTTACAGCCCAAAGTTCATGTCAGACAGAAATAGCTGACATGACTCAATTTTGATAAGCAACTGATATCACTTAGAGAAATTCTGTACCAATATTTTTCATTTTGCGGAAAGATTATTAGCTCATACATTTCAGAGCACAAAACTGCTAAGTAACGATTCCGCCAATACAACTATACAAATATTAAACAGCAGCATGAAAAATATCGTAAGTATTTCTTATTTCAATAAATCTTACGGAGATTAAGGTGACACTTTAATTTCACATTCATTCCACACTTTAATTGCATTCATTCTGAAGAAGACAGAGACTAAATCTGAACAAAAATTATTATAAGTATTTTTACTAAGCATTGGCACAGATTTGTTTTACCAGTCTGTTAACTGTTCAAAAATGACTGAGGCAGATTCAAGGCAAAACAAACGAAAGGAAAAACTTACCTCTAATATTTCATGCAATGTTATCAGTTGTGCAGTTGATTCTTTAACATTTCTCTTTAAAAAAAAATAAATGAACATTTCAACTCAACTAATGGCAGACTATTAGGCCAAACTGTAAGATTTTTAACATTAATATATATTTTTTAAAAGATTGATTTATTTTTATTGGAAAGTCAGATTTACAGAGAGGAGGAGCGACAGAAAAATCTTCCGTTCACTGATTCACTCCCCAAGTGGCTGCAACAGCTGGAGCTGGGTTGATCTGAAACCAGAAGCCTCTTTCAAGTCTCCCACAGGGGTGCAGGGTCCCAAGGCTTTGGGTCGCCTTCAACTGCTTTCCTACACCACAAGCAGGGAGCTGGATGGGAAGTGGGGCTGCCAGGACACAAACCAGTGCCCATTTGGGATCCTGGCGCATGCAAGTCGAGGACTTTAGCCACTAGGCCGCCATACCAGCCCCCAACATTAATATTTCTTAATTTCAATTCTATAAACTAACTTTCACTAATAAAGTGATTTAAGAAGAATTGTGAGCCAGCACACTGGCTCAATAGGTGATCCCTGTCTCAAAGTACCACCCAGCATCCCATATGGGCACTGGCTCCTGAACCTGCTGCTCCATTTCTCATCCAGCTGCCTACTAATGGCCTGAGAAAGCAGAGGAAAATGGCCCAAAGCCTTGGGATTCTGCACCCCCATGGGAGACCTGGAAGAAGTCCCTAGCTTCTCATCAGCTCTTCTCTGACCATTCCAGCCATTTGAGATAAGGAACTGGTAGATGGGAATCTCTCTCGCCCTCTTGTCTCCCACCCTTCTCTGTAAATCTGTCTTTCCAATTAGAAAAAACAAATCTTAAAAAAAAAAAATTAACCCAGTCTTCCACATGGCCTGGGTGTCATACAACCACCAAAGTGAAAGGAATTTGGGGCCTTCTTCCTTGGGGCTGATGTCAACAGAAGACTGTAACTTCAAAAATCAGTAAGAAGAATAAAACAGAAAGAATGGAAGAGAGTGTCAGAAACACAAAGCCTAGAGGAAATCACAAAAAAGGAAAACAAATAACTTACTGCAAGGAAAAATCAGAACCTTTTCTCCTTTTCCTAAAATACTCGAATTCATTCAAATAAATGTGAGCTTAGGAAAGGGCCAATAGGCTGATATTCAAGACCAGAGTCTCATACAGAAGGCAGACGTTCACCTCCTGCCTCCAGCTCCTGCTTCCAGCTTCCTGCTGGGATCACTCCGTGAGGCAGTGATGACAGTTTAGGTAGCTGGGTCCCCGGGGCCTGTGCAAGCTGCTGGCTCAGCTGGGACGAAGCCAGCAGGCGCAGGGCAGACGGGAGTTCACCTGCTCATCTCCCTGTCTGTAACTCTGCCTTCCAAAGAAATCCTTTTTTTTAAAGAAACAAACTTGGGGATAGTATAGAAGACACACAGGTATAAGAAATACAAAGGTGAATTAAACATTTCAAGTAGCTCAGAGTGTATGGTGAGGGAGGGAGATACAATCGAAAATTATGAAATCATTTCATGTAAGGTAACAAAGTCCCCCAAAGTTCACAATCCTTCATACAAAAGATGTCTGAGCTCTTAATATAGAAATTTGCTACCTTGCCAAAATAGGAAGCGTTTCTAGGCAAAAAACAAAACAAAACAAAAAAATATATATTTGCATATCTATATATAAATATCTATATCTCTATATATTTTTTGGCATCACCAGAGTTTGGTTGAATAAATTCATGACAGAAATGGATGAAGTACAAAGGAGATTAGGTTGAGGACAAAGTCCAGAGCACAAATTCATTATTTTAAGGTGTCTACAGATTCCATCTTTCAGAGAACCACAAAAGGTTTTAATGACAAAAAGTGATTAAACCATACCCATGTCTTAGAGATGGTGTAGGTGTCAGTTTCAAAATGAATTTCAACGTCACACGTTTTATTTACTTAAATAGCTTGTATTTTAAGAAAAATGACTAAAGAGGTTGTTCAGAACCTTTTTGCCAAAAAAATGATAGCTCTTTATTTTTCTCAAAAATGTTCATTTCACCGTACCTACTATGCAGTGATTAACAATAAAATAACAAAATTTAAAGAATATTCTGGTCTAAAAAGTTATACCTATTAATCATGAGAAATTCAGAAAATAACAAAAAGGAAAAATGAATTTCACCTACAAGCCCAGGACTCAAATAACAAGTAGTGATCCATCTTTTCATAAACATTCGATTCCAGGGTTGACTGCCCTGCTGTAGCAAGTAAGCCTCTGCCTGAGGAACAGGTACCCCATATGGGCAGCAGTCCAGGTCCCAGCTGCTCCACTTCCAGCCCAGCTCCTTGCTATGATCTGGGAGACAGGCTCAGCTCTGGCCATTGTGGCCATTTGGGGAATTGAACCAGCGGGTGAAAGAGTTCTCTGTTTCTCCTTCCCTCAATAACTCTGCAATTGAAATTAAAACAAATCTTTTAAAAAAATTAGATTCTACAACATAGTGATCTGTGCTTTATTCATTTAACAGCAAATTGTATTTTATTAAGTGCTTTTATATTGTTCAAGAATTTTTTTTTTAAGATTTATTTATTTTTATTGGAAAGCCAGATATACGAAGAGAGACAGAGAGGAAGATCTTCCCTCCACTGATTCACTCCCTAAGTGGCTGCAATGGCTGGAGCTGAGCCAATCCAAAGCCAGGAGCCAGGAGCTCTTCTGGGTCTCCAACGCGGGTGCAGGGTCCCAAGGCTTTGGGCCATTCTCGACTGCTTTCCCAGGCCACAGGAAGGGAGCTGGATGGGAGGCAGGGCCGCCGGGATTAGAACCGGTGATCAAATGGGATCCCAGCGAGTACAAGGCGAGGACTTTAACCACTACGCTATCGTCCCAGGCCCTACATTATGTTTTAAAAGTTGAATTTTACCATCATAAGGAAACAATATAAAGAGTGTATTTAACTTAAACCACTTTATTGCACAATTAGGTGGTTTCTAATTTTCTAATAACTGTTTGATAGCACACTTAGGTAGCTGTATGTGACATTGAACTACACAAGAAAATGTCCTTTTGCATCTAGCTGAACTACAGAAATGATTTTCAGCAGGAATGTCTTCTCTAGAACTTACCTTTTTCTTCTTAGCACTTTTATCAGGGAGCGGGAAGTGGTCTTCCAGAAACTCACCCAAGGCAGTTAAAAGTTTCTTCTTGTATTTTTTTATGTTAAGAATTTTTGTTTTCAGCTCATTAAAGACCCTAAATGAAAAATTAAGGGAAACGTTTAACTGATAAAATAATATACACATGCAACTGATTATACTTGATCAACAACTCTGTGGAAGCTTCGTTTGCTCAAGCCAAATAACTGTCCTCATGAAAGTTTTATTTTTAATGTAGCATATAGGGAAACTAAAGGTGCAACAACAGGTCCTCTGCTGGGGAAGGCATCTGGACAGGGGCCCAGACGCTGCGTGCAGCGCCAGCACTCCATATCGGAGGGCCCAGGTTGAGTGCTTCTCGGACGTCATCCAGCGCCCTGCCAGTGCTGTACCCTGGCAGAGAGCAGAGTTGACTTGCAGCTCCCAGCTTCAGCCTGTTCCCGACCCAGTCCCTGGAGGAGCAGGTAACAGGATGGGAGCTCTGGCCTCTCAAATGTTCAAAAAATAAAAATGCACAATAAAAACATTATGTAACTAACAGTTGGTAACAAGTCAGAGCATCACTTGTGACAACTAGTAACATTGATCTTCTCTGAACTACATTTCATGTACTATATGTACATATATAAGTTTTCTCTTAGTTTAAAAATTTCGAACAAAAATGTAATACCTTGATTCAGGAAATGTTGCAACCTGATTTTTCAACTCACTGTACACTACATTCAGAGTTTCCTTTATCTGCTCCTGTTCATCCAGCCACTGTTGCTGCCTTTACACATAGAAAAACAAAACAATTAGCCAAATTAAAATACCAATTTCACATATATCAACAATAAACGTTAATTCTAATATAACTATACCTCTGTAAGTCTTCCTTTAACTTTGCATTCTTTGACTGAATACAAGATAGCACCATTTCAAGATCATGCCGCAATTTTTGAAACTAGAACAAAACAATTCAAATGAATGGCTTAGTTTTATCATATGGTTTATTTCTGAATCATGTAAAACTGAAACATTGGGCAAGGATTCTACAACTTAGGAATCAACAGTATAAAAAGTAGAGGAGAAAAGTAAAACACACAGCTAAATTTCTGGTAACATTCTACTTTAAAAATGAAAATATTACATATGAGTATGTATATACTTAGAAAGTATATACATAACAAAATTTCTGCTAACATTGTATTTTAAATATAAAAATATATGAACAATGTATTTCTGCTGAAATAGAAATCAATGACGAGATTTCAGTAATTACACAAGTTTTAATTATTAATCAGTGATTGTCTAGCAGGCATCATTAAAGAGGCAGGGATACAAAGGGGAACAACAAAAAGACGGATCCAGACAAACAATATATAACTCCAGCAAATGAATAAATGCCATGAAGAACAAATAAAGTAAAATAAGGGGAAAGCATGAGGGATGGCTACTTTAAGTAACATATTATGGAAAGACTTTTAAAGATTAATTTTTTTTCTTTTTCTTTGTTTTTTTCTTGAAAAGGCAGATTTATAGAGAGAAGGAGAGACAGAGAATAAGATTTTCTTTGAAAGATCTTGGGAAGAGGGTTCACTCCCCAAGTGGCCGCTGCAGTCAGAGCTGAGCCGATCAGAAGCAAGGATCCAGGAGCTTCTTCCGGGTCTCCCAAGTAGGGGTAGTGTCATCTATTGCTTTCCCAGGCCACAAGCAGGGAGCTGGATGGGAAGCGGAACAGCCAGGATACAAACTGGCAGCCAAATGGGATGCCGGCACATGCAAGGCGAGGACATTAGCTACTAGGCTACCATGTCACCCTAAATATACTAAATGTATAGTTAAAATTTTTACAGAAGAAAAGTATTTATCATTCAGTATCTCTTCATTTTTATTCTGTTTACTGGAAAGGTCCAGGTTGAGCTGACTTTACCTCTGAATTCAGGTACTTGAGAAATATGTCACAGTGATTATAAACACATTCTGTTATTAAAAAGATACTCCTCAGATTATTTCATGAAATTAATATGATCCATTTGTGAAAGACTAACAAAGATATCACAAGAAAACCAGACACCTCAGAAACACAAATGACAAATTATAACATAATATCAACATAAATTTAGCAATAAATAAGATTAATACACCCAAGCAAGGAAGGTATGATCACAGCACTGCAGTTTATGAAGCCATTCAAATCATTTTTAAAACCCATGCTATGTACCGTATTAACAGTGAGATCTGCATTCAGACTATGATAAAAAGTTAAATTCTCCCAAAATAACACAGATTCATTGAAATTTCTATGAAAACTCCAGTAAACTTTTATAGGGTCAACCCTATGAAAGAGTCAAGCCAACCTTAAACCTGCTTGTCAGATGCCTGGGCCCACAGAAATGCGAAACAATTGTGGAAACAGCTCAGACAGAGAACACATCCCAGCTGAGTTCAAAATTGACCATAAAAATAGGCCCAGTGTGATAGAGTAGTGGCTAAAGTCCTTGCCTTGCATACCCAGGGTCCCATATGGGCACCGGTTCTAATCCCAGCAGCCCCACTTCCCATCCAGCTCCCTGCCTGTGGCCTGGGAAAGCAGTAGAGGATGGCCCAAAGTCTTGGGACCCTGCATCCATGTGGAATACCTGGAAGAAGTTCCTGGATCCTGGCTTTGGATCGGCATAGCATCGGCCATTGCGCTCACTTGGGGAGTGAATCATCCGACGGAAGATCTTCCTCTCTGTCTCTCCTCTCTGTATATCTGACTTTCCAATAAATAAATAAATTAAAAAGAAAATCTGGTGTCCATATGGGATACCAGCATGCACAAGGTGAGGATTTAGCCATTGACCATCATGCCAGGCCTGCAAGACATCTTGAGTAAGGTGATGAAATCTCTTGCTGTCCCATCGAATCCTACATGGTATATGAACAATCCCTTTGTCCAACACATCCAATTATGACAACTCAGGACTTAATCATCTTCTAAAGGTCCTCCTTCCTAATATCAAACACTCAGTCCATCTAGGTATATTAAATATTTTATTGTTCACAGAGTTTAATCAACTGAACTCCAGATGTAAGATAAAAGATAAAAGTTTACATATTAATTTTAGCAATAGGTGTGACATAAAAATTCAGCTTTTAAAAACTTTTAAAAATACTCCGCTTAGAGCACATATTTTCACTGGTGGTTAAAATACCTATGTCCCATATCAGAAGGTATGGGTTCGATACTCCTCTCTGACTCACATCTCTACCCCGGAGTTCTCTGCTACGCACACAGGCAACCTGGGCAGCTTTGGTTTTAGCCACAGCCATTTGGGGAGCGAACCAGTGGATGAGAACACAACTTGATGAAACACACAAATAAAAATTATTTTTAAAAATGTTGCTCAGGGACCACCACTGCGTACTTGGGCAGCCGGTAAGGAGACTGGCCGAAGTACTGTGTGCTCCATTTCCAACCAGCTCCCTTCTAATGCTCCTGGGAAAGCAGTGGAGGAAGCAGCCAGTGCCTGGATCCCACAGGAAGCTGCTCCAGCTGGGGCCAGCTCCACCTTCTATGGCCATTTTGGGAGTGAACCAGAGAGGAACATGTCCATCCGTCTCTCTCCCTCTCTGTAGCTGGCTTTCAAATAAAGAAACATTTTTTTAAAAATTCAGTTCAATACACATATAAAAATGGAAAAAGAAGATTTTGAAGTGATTTCATCCCATTTCTTATGGCATAAGCACACCTAAAACAGTTCTAACCATAAATGTTAGGGATTAGTACAAATTCATTAAGTGACTTACCTCTTCTTTTCCTAATGTTACCAGCATATCTTCATTAAGAGGAACAACTACAAAAACAAAGTAAAACAAAATGATATATATTCTTAGCTAATTCTCAAGAATTTGATCTTGTGACTTAAGAAAATTCTTTCCTTTTCTGTCTCATATCATATAGCTCTTTATAAAATATCTGCATTTTGGGCCCGGTGCGGTGACACAGTGGTTACGGTCCTCACCATGCACGCCCGGGATCCCATATGGACACTGGTTCTAATCCTGGCAGCCCCGTCTCCCATCCAGCTCCCTGCCTGTGGCCCGGGAAAGCAGTTGAGGACGGCCCAAAGCTTTGGGACCCTGCACCCGCGTGGGAGACCCAGAAGAGGCTCCTGGCTCCGGATCGGCATAGCATCGGCTGTTGTGCTCACTTGGGGAGTGAATCATCGGACGGAAGATCTTCCTCTCTGTCTCTCCTCTCTGTATATCCGCCTTTCAAATAAAAAAAAATAATAAAAATAAATCTTAAAAAAAATCTGCATTTTACAAAATGATTTTTATTGAATTTCTTCCATATGCAACCAGCTACATATAATTTCGGTAATACTTAAACCATTTGGTTCTACTTTTTAAGATTTATTTATTTTTATTGCAAACTCAGATATATAGAGAGGAGGAGAGACACAAAGGTCTTCCGTCCAATCATTCACTCCCCAAGTGGCCTCAAAAGTGGGAGCTGAGTCAATTTGAAGTCAAGAGCCAGGAGCTTCTTCCAAGTCTCCCATGCAGGTGCAGGGTCCCAAGGCTTTGGGCTGTCCTCAACTGCTTTCCCAGGCCACAAGCAGGGAGCTACCTGGGATGTGGAACTGCCGGGATTAGAACTAGCACCCATATGGGATTCTGGTGCGTTAAAGGCAAAGATTTTAGCTGCTAGGCCACCGCGCCCAGCCCAGGATGAAGAATTTTTAGGATTTATTTATTTGGAAGGCACAGGTACAGAAAGGGAGATGGGGAGACACGTAGGGGGATGTTCTGTCCCCACAGGTTCCCTCTCCAGCTGGCCGCAACAACCAGAGCTATGCAGGCTGGAAGCCAGGAACCAGGACCTTCTTCCAGGTCTCCCTTGTGGGTGCAGATACCCAAGTGCTTGCCCTTCTCTGCTATTTTCCCAGGCACACTGGCAGGGAGCCTGATTGGAAGTAGAGGTAGGGACACAAGGCAAACTGGTTTCCATTTAAGATGCAGGCACAGCAAGCGGCAGGCTTACTCACAATGCCACAGAACTGGCCCCAGTTCTAAGATTTAAGTTTAAAAATAAAAATCTCCTTTTTGTCAGTATGGTCAAGAAGAACATGACAATATTCACTCAAATAATCAATTCAACCAACACAATACAGTGGAATGTAAGCATAGAGAGGTCTTCAACATGCTTCCAGCGTGGTGGCCAGTGGGAACAGGATCTCCGTGACTGGATAACCTGTGCCTGCTGTGGTCCCAGGGCAATGGGGTGTCAGGTGAGGAAGAGGATAAGGCTTCGACTTTGAACGTGTTTACACAAATGGAACAAAATACCTAAAAAAAAATTTAACTTCTGAGGCAAAAAAATTGCACACTGAAAAATACATAACACTACTGAGATAAACCAAAGGAAACATAAATAAATGAAAAGATATTCCATACATATAGACTGTAAAATTAACATTATTAAACTATCCAAGCCACCCAAAGCAAAGATGAAAGGAAATTCCTATCAAAACGTCATGATTTTTTTTCCAAAGAAATAGAAATATTCATCCTAAAGTCCATACGGAATTGCAAGGGGCATAATATGGCTAAGATAAGCTTGGAAAAGAGGACGTTGGAGGGCATCTCACTCTTAGATTGCAAGGCTTATGACAAGGTTACATTAAACAAAATGGTGTAGCAGTGCTATGCAGAATTGGCTGTATACAGATAGATACACTAACCAATGGAATACAATAGTGAGGCTGGAAAAAACTCTCACATATTTGTTCAAATATAATCAACAAAGATGATAAGACAACCCAATGAGAATAAACAGTTTTCTGCAAAAGTTATATATAAAACAAGAGAAAAATGAATTGAAGTCCTTTCCTCAGAACATATCCAACTTAATTTCAAATGGATCAAAGAACAAAATATGAGCTAAGACTATAGGGCCCGGAGCGGTATCCTAGTGGCGAAAGTCCTTGCCTTGCATGCACTGGGATCCCGTATGGGCATTGGTTCATATCCCGGCAGCTCCGTTTCCCATCCGGGTCCTTTTCTGTGGCCTGGGAAAGCAGTTGAGGATGGCCCAAAGCCTTGGGACCCTGCACCCGTGTGGGAGAGAGACCTGGAAGAGGTTCCTGGCTCCTCGTTTCGGATCGGCTCAGCTCCCACTTTTGAGGTCACTTGGGGAGTGAATCAGTGGAGGGAAGATCTTCCTCTCTGTCCCTCTTTCTCGCTGTATATCCAACTCTCCAATAAAAAAATAAATCTTTAAAGAAAAATTATCAACCATTCCAGGAAAGCATGGAAGCAGATTCATGATACTTATTCTGCAAAAATTTCCTGCTATGTTACCACAAACACATGCAATCAAATATAGAAATAATTGAAACATATAGGCAAAAGATTTATATGATCTGAAGAAAAACCAGAGTACGCTAATTGCAATATATAAAAATTTAAAAACTCTTCATCATAAAGCATAGCAAAAAACACCCTATGAAACAAAATATCTACAAACACCATGTGACAGACTTTTAAAAATTCTTTAATAAAGGGTCAGTATTTGGCACATATAAAGAACTTTTACAAGCTAATAATTTAAAAAAGAAAACTCAACAAATCAAAACACTTCAATTGACATTTCTTAAAAAAAAAAAAAACACATAGGACAAGATATTCAACAAGATGTTCAATATAACCAATCTTTTAAAAAACAAAAACCAACACCACATTATTACCTCACATGCAATAGAGGCATAGGTTGGCCCATTTTAGCTAACACGTTAGCATAGACTGGGCAATTTATAAACAACAGAATGTAGTCCACACAGTTCTGAAGGCTGGGAAGCCCAGAACAAGGGGCCAGCAGACTCGTTATGCTTCCAGGAAGGTGATCACTTGCAGTGGCATTCCATGACAGAGGCGGAAAAGGGACAAGCCTGCTTCAACTCTTTTTAAAAATAAGATTCATTCATTCATTCATTCACTCAAAAGGCAGAAAGACAGAGAAAGAGAGAGAGAGAGATCTTCCGATCTGGCTGCAGCAGACTGGAGCGAGGAGCCTAGCACTCCATCTGGGGCTGCCCTACCCCGGTGCCAGGAGCCCAGGTACTCCACTTCCCCACGTGGCGGCAGGGAGCTCATTTGTTGTCAAACATTCAATCAGGCATCTATACAGGATGCCAGAATTACAGGTGCTTAATTATACAGTGCTTATCCCACCGCAACCCAACGCTGGCCACTCAAACTTTTGTCTAGGGTCACTATTCTAATAGCTGTTTAGCAGAGCCGTCAGGAATTAACCATTTCCTTAAAGCCCACCTCTCCCCCTCCCCTGCCCCCTTTAGTTTTATTTGAGAGACAAAGAGCTCCCTCTGCTGGTTCATTTCCCCCACATCCTGCAATGACTACAGATGGGCAAGGTCCAAGCTGAGAGCCGGAAATTCAATACAGGTCTCCAGGACACTAGGAACTCAGTGACTAGCGTCACAATCCCAGGTTCCCAGGGCTTGCGTCAGAAGCCAGCAGGCTATCCAATCGGATGCATCCTAACAAAGCTCTTAGCGGCTAGACTATTAAATGTCTACCCTAGTCAATCTCTTAATATTTTAATACTGTTTCAATTTTTTTAAAAAAATTAATATCTATTTTATATATGAAAAGGCAAAAATTGGGCTTGGTGTGATAACTCAATGGCTAAACACTCACGCTGCATCCACGAGGATCCCAAATGGGCACTCAAGTGGGAGACCTGGAGGACGCTCCTGACCCCTCACTTCTAACAGCTCAGCTCTGGCCGCCAAGGCGATCTGGGCAGTGAACCAGCAGATGAAACACCTTTGTCTTCCCTAATCTCTGTAAATCGAATCTGCCTTTCTAATAAAAGTAAATAAATACCTTTTTTTTTTAAACTTAAAGACCTATATATTTATTTATTTTTATTGGAAGGTGACATATACAGAGAGGAAAGACGGAGAGGAAGATCTTCCCTCCGCTGATTCACTCCCCAAGTGAGCGCAACGGCTGAAGTGTGCATATCCAAAGCCAGGAGCCAGCAGTCTCTTTCAGGTCTCCCACATGGGTGCAGGGTCCCAAGGCTTTGGGCCGTCCTCGACTGCTTTCCCAGGCCACAGGCAGGGAGCTGGATGGGAAGCAAGGAAGCCAGAATTAGAACTGGCACCCACATGGGATTCCCAGTGCACTCAAAGTGAGGACTTTAACCACTAGGCTACTGAACAGGGCCCCCAAAAAATCTCTTTTAGACAGATTTTCCTAGCAATGTATAGGAAGGAAATGGAATACTTCCTGAAATCAGTGAAACTAAAACAATTTCACGGAGCCCAAATCTCATAATTCTTTTGTAATCAGTAAACTAATTTCTCATTAATTTGCTTACAAAAACACAAACTGAAACCAGAATCTTACCTGTAGGTGTTTCTTTTTGCAACTGACTGAGCTCAGCAGTCAAACATTTCATTTGCATAAGTGATACTGAAAGCTACAAAAGAATAAAACAAAGTTATTTTTATGGACGAATCATAGCTACTCACTAATAAAAATGTAGACAAGTCTTAACGCCGTACTAGCAAGTTCCTAATATAAATGCCTGACACAATAGCACCGCACGTGACGCACACGGAGAGCACGGCAGTCCCCTGGGTATCGGAGCAGAAGAAGAACGGAACAAACTGGGCAACCACCCCGGCCAAACAATCACAACAAAACCTGGCTCACTGGAGGCTCAGACCAGCTAAGTCAGCCAATGGGCCTCGGGAGGCCGTCCGCGTCCTGGGATCGGCTTATCCGACTGCATTTCAAAACTATCCAAACCACTTGTGCAGGACCCTCGGAGCATGCACCTCACTGGGAGCCCGGGCTGATATCGCTGGCTGCTCCCCATCCCCAGGTACTGGGGCATTTGGGAGGCTGGCCATGTCCTCCCCCTTTGTCCCTCTCTTCCCCCAATACAGGAAGAAATAGAGACTTTTCCCTAGCCCTCCATTCTTCCTACCCTGACCAACTATGTAAACATCATCAAAACTTGAAAATTAAACAAAGCTCTCTGTATATCTGACTTTGCAATAAATCTTTAATACAATAAAAATCAATGTCCCGGTAAAAAAAAAATTAAAAAGCACCTCAAAACTAAAAAATTAACAGTATGCTATTTAAAAAAAAAAAAAGATTTATTTGTTTTGTTGTAAAGTCACATTTACACAGAGAAGGAGAAACATAAAGATCCTCTGTCTACTGGTTTACTCTTCAAGTGGCCTCAACAGTGGGAGCTGAGCCAATCCGAAGCCAGGAGCCAGGAGCCTCTTCCAGGTCTCCCACACGGGTGCAGGGTCCCAAGGCTTTGGGCCGTCCTCGACTGCTTTCCCAGGCCACAGGCAGGGAGCTGGATGGGAAGTGGAGCAGCCGGGATTAGAACCGGCGCCCATATGGGATCCTGACGCATGCAAGGTGAGAACCTTAGCCACTAGGCTATTGGCCCAGGCCCTTATTTTTTACCAATGCTTTTAAAAGACACGTTTGGTTAAAATTCACTTTTCCCTTTCCATGCCCTTTCAGAAAAAGGTTACTTTTGTTTTAGTTGAGTAGCTACAAATAAGCTTACATGGAGACTGTTCTTAAATGAGACCAATTCTACAAGCTACACATAAAAAAAATCACTTTTCTTCAGGACCCCAGCCTGTGGCCTGGAAAAGCAGCAAAGGTTGGACCAAAGCCATGGAAACCTAGACCTGTGTGAGGGATTAAGAAGAAGTATCTGGCTCCTGGCTTCAGAATGTCTCAGCTCCCACTGTTGAGGCTACTTGGGGAGTAAACCAGTGAATGGAAGATCTTTCTCTCTGTCATATCCATCAAAAGACAAGCAGATATGTCCTCACAGTGCCTGAGGACAGCAAGATTAGCCCTCTTTCTCTTGACTTCTTAGCACCACCAAGAAGTTTTTTCTTTTTTTTTTTTAAAGATTTTTTTCTCAATTGCAAAGAAAGATATACAGAGAGGAGAAGAGACCAGAGGAAGATCTTCCATCCAATGATTCACTCCCCAAGTGGCTTCAATGGCCAGAGCTGAGCTGATCCGAAGCCAGAAGCCAGGAGCTTCTTCAGGGTCTCCCACGCAAGTATAGGTTCCCAAGGCTTTGGGCCGTCCTTGACTGCTTTCCAGGCCACAAGCAGCGAGCTGGATAGGAAGTGCGGCCACCATGATTAGAACCAGCGCCCATATGGGATCCTGGCACATGCAAGGCAAGGACTTTATTAGGTTACCACACCAGGAACCAAGAAGTTTCAATGTAAGATAAACAGTGGACTTGAACGTTATAGTCAGATAATGTACTTCTATATCCCAGTACTTGACAGCAAAGAACAGCGTTTGGTGATCCGGAGGAATTCGATTCTGATCCTGGATCTTGGCCTTTATATTTTCCATTGCACCCAAAATATGTGCCTCAAGAGTAATGAGCTTCCCTGTAAGGGTTTCTGTGAAAATCCAGCTGTGTCGGCAGTCCCCCACAGACCCACAGGTAAGGGTCAGAGGGCTGTGTGTGTTTTATTATTACTAAGAAAGATAACACATTTTAAAAGTAGTATTGAAACTAGGCAAGAACTACCATCTAATGTATTCATATCACTTCTGCCCACATTAGATGGAAACAAGACATTACTGATATTGATTTTTAATCTATAAAAACTTGTTCAATTTCATATAATACCAATGAACCACATCTCTTAGTCTGCCGGAGCCTGACAAGGCAAATATTCAAATCACTTATCATACTGTAAGTTTATATGACCCTTCCAAAATCACAGCATTGTTTCATTTAAATATCAACATTTAATAAATGCTGCCATTTTCCTGTTTAAATGGTTTTTCTTGACTAGGAATGTTTCAGGCTTAAATTATGAACGCTTTACACTTCCTAGCTGTTCAGGAAAGAGCAAACAAAGCAAGCCTAAGATGTCTGACATTTACTTGTTGTATGTTATTGTTAAAGCAGAGCAACAGAGCTGAGAAGGATCTCCCCAATGCTGGTTCACACTGCAACGGCCAGAAGAGCCGGGAGCTTGGGATTCAAGCTCCGCCAGTGGTGGCAAAACCCAAGGTCAAAGCCCCAGCACTCTCATGCAGTTTCTACCATACAGGAATCACATTTGCCAAAGGAATTAGATCATATTTTACTTCCTATACTTGCACAATGTCTTTCCAAGTACAATATTCAGTTTTACCCTATAAAACATACTGTATTTTTTTTTTTACAGATTCAAAATATTTTAGGGGCAGAAAAGATGATTTAATCTCTTATCACCAATTACGAAAGATTCTATGTAAAAAGCACTTCTAAAAGTCAAAAACCAATTTTCCTCTTCTTTCACATTTCTTATTGAGTATGCTCATATTTACAGATTATTTTATATTGTAATAATCAATTAAAGTTATTATTCTTGACCCCAAACTTGTATAACCGGAGTAACATCAAATTGATTCTTCAGTCACTTACCATAGCCTCATTAGCTCTGGAGAACTGATACTGCAATCACCTGTCTTTTGACTGTTCTTAAAATTTCTAACCCTAGGGGCCAGTGCAATAGCGTAGTGGTTAAAGTCCTCACCTTGTACACCTGGGATCCCAAATGGGCGCCAGTTCTAATCCTGGCTGTCTACCTCCCATCCAGCTCCCTGCCTGTGGCCTGGGAAAGCAGTCAAGGACGGCCCAAAGCCTTGTGACCCTGCACCACGTGGGAGACCCAGAAGAGCTCCTGGCTCCTGGCTTCGGATTGGTTCAGCTCCAGTCATTGCAGTCACTTGGGGAGTGAACCATTGGACGAAGATCTTCCTCTCTGTCTCCTTATCTCTGAATATCCAACTTCCCCATAAAGATAAAAATAAATCTTAAAAAAAAAAAAAAGAATTTCTAACACTAAAATGTTTAATTTTTTTTCTGTGGTTAAATACATCTAACCATTGCTTATAATATCTAGATTTCTATTATTAGCTAAGAAATTTTACCCTCTCTGGCTTGCACAAATATTTTCCACGCTTACAAATTTTGATAAACCATCTGGAATTGACATTGTATGGACATTATATTAATTTTACTGTTAACATTGTCATTTAACTAATTTGTCCCTTTCTGATAGATTTTACCTACCACGTCTGTCATACTTTAAATTCTTAACCTGTTCTGCTGATCCAGTGATTTTTCTTAAATTCTAAGTTCTTTAAACTCTGAAACTATGATTATTAAAAATAATATTTTTAAAGTCTATGGTAAAACCAATTAAGATTCCAAAGACAGTTGCCATTATTCCTACCACAAAGTAAGCTCATGTTCTAGATTTTAACTTAATAGGAAACAACAAGCAATTCATGTAAGTGTTAAATGTATGTTAAAAAGGCAAGTGATAAAGAAAATACTCTCACTTAACAGCATATTCTAAAAGAATGCGTTTTGAGAATATTGCTCAAACTCTTCAATCACAAAGAACAGACCATCTTCCAAATGATGAAGCATATGAATCCTAGCAAAGCTTTTTATGTTAGAATAAAGACACATACAGTTTTTATTTTAAAAGAAATTCTACTTAACTTTTTAGCAAGGAAAAATATTTATACCTGAGCATTTGAATCCGTGAGTGTCTCCGTTCCAAAAAGCAATAACTTTTTCTGACACTTGAATTAGAAAGCAAAGAAAACAAGTTACACGCATGGCTGTTTTTCCCTGCCCCTTATCATGCTATGAAATGCACAAGCAAATCCATTCCACACCTTTTGTACAAGCCCAAGGCATTGCTCCTTTAAAAACAGTATTCAAGTATCTAAGGAAAGAGTTCATTTATAAGCTTTCTAAGCAAGACAACAGGAAAATAGTCCAGTAGGTTCCAAAGTGAATACATCATCAGATGAAAGAAAGAATGGCAGACTGAAGGAAAACAAATAAAAACTAATGGGGCTGGTGTGATGGCTCAACTAGCTAATCCTCCAAATGAAAGCACTGGCATCACATACGGGTGCCAGCTTGTGCTCCAGCTGCTCCACTTGCCCTCCAGCTAGCTGCTTGTGTCCGGACAGCTCCACTTGCCCTCCAGCTTCCTGCTTGTGGACTGGGAAAGCAGCAAAGGATGGCCCAAAGCCTTGGGACCGTGTTGGAGACATCTAGGGAGTTCCTCCTGGCTTGAGATAACTCAGTTCTACAGGTTCTGGCCTTGTGGCCATTTGGGGAGTGAACCAGCAGATGAAAGATTTTTCTCTTCCTGTTTTCACTTCTCTTGGTAAATCTGCCCTTCCAATAAAAGCTAATAAAGCGTTCCATTAAAAAAAATAACTAAAAGCTGTGTTGAATTAGAAGCCAGGTAATGGAAAAAGCGGGAGATTAAGAGCGAAAGAAAAATAGAAAAAAAAAAAAGCACAACATAATAACAAGTAACAAAACAGAGATAAAGATCCTAAAAGAATAAGCCTTAAAGAGACACTGCTCTCTGTCACTAAAAAAATCCAAAAATATTAATAATAATGATTATATTTCAAAGGTAAAAAAACATGGAGCATTTATATTTTATCTGTGCTTATATCTAGCTGAAATATTTCTCAATACAAAATTTTTAAACTATACATGATCGTGTCACGGCTGTGCTTCTAATCCTTCGTGGTTCCCCATATTACACACTCAACAAAACCCTTCATGTTCTGAACCCCAGCTCTCCAGTCTCACCCCCTTCCTGTAACTTGCATTACCCATAATATTCTACAAAGAGCCCTCTAAACTCTCGCCAAACTTATTAATTTTGTTCTTCTTGCTTAGTACATTTCTCCCACACTTGAAAGCTAACTCCTATTTTTCATTAGAAAGTAAATCAGTGATTAGATCTTTTAGAAAGCATTCTTTGATCCTTTCCACCTGAGTAAATAATTAACATACAAAATGATGACTTTTGAGAACTAGCATAGTTATTTCCTCCCTAACAGTATTGAATAGCACATTTGTTAACACTTTTAATTTTTGATACTTACATCTTCTAAACCTTTCCACAATTCTTCACATTCTTTCATAAGTTCTTCTTCAGCATCTGTAACAACTTCCACATCTGTGGTACTATCCAGATTGAGATCTGACATTTGCTTTGTGATTTTCTTAACTTTCTGGCAAGAAGACTAAAATTAAAAATATGTATTCATTCAAAAATGTTTTTGAACACATATTACCTGCCAGATACTCACCTAGGTGTTAAAGATACAGTCATGAACAAAAGAAACAAAAATTCTCCTTACCATGGAAAAATTTCTGTGGATAAAAACAAGGGAGGAAAGAAATGTGGAAATACACAGCGATAATATAATGGTAAGTAAGGTAATTATGCAAGGTAACTGAGAAGCCAACAACTAAGCAAAAAGACATGAAAGAAACATGGGGGCGAAACCCAGGGATGTAGAGAGAAAGAAATTCATTCAGAGGAAACTGAAAATTCAAAATATTGTGGGCACTGTGACAGCAATATGAGTCATGTCCTTAGACTGTCAAAACAGCCTGTTTTGACAACAGTGGAGTAAATAAACTGACAGCAGACAATATAGTGACAACAATAATGGTGAAATCATATCAGTTTTGAACGCTGTTTTAAGGGCTTAGGTTGCATTGACAAACAATTAGGAAGTTTTGAGGACCAACACCAACTGAATTGCATTTCCACACTACAACTACGGTTAGCTACAGTTAATCCGAACAGAAGCAAGAAAACCGATGAGAAAACTGCTGTAATGACCAACGTAGCATATTGACCAAGATAGAAACGACAGAGGCAGAACATTTCCAATTCTCTATTTTTCAAATCAGCCAGTAGAATTTTAATAGTCTGCATATGGAGTATCAAAAAAAGAGAAGAGTTCATTATTGCTAAAAGAAAAAAGTTTGGGCCCTAGTTGTTGGACAGATTACCTACAAGGATAATAACTATTACAATCAAGTATACTGTAAGGAAGAACAGGTGGCACCATCCGGTGGCATGAGATTCAGAGTTGGGCACTTAAGGAGATAGAGCCGAAATGCCAGACAAAGCAAAAAAGTGTGTGTGTATAAAACAAGACTACACATCCACTCCAAATATTCTTATTCCTATGGAACTTTACACTTTGTACTAATTAATAACCTACCAAAAGAGAAGTTCTAAGGAAATTATAGCTTGAGGGATGGAGTTGCCAGTTACTAAGTGAAAAAGAAACTTAAAGAAACGTACTAGGCAAAATGTGGGAGGAATGCTGATTAAGAATTCAATTTAGAAGCCACTGCACCCCAGCTGTAGGCAACACGTTAGGTTGCATTGAACCTATGCCAAGTATTACACTGCTGTGAGAAAACCATCCAATAGCTGGTGGGCATCCTGGGCCTGCTTAAAGCCAAATTGTGGTAACTATACCAGTATGTCACAGTCATCTATTCTTTTTTTTAAAGATATGTAGGAGACAGATGCTGGCACACCAACAGACAGGGTCTGGGGACCCCTGAGCAAGCATGCGTGGGCCCTGGGTAGGCAGGCAGGGACCGAGGCATGGCACGCTGCCAGAGGGCTGGGCACAGGGGGCTGTGGATTGCTCAGGGAGGGGGTCTGGAGACTTGTGGCAGAGAGGACTGCTGAGGGAGAACGTGGCAGGTGAGGAGCGACTTCTAAGTACACTTCCACCTACCTGGCTACTGCACTTGCAGGTCATGAGTGGGCTGAGACTGGGTGATTTACAGGAGGGAAACTGGAGGCTCTTTTGAGGCCAAGCCAATAATACAATCACCCATGTGGGAGACCAGAGCTGGGATTGTTCGTATCAACCATCCCCTTCTGGTGCACACAAAAGCCACAGCTGGAGGTGGCCTGCCTGGCAGGGCTCCATCACAATAGCCACCAGTGAGTGTGGGGGGGTGGGCAGCATGTGGACCATGTTAGGCTGGTCCATGATACTAACCAGCTCACAGAAGAACTGGGTCTGGGAGTAGATTCTGTGGGGGATCATGGCTCACCCCTGTGGGACTGCCATACCAGCTAATTTGCTCTAGGGCTTGGGGTGGTGACGGACTGAGTTAGGCATGACCATGGAACTCGGCAACACTCATGGATACTGGGGTTGGGAACAGGCTGAGCTGATCCAGGCTGTAGCACCCACAGGTGCATCCAAGGATTGGGTGTGGGGTGGGCTGTGCCTCAACATCCACCAGTATACACAAAGGCTGACACTGTGGGGTAGGTTACCCAGAAAAGGCCTAACACCCACTGGCATGCCTGAGATCTGGGTCAGCGAGTGGGCCCGGTGGGAGAAGTTAGGAAACTCCCCTAGTGGGCCATCATTCCCGATGGTGAGTCAGGGCTGGGTGTTGGTCAGGCCAGGCAAGGCTGCCTCACCTGTCTCCAGCAGTGTGGGTTGCCTTTGTAAAAAGCAGACTGGGAAGGGCCAGGCCAAACCATAGCATACTGCCATGTGCAGGAGTCAGGATGGGGTATGGGCCATGCCAAGCCTCACTAGGTTATCACACTGACCAGTCTGCATGAAAGCCAGGGATGGGGGCAGACCTGGCAGGGCTAGGCGGCAGCACTCACCAGCCAGAGCTGGGACTGGAGGTGGGCCAGGCCAGGCCAGGCTGCAGCATATGATGGCAAAGGCCAAAGACAGGAGATGGGTTATCCTGGGCTTTGTCAGACCGACCACTAGCATGTGCAAGATCTGTGGCTGAGGGCAAGTCTGGTTGGGGATCTAAGAGGATGCCCCAGCTGGGCTGAGGTTCCCACTAGTGAGCATGAGCTGGGATGTGGGCGGCGAACTGATTTGGGCATAGCTGCAGCATCTATTAGCACAGGTGTGGACTGTGTGTGTGGTGTGCTAGACTGAGCCAGGTTTCAGCACATGCTGGGGCTCACAAGACCCAGGATAGGGATAGCACAGTCTGGGCGAGGTTTCTGTACCCACTGAACCATGAAAGAGCTGGGTCCAGGAGTGAACCAGGGATGGCTGGGCTATAGCACCCAACAGTAAGTGATGGACTGAGTGTGCGCTGGTCAGGTAAAGTCACTGTTCCTGCCATGACAAGAGATGGGCTAAATCAGGCTGGGCTAAGAACCCATGGGTATGCATGAGATCTGCCACTGGGAGGTGACCTGATAGAGGAGCCTGGGAACTCCTCTATTAGGACGCAGTCCCTTCAGGTGAGCGCAAGAACCAAGGCCGGGAACATCCCAAACACGGCCAGGTTATAGTACCGACTGGCGTAAGTGTGGGTCAGGTCTTGGAGTGGGCCAGGCTAGGCCAGTTCATAGCACCCACTGGCAGATTGGAGAACCAGGACAGAATGCGGGACCGGCTAGTTGGGCCCACAACACCAATCAATTCACATTAGGGCCAGGACTGAGAGCTGGCTGGGCTGGGCTAGGCTGCTGTACTCGCCAGCATGAACTGGAGATGGGTACAGGCCAAGCTAGGCAAGGCTAACCTAGGTTGCAGCATCAGATGGTGGATGCTGAGGTGAGGGGAGCCATGCCACTCTGGGCTGCAGCTCCCACCAGCACAAGTAAGACCCAGGATGGGGCAAGCCCAGCATGGGGCAAGCCCAGCATGGGAGCTAGTGTGGTTCCCCTTCTGGGCCACTGGTCCCTCTGGTGAGCCTGAAATCTGGGGCTGAGGGCAGACCAGGCCAGGCAGAGGTACAAAACCCACTGGCCTGCATGCAGCTACCTGGGTTAGGGGGAGAGCCAGGCTACCTAAGCAACTGTACCGAGTGGTGCATGCATGAGCCAGAGTAAGCACAGAATGCTTGGGCTTTGTCACAGCATCAGCTGGCAACTGCTGGGACTAGGGGCAAGTCCTGTCAGGACAACCCAATGAACCACCTGGAAAATGCAAGATCTGGGGCTGGGAGTGGACCCAGGAATGAAACTGTGGGCACCCCTCTGATAGGCTGCAGCTTCCACTGATGAGCATGAAAACCAGGCCTGGGGGCAAGCCTGGCTAGAGAGGTGGTGGCACCTGCCGGCATGAGCGTAGGCTGGACAGTAGTCAGTTGGGCTGAGTTAGGCTCCTGTGACGATTGATGTGTACAAGAACCAAATGGGATGCAGGACACACTGGACCAGTTTGCAGATATACTGGCATGCCCAGGAACTGGAGCTGAGGGCAAGCCTTTAGGAGTCACTCTGAGTAGGCTGCAGTTCCCACTGGTGTGTCTGAGGGCAAGTGTGTGATAGGCAAGGTTAGGTTGGGCTACAGCATCCATTGGTTAGTGTATGAAGTGAAGCTAGGGACAGAACTGATTAGGTGACTGTAACTACCTATATGCTTGTAGGCTGATGTAGATGATGGACTGAGCTGGAACCCACACTGGCTGACACACACAGGAGTCAGGTCTAGAGTCACCTCTGGCGAGATTTCATTGGGGACCCCCCAACTGCAACACTGGACTCAGAACTCCAACCATGGTGAAATCACAGGATATGTGGTTTGACCGTGGAGTGCACATGTCACAACTGTGTCTCCACAGTTGCTGAGGCCTGTGCAGTAGATGGCATGCAGGACATGACAACCAGTTCACTGAGGCCTGCAGAGGACATCTAGTTCCATGAAAGGCAGAACAATTTGGACAGCTCCCTCAACAAGCATCTGGGCGAATCAAGACTCTAAGGTGGACTATGTCAGCCCATGGACCTTGAAGGGATTTCCTCAGTCTAGAAGCAATGAAATCAACAGCAACTCAAACTATCGAAACCACTTAAGCAGTATCCTGGGAACATGCTCCACATCGGGGACCCTAGGATGACATTCGGTGGTCTTCCTCCATTCCCGGTTACTGATGTGGTTGGGTTGCTGGGTGAGACTCCACTTTCCCAATATCAGAAGAAAAAAGGAGATTAGAGGCAGCTGTCTCATCCACTTTCCCCATTCCTCAACCCTCTCCACCCCAACTGGTGGTCCACATGGGCATGCATCCCTTCAGTTATGTGGATTAAAACAATTAATTAATTAAACTTAAAAAGCCTTACCTTCCCCCCAAAAAAGTCAGTGCAGTGGCATAGCAGCTAATCCTCCACTGTGCTGGTATCCCACAAGGGAGCTGGCTCCTATTCTGGCTGCTCCATTGCTGATCCAGCTCCCTGCTTATGACCTGGGAAAGCTGTGGAGACAAGCTCCAGCCTTTGGGCCCCTGCACCCACATGGGAAACCCAGAAGACACTCCTGGAGCCTGCCTTCGATCAGCTAGGCTTTGGCCATTGTGGCCACTGAGGGAGTGAACCAGGGGATGGAAGACCTCTCTCTGGCTCTCCTTCTCTCTGTAAAATCTTTCAAATAAAAATAACTAAGCTTTAAAAAGAAACCAAAAATATTTGTAATAAATATGATAACCAAGACCTGATTTCTTTAATGCATGATGAATACCTAAAAATTAATATTAAGCAAACAGCATAACAGCACTAAAAAGCTGCCTACCGCACAGTTACTTTTGAAGGGAAGGAGACAATAAAGAAAAGTAAGGAAGGTGGGCCTGGTGTAATGGTTCAATTAGCTAATTGTCTACCAGCAAGGGCTGGGATTACATATGGGCACTGGTTTGGGTCCTGGATGCTCCACTTCTCATCCAGCTCCCTACTCGTGGCCTGAAAAGCAGTCCGGTACGGCCCCAAGCTTTGGGACTCTGAACCCGCATGGGAGACCCAGAAGCTCCTGGCTACAGGTTCTGGATCAGCTCAGCTCCAGCTGCTGTGGCCATTTGGGGAGTGAACCAGCAGATGGAAGATCTTTCAGTCTCTCCTTGTCTCCTTAATTCTGATCTGCCTTTCAAATAAAAACAAGTAAATATTTTAAAAATGTAAACCACAAAAAAGGAAAGAGGGAAAGGTAATTACAGTGGCCCAAAGGGAGACTTCTGAGGTGATTTTAAAGCTTAGTTATTTGCCTGCAAAAAGGTAAGAATGTTCACCTAATAGCAGTTCACATGCATTACATTTATTTCAAATAGGTTTTTTGGTGTCTGCTTTCATTCTACAACAAAGAGGTAAACAATAATATAGACAAATAACACACTAGAGAATTCAAGGAAAAATGCCTTTAAAATACAGAAAATAAATTCATTCTTAACTTTTAATATAATTCATACGAATGTACATTAAATAAGTACTTCTCATTCAGACTGGCAGTAATGTAAATTTTGATAGCAAACCCAATTGGTAACCATAAGGGGCATGAAGTACTGGCAGGCCTACCATTTTGCAGGATACTGAGAGACAGCCATCCAAAAGAATTTTTCTAAGATTTACTTCATGGGGCATAGGAGCTTAAGCCTCGACCTGCAGTGCTGGCTTTCTAAATCAGCACCAGTCCAGGTCCCAGCTCCTACACGTACCAAACAGCTTTCTACCAACGGCCTGGGAAAGCAGTGGAGGACAGCTCAAAGCCTTGGGACCATGAGCACATGTGGGAGGCCTGGGAGAAACTCTTGGCTTCAAAATAGCCTAGCTCCAGCTGGCACAGTCATTTGCGGAAGATCTCTCTTTCTTTCTCTCTAACTCTGTCTTTCAAATGAAAATAAAATTTTTTTTTTAAAAAAGTACACTGAAAATTATTAAAAAAAAAAAAAGACTTATTTACTTAGAAGGTGTAATCAGAGGCAGTGGGGGGAGGCCAAAACTGATCTTTCATCCATGGTTCATTCTTCAAATGGCCACAACGGTGAGAACTGGACATGCCTAAAGCCAGAAGCTTCTTCTGGGTCTTCCATGCGGGTGCAAAAGCACAAAAATGGAGCAGCTGGGAAATAAACTGGTACTCCCTTAGGATGCCAACACCAAAGGAAGCAGCTTCACCCACCATGCACAGCACCAGACTGCAAAAATTATTTTTCAAGATTTTTTTTTATTTGAAAGGCAGATACACAGCAAGATCTTCCATCTGCTGGTTCACTAGCCATACGGCCATAACTGCAGGGGCTTGGCCAGGCTAAACACAGAAGCCAGGAGCTTTCTCCTGGTCCCATATGGGCACAGGGGCCCAAACGCTTAGGGCCATCTTCTGCAACCTTCCTTGGCTCATTTTCAGGGAGCTATCCATCAAAACAAAAATTTGTTTCAGATTCATTTATTTTTATTGGAAAGTCAGATATACAGAGAGGAAGATCTTCCATCCAATGATTCACTCCCCAAGTGGCAGCAGCAGCTAGAGCTGTGCCAACCCAAAGCCAGGAGCCAGGAACCTTTTCCGGGTCTACCATGCAGGTGCAGGGTCCCAAGCATCTGGGCCATCCTCGACTGCTTTCCCAGGCCACAAGCAGGAAGTTGGATGGGTAGCGTGGCCTCTGGGATTAGAACAGGTGCCCATATGAGATCTCGGCACTTGTCATGCAAAGACTTTAGCCACTAGGCTACCGCGCAGGACCCTCCATCAAAATTTTAAATGCATTTTTCTTCTTCCCCAGAAATTCTACTAAAAATAATATTACACACAGATATGTTTATACAAGCCTATACAAAATTACTTCTGCATCATCTATATATAAATGAAAAATTCTTAAAGCATTAATTCTATATGCTTTCTCATTGAAAATCCAAGCTGATACTTACAAACTGTTGAGACTTTGGAGAAATCACTGAAGTCTTCCTTGCCTCAGTTTCCCTTACCTACAAAAAGAAGGTAACAATACTACACACTCACAGGACTGTTCACGGACTTAATCAACATCAAGCCTTTAGAATTGAACCCAGCATGCAAAGAGCTGTATTAGTGTGAGCTATCAGAACCACTACCAGCAAGCTGAAATGTTAACTAGCAGGCTTTGTAAAAACTTGCTTTTTTTCTACCTGAGAAGAAGAAGAGAGAAAAGGAGAGCTCCCGTCACCTGGTTCTCTGCCCAGATGTTCGCGGTGCCCGGGCGCAGAGCCAGCCTGCAGTGGCGGGCGGAGGACAGTCCAGGTTTCCCACGTGGGTAGCAGAAAGCCAACCCACGAGCCATCGCTTCTGCTTCACAGGGCCCGCACTGACAGGATGACAGGATCAGGAGCTGGTACTCAAACCCAGTGACACCAGCGTGGGACACCAGCGACCACACGGGCTGCCTGACCAGGAGGCCAGCTGCCTACACCCTACCCAAACATGTTCATGCTAAAGATCTTACCAGCTATACACATGAAACAGGCTAAGCTCACAAAACCAGGCATTGGCAATTTCAGAATATTTTAAGCAAACAAGTCAACAGTATTTATACATCTATTTTAAATATAACTCATTAAATGAAGTGTAAATGGATCTTTCCCCACTTTGTAGGACACTGGCCATAAAAAAATATATTATTGGGATGTCAAAGTAATACAAAACATTGTGTATGTGTGTGAGAGACAAAGCATATTTGAGTAAGTGGGTAAATCTTCAACCCATTAGCTGGCTTAGCAATTCAGTGAGGTAATGGAATACAAACAAGTGAACACAGAGAGATGGGTCTGCATTTCCTTCCCAGTGTGCGGGAAAATGTGTCTGCAAGATGGAAAAAAGGCTCTCAACAGAACAAGAAACAACTTAGAAAAGTGGACGACACCTAAGAGTTTCACTTCATCCCCTTTTCACGTTTTGTATCCTTAAAGCTATTATTTCCACAGAGATCAAGTCAGCATTTTGAGATTTCCCAGCTAGAAATCCAATATCCGGTCAGTTCCTGAAAACTGACAAAATCACTGTGTTTTAGAGATAATACCGTGCCACAATGCCCGTGTTATTAATTGGGGAAAAGATTACCATGCATGCGCTATAAAACACCCACATAATTTTAATACGTCCTCAACAGCGTAAGATTAACGTGTGCTCTTCAGACACCGCGCTGACCGCAGTGTACTCGTCATGTAAGTGCAAGACATCAACGCCTGACGGGATGCCAGCGTCACCAGTGGGCTGCCACGCACCATCATCACACGCACAGGTGCATCACACGCACAGGCTGCACCTGTTCTCGGAATGAAGGCTGGTGCGGGCGAGAGAAAGCTACGCGCAAGAGTCCAGCAAACATCTCTTCAACGTCAACCAGCTCCCGACCACGATCGCTCCCCAGCTACTGCCACGGACTCCGAGAGATGAGAAAGTGCAAAAAGTCAAGGCCGAATGGCTGTGGAGACGCTCCCAAGCCGCAAAAAATAAATCAATAAAAGAAAATAAAAATAAAAAAATCACCAGCCCGGGAGGCGAGATGGATCGGGCAGGGCAGATCTGCCAGTCGCCAGAGGCAGCGGAGAGAGGGCACCTGCTAAGCAGGAGGAGGCAGACACCTAGCGAGGCTGCAAGAGCTGGAACCAAGCCATCTGGGTGGCGTCCCCTCCAGGAGAGAGACCTGACAGGACGACCCACGCTGCTTCCACTTTGGAAAAGCGGTATGGGACAGATTCTCAAAAGTTTCGATGCCTTCTACCACTAGGCGCACACACAAAGACAAGTGGAGGCAGGCAGCCTGACGTCCACCAAGATCAGGATGGAGAGCAAAGGGTGTGTGTGTGTGTGTGTCCCCGCGCGGGTCACCTGAGGTGCCTGTCGCCGCCTACCACGCCGCAACTCTGACAGACGTTCAGCCACTTCAGAAAGTAGGTGACAGAACAAAGTGGCTCGGGACAGATAGACAGACAGACAGGCGTGGCGCTTCCGAAGGGCAGCTCCCAACCCTCCCCTCCCCTGCTTCCTTCCCCTCCCCTGGTTTTTCTCGGGTAACCACCGGCGTTTCGGGGGGCTGCCTTTAGCGCAGGAGACCGAGATGAGCGGAACTCAGGGCCACCCGGCCTCTGGCTGCTGTCCAGCACCCCCCGAGATAGCGCTGCCCCCCTCGGGCCTGCGCTCCGACTCTCACCGCTCCGGCGGCCTCGGTCCCGTCGCACAGCCAGGCAAGGCCCCTCAGGTCGCCTCAGGCGCGCGATCGAACTTTCCCGGGCCCGGAGCTGTGCGCGCGCTGCTTCCTGACTGGCTGCGCCGTTGCCTAGCTCCAGCCAATCGTAACGGTCACAGGGACGCTGACGCAAAGGCTGCGCCGCCGCTGCGGGATTGGTCGCCCCGCGGTGCGTCGCGCCTCTCCTGACGCTACGGGCAGCATGGCGGCAGAAAGTGGGAACGACTCGCAATTGAGGCGGAGGAGGCATCGAGACACGGAGGAAACGGAGGAAGCAGAGCTCAGTGGGAGAGACCTGACAGCCGCAGAGTCCTCAGAAAACAATGAAGAGAACGAAGAGCGCTGGGTCGGGCCTTTACCTGTGGAGGCAACATTGGCCAAGAAGAGGAAAGGTAGCTGCAGTGAGAGGCTCAGGGCGCCTTGGGATGCTGAGTCCGCCGAGGGGGAGGGTTGAATTCCAGCAAGCCCTGAGAAGGGATCTTCGTCTGTGTTTGCCTAGTTTGTGCCCTCAAACAAGAACTGCTGTCTTCTTGCCTCTGCCTTGTGAGAACCTGAACAGCTTCCCGTACTGGGGAGCTACGCCCAGGGCAGTGTCTTTTTGCAGTAATGCCTAACACTCGCTGTTGATCACCGAATCCTTGTGACAGGTGCTAAAGCTTTCATTTCCCGGTACTTGCTGTGTACTCGCCTCCACTCATTCGATCCCCTAGCAGCCGTAGAAAGTTGGAATTGCTAACTGCATTTTGCCGAGTACGGAGAAAGGGCGCTATACTGTGCGATCTGGGGCGTTGATTCAGAAGTAGTGTGTGTTGGGGCATGGGAGGAAAACGTTACCCATCTAGAATCGAGCGTAGCTGAAGAGAATGGCAATCCTGACTTAAGGAAAATTGCTTAAAGCATTGACCATGCAGAGCCGGAGGTCTGTGAATTTCAAACATTCTCACGGAGTGTCATGGGCTGCAGAATTTTGCCACTAATGTGAAATCATGACAGATTTTAATCACATGAAAGAGGTGGAGAAGCCAGTAGATTAAATTAAACAGACATGTTTTCCAGTTTTTCTGTGCAGTGTTTTCCTTGTACATGAAAAGACAAGTAAAATGTAATTTAAGTTGAAATTTCACTTTCTCACTTCCTCCTGGTTACACTTCTTATTTTCCAAACAAAGCCTGACCTTGGTAGCATAGCATTTCATGTCGTGATCACTCCTTGCCAAGACCCTGTCCCCCTTTCCCAGCACCTTCCTTTGGGCTTCTGCTGTCCTAAACCACTGGAGAACCCAGGGTCTCTCACTTCACCTCCTGGTGGCTCTAGCTGGAATAATTCCCCTCCCCTCACTGCGACCCTTTCACTGGGTTCACTTTGGTTCAAATTCCAGCACTTGGCTGTCATCCCCAATTAGAAACATTTTGACTTTGTCAAGTCTAGACTTCTAAAGTATGTTGATCGTGTTCCTTGTGATACTGAATTTATTTAGGAGCTTTCAAATTTTTATGTATCCCGATTTTCATTGAACCACTTTTTTTTTTTCCTTTGAAATGCATAGAAAGACCTTCCGCCCAGGAAAGATCAACCATTAGGGCTGGGCCAGGCTGAAGCTGGAAGCCCAGAAACTCAGTCCCAGCGTCCTGTGCTTGGCGTGGGACCCGAGTCCTTCACTCTTCACTTGTGCCTTGCGGAGGAGCACATGAGCAGGAAGCTATGTGTCCTAAAGAGAGACTTGATTTCAGCAACTCCTGTGCCACAGGCCACATGTGATGCCATTTCTTTTTTTAAACAATTGTCTATTCACACATTTAAACTACATTGCCTTTTTTCTACCGTTTGCTTTTCCTAGGAAACGTTCCATGGCAAGGGCCGGCACTGTGACGGACAGCGCATTTAATGTTCCGTAGCAAACTTTTCCTTCACGACACACAGTTTGTGTGTGTGCTCATGTGACCTGTTGAACGTTTCCACTGCTGAGATTGCAAGCTTGTGAACACAGGAGCATGCTATCTTGCTCCATTTTGGTAGGATGATTTTCACATAGCAAGTGCTGAAAATGAATGTAGTGCACTTGGCTATAATTTATATTAAAACATACATCTGAATATCTTGGCATTTTTTAGTACAAGTAGAGAACAGTGTTGAAATGCTTATCAAAGTGTTAGGAGACAAGAATCTTAGAAATGTAACAATTGAGACAGAAATGAAAATTATTAAGTAAACATTTTTTACCTTTGGTGGGAAGCTTTAAAAAAAAAGTAGATTTCTTTATTTTTACTGGAAAGGCAGATTTACAGAGAGAAAGAGAAAAAAAGAATTTAGGCAGGAGCTTCTTCCAGGTCTCCCATACAGGTGCAGGGTCCCAAAGCTTTGGGCCATCCTCGACTGCTTTCCCAGGCCACAAGCAGGGAGCTGGATGGGAAATGGAGCAGCTGGGACAGGAACTGGCATGCAGAAGAGATCTCAGCATATGTAGGGCAAGGACTAGCCACTAGGCTACCACACCAGGTCCAGAAGCTTACTGTTTTTAAGCTTGCCAGTAATGTGTTCAGTTTAAAGAAAAAAATTGAAGGTAACAACCTTGAAATATTAGAAAAATGTCATTGAAATTTTTCTGGGGCCCAGCACAGTAGCCTAGTGGCTAAACTCTTCCCTTGCCTGAACACACTGAGATCCCATATGGGCACCGATTCTAATCCTGGCAGCCTTGCTTCTTAAACAGCTCCCTGCTTGTGGCCTGGGAAAACAATCGAGAACAGCCCAAAGCCTTGGGACCCTACACCCATGTGGGAGACCCAGAGGAAACCCTGGGCTCCTGGCTTCACATCAGCACAGCTCCAGCCATTGTGGCTGCTTGAAGACTGAATCAGCGGACGGAAGATCTCTCTCCTCTCTGCAGAAAAAATAAATAAATCTTTAAAGAAAAAAAAAAAGAAATTTTGTTTGAAATGACAGTTGTTTAATAATTTTAACTTACTAGAGATGGATCCATGATGTTGAACCTGTTGTAATACTTTTTGAAAAAAGACTGCTGCACTGTTTTTAATGAACCGTTTTAGGACAAAAACTGTCTTAGCCTTCTTTCTGTATGTTCCCTGAAACCTGTTGTGTTCTCTATAAATATTTAAGAGTGAGCTAATACACATCAAAAGGAATCTGAGAGATGGCTAAATTTAACTTCATGTTATAACAGTGAAGTTTAAAAATTAAGAATGAAAATAAATGTAACTTTCAAGGTGGACAGTGCAGTATTGATTTGGATGCTTCAGACATCCCAAAATCTTCCTTCTTGCCGTACTATGACTAACAGGACCTTAGCTGTTGTCCTGAAGCATTGGCCGTAGGGATGTACAGGGTTAAGAAGGTGATTGCTATATTTGCACGACATGTTTCCAAACTTCCTTTTGTGGCGTGTCTTTTGTTTTTTAAGACAACTGAAAGGAAGACAAGTGGCCTGACAAACTATGGGCTTTATTTCATGTTCATGCGAAGAGCAAAAACTCAGGAAGAAAATACAACAGAAAATTCTAAACGAAGAAGACGTGCGCTAGTATGCGGTTTCCTCATGTGTTTTTCACTTTTTCTCTTGCAGTTCTCGAGTTTGAAAGAGTCTATCTGGATAACCTGCCCAGCGCGAGCATGTATGAGCGGAGTTACATGCACAGAGATGTTATCACGCATGTGGTATGCACCAAGTGAGTCTGTCCCAGCTTCGGGATTCCTGAGAAGTCTATTTAAAAATAAGAAGAAAAGAAACCTTCCATTTCCAGATGGACTTGTCAGATTTTAGGGTTTTGAAGATTTCTGTTTAATTCCACAGATTCTGTAATAGGTTGTAGTGAATAAAAGCCTGTGTCATTAGCAAAAAAAATGCTTCTTTAAAACAAAACCCCCTGGCTCATGTGTTTGTCTTCTGGAGCTAAATGCCAAGAGGTGGTGTCTGAGAGTCCCTGGAAGAAAGAGGGGTCACTGCTTAAACCAGGAATACCTGGCCTCCTCCTTTAATACAGAAGGAAGTGACGGTAGCTGCGACATGCTGGCAGCATGAAAGGGTGAGTGAGGGAGTTGGAGAAGCAGAACACTAGTAGTATTTTACTGTTGGTTCAGCTGATAGTATATGCGGGTGGCGTGCTGAGGCTTTATTCATAGGTTATCTAGGAATAATCTTGCGAACTAGTATATAACCTTTTTTGTTTAGATAAAGAAATTAGAAAGATCGAATGGCAGATGAGGCTGAAGAACTAGAAGGGCTAAATGCCACAGGGAGTTCTATCCTCTTATGAATTTTGAACACGTGCGCTGGAGAGAAATGAGTTAAGTTTGGGGTTTATTATTTATTTGGGGGGGTTTGAAGGACTACTATGGTTTTGGTGAGGTGAATGGATGGAAACAGGGCAAGAACAGATACAAGGCTGGAGCAGTTAGGAGCTGGCATGGAAATCTGCACAAGGGAGATGATGGTAGCCTGGAGGATATTAGCTGTGAGTAAGGAAAGTTGATCATTCTTGTTCCCTTGAAGGCAAGCTTCATTTCAGATATAAAAGCAAATGTTTTCATGTACTTGACACTTTGGACCAAGCGTTAGCTCTCATCCTGGTTCCGAGTTCTCAAGACTACAGATCCTAGCTATCCCTCTCCTTAAGTTTGTTTGATTTTTAACCCAAGGCAGTGGAGTGTAATGAAAAGATTGTAGCTTTTGTAACTGGATAGATCTAAAAGCCATTTCGCTAGGCATGGCTCTGTCTGGGGTAAGTAAATTTAACACTCTAAAACTATTCCTTAAGCAAAATTGGTTTATTGATTGTGACAAATACATCATGCAAATATAAGATGTTATTAATAAGAGGATAGGGGTATACCATCTCACAATTTTTATTTTGAAAGCATTTAAACTATTCTGAAATGAAAAGTTAAAAAAAATTAAACTAAACCTATTTATGAAATTTTAAAAATACCCATCCCATAGACTTGCTATACAAATTGAGGTACTGTGTGTGAGGTACCCACATACACTAGACTGCAATAATGAATACATAGAAATTTCTAAAACCCTGTGTGCTTTCTAGGGATGACTATTGTGTTCAAAAATTTTGAGATATTTCCATAACCAAAAGATTTCGGGTAAGATATAAAAGAAACTTAAGTTGAATTTGGGGCTAATTTGTAAGTTTCTGAAACATACTATATTTTCTCATGAAAAGATTGCTTCAATGCTAATTTTAGCAATAAGGAATCCTAGCATCTAGTAATTCCAAGGGAGTTTTTTTTTTTAATGTCAATTCTTAATTCAATTCTGATCATACTTCTTAGAGATTAAACTTAGAACTACAATAGCTGATAATAGCCAGAAAAGAGCTGCCACCATTTAAAAGAACATGTCCAGTGTTCTGTCTGTCCTGCTGCTAGTCTGCCTGGAGGACGGTGGAAGCCTGGCATGGAAGAGTCCGAGCTTTTCGGTGAGTGATTTCTGTGAGGATGCTCAGTGATTCATAGATGTGTTTTCGTAATTACCTTTTCAAACTTTCCAAACGCAGGACAGATTTTATTATCACTGCCAGTCATGATGGACATGTTAAGTTCTGGAAAAAAATAGAAGAAGGAATTGAATTTGTCAAACATTTTCGTAGTCACTTAGGTAAGAATTTTAGCCTTTTTATGTGTGGTTCTCTTTTAAGCTATGCTAGCTAATGTTTCCTTGAACACACTGTGTTGTTTTTCTGAGACTCAGGTCTGTTTTTTTGTTGTTAGTATGTAACAGTGTTTTCATCTGACTTGGATAGGCGTTATTGAGAGTATTGCGGTGAGCTCGGAGGGGGCCCTGTTCTGTTCCGTGGGCGACGATAAAGCCATGAAGGTGTTTGACGTGGTGAACTTTGACATGATCAACATGCTGAAGCTTGGGTGAGTCCTCGCTAAAGTTGAGCAAGTCATTTTGACACCAGAGTCACCATTTCACAAATTATTTCTATATCATCATCATCATCAAAAAAATGTGCATTTGGCACATTAGGATGGTTCCTCGTTACCACAGAGGCTTATGCTGTTGTTTTAACAGATTTCCAAAGTGCATCTTAACTAGGATTTAGTATATCTAATTAATACTATTCAGTAAATTGATGGAGATTCATTGTCTAGTTCCTAAGCAATTAAAATTTACTTTTTTTGTGCTGTAGTCATTTCAGTAATCTGGAATTGTGTTTTATGTGGGTACTTCAAAAAGTTTGTGGATCATTGGAATTAAAAGGTAAGAGCGGTGCAAAAAAAAATATTTTTGAACGTATTAACATGCTCTTTTCATAATAGGTGTTTTCCATGAACTTTTTGGTGATCGCTAGTATAATAAGATTTATGTTATATGTTTGGAATTCATTGGTGATTTTTTTTTTAAAGATAGGCAGAGTACAAGGAGAAAGAGAGCAAGATCTTCCATCTGCTGCTTCACTCCCCAAAGGCCAAAGCTGCCAGAGCTGGGCTAGTCCAGAGTCAGGAGCTTCTGTTGAGTCTCCCAAGCACGTAGGCAGTCTTCCACTGAGTTGCAGTGAGTTGCACCTGAAGTGGAGCAGCAAGGACATATAGGTTGCTGGCATCACAGGTAGAAACCTAGCCTGCCACACCCTGGTGCCAGTACCCATTGCTGACTGTTAAGTTTTGGAGTATGTTAATACCCAAACACTGTTTAATTATGGACAACATAAGGAATTTATGTAGATCTAAGTGAATATCAGCTTTAAACTCATTAGCATTGTCAAAAAGTGTTGGAAGTTACCTCAGTGTGCTTGGATGCTATAAAAGAAGACTGTGTAAGTTACACAATAAAAAATTGTTTTCTTGCATTTTTGGAGTTTGGATACTTCAGCTTGATATTCCATGAAGTTTTGGTTTTTTGGTAAGGGTTAGATTGAGAGACACACTGGTCTTTCTGACCACTTTCATGATCTCATTTAACATTAATTATCTCCTAAACCTATGTCTAGAAACCCATTTGGACTGAATTGTGTCCATAATTCAGATAATTCCACATTTGAGAATTTCCTTTATGGCTGGCATGGTGGCATAGCTAGCTGATATTCTATTTGTGATGACAGCATCCTATATGAGTGCCAGTTTGTATCCTGGCTTCTCCACTTTGGTCCAGCTTCTGGCTTAGGACCTGGGAAGGCAATCGGGGGGGTAGCTCAACTCCTTGGACCCCTTCACGCATGTGGGAGACTTAGAATACCAGATACCTGACTTCGGTCTGAGCCCGGCACTGGCCAATGCAGACATATGGGGAGTGAGCCAGCAGATGAAAGACACCTCTCTCTGTGTCTCCTTCTCCCCTTCCAAATCTGTCTTTCACGTAAGAGTAAAAAAAACTTTAAAAAAGCAAAAAGACTTTCCTTCAAATTTCCTTAACATTTGTGATTTTATGATCCACTAAAAGAAATCAGTGCCATTTTTATAGTTGAAACATACTTTTGGTCCACAAATACAGTTATCTAACCTGCGTTATTCTCCAGCTTTGATTCCAAACATGTAACTTTTTAAAATATCAAGAGTATTCACAAATACTGAACATTGCCACCCCTTGAAGATATTCAAAACTATGTATTTCAGACTTTGAGAGTAAACCTAAAACAAGGGGTCTGCATTGGGACATAGTGGGTTAAAACTCTGGCTGTGGTGCCAGCATCCTGTACAGGTGCCAGTTCCTGTCCTGGCTGTGCCACCTGTGACTCTCCTTCAGGGGCATGTGCCTCGGGAAGCAACAGCAGGTGGCCTGACTCCTTGCAGACCCAGCTGAAGCTCCTGCCTCCTGGCTTCTCCTGTCTGGCCCAGGCCTGCTTGTGGTGGCCATCTGGGGAGTAAACCCAAGGATAAAATCTCTCTATCTGTGTGGCTGTTCTTTCCCTCTCTCTGTAACTGCGTTTCAAATAGATAAATGTCTAGGAAAAAAACAACCAGGAGAAGAGTTTCAAAAACATTTTGAACATGAACATCATGGCTGGATTAAGACTATAACTGCTCAGGATGACTACGTTGGAGTGTATGCCTGTAGTAAATGCTTCTTTCTCTCCTACTTCCTTTATATTTGGTTCCTAGACAGCATGTTGAAAGTTTATAGTCAGGGTCCTGCACAATGGCTTAAACTGGCTAATCCGCCACCTCCAAGCATTAGGATCCCATATGGGTACCAGTTTGTGTTCTGGGTGCTCCACTTCCCATCCAGGGCCTGGAAAAGCAGTCAAGGATGGGCCCAAATCCTTGGGACGCTGCACCTGCGTGGGAGACCCAGAAGAAGCTCCAGGCTCCTGGCTTTGGATCGGCTCAGCTCCAGCCATTGTGTCCTCTTAGGGAGTGAACCAGTGGATGGAAGATCTTTCTGTCTCTTCTTTAAACATCAGAACTAATTAATAATAATGAGTATAATAGGACAGTTTTTTTTTCTTTTGAGCATGCTCATACCTAAAATATTTTCATTTTAAATATTTGAGAATGGATTGATGAATTGTATTATGTGCTAACCTATTTAAAAGAAAGTTGTGCATGGATGTTACAGGGATCCCAACAACAGTGTGTCAGAGTAGCTCGAAGCTACTAGTTTCCTTCTCTGCCAAAGGGGGTCCTTGGGCTGCTCTGCCTAATTCTCCTCTTATTTGAAAGGTCACAGGAAGTTATTCTCACTGCATTGATAAGGTCAGGAAGGGAATATTTGGTATTTATTCTTGAGTGCTTCCCCCGATTCTGTATTTCTGGTACCTCTGACCCAGGGATCCAGGTCTAAGTCATTAGCCACGCAACTTTGGGGTGTTGGTGCGAGGAAGGTTGCCTGCTTGGACTGACTTTGGTTTTTCTCCTGCCTCCCAATTCTTTACTGTTGTAGCTATTCTCCAGGACAGTGTGAGTGGATCTATTGCCCTGGAGATGCCATATCTTCTGTTGCTGCCTCTGAGAAGAGTACAGGAAAAATCTTCATTTATGACGGTCGAGGAGATAACCAGCCGCTTCATATTTTTGACAAACTGCACACATCACCTCTTACTCAGATACGGCTGAACCCAGTTTACAGAGCGGTGGTCTCTTCGGACAAATCTGGGATGATTGAGTACTGGACTGGACCTCCTCACGAATATAAATTCCCCAAAAATGTGAACTGGGAATATAAAACGGACACAGACTTATATGAATTTGCCAAGTGCAAGGCTTACCCAACCAGCATATGTTTTTCACCTGACGGGAAGAAATTAGCTACTATTGGTTCTGATAGAAAAGTTAGAATTTTCAGGTTTTTAACTGGAAAACTGATGCGAGTCTTTGATGAATCATTAAGTGTAAGTGCAGTGTAATCACATTTTACTCTTAAAATGTATTTTATGCAGTTTCTTAAAAGGTGTGTGTTTTATTATTTTGTTTTGTTTTTTGTTTTTGTTTTTGTATTGGAAATAGATGTTCAGATCATTGTTTTTTCTTAGAGTTTAAAACACGAGCTAGTTTCTATCTTGTCCTGGGTATGTTACATGATATTTTTCAAACAAGGTACTCCCTGTTTATTTAGTTGGATATTTTTTTCCGGTTTCATTTGCATATTCATCCTCTTAATGATCCTCAAAATCCAGTTTAGGCCTGGCTTCTGTCCTTACTCCACTGCTGTGTTCTCCCAAATTGATTTCTATAGCTTTCTATTTTCAACACACGTGGGTAAAACCCTCTTGTTTCCTTAATAGAAGAGTGCCACTCTCGATGTGGGTATTGGATACACAAGCCAGCAACGTGTGGCAACCTTAACTCTCTCCTCACATCTCCGTCATGTACTGCTGATTTTCCCAAGTGTGCTTTCAATCACCCGTGTCTTTTCAGCCTAGATGACATTAACCTAGTTTATAATCTTGTGCCTGACTGAACACATAGCCTGCTGCTTGTGTCTGCTCTGGCTTCATGCTAGCAGTCCCCCCAGAGCAGCCTGTCAGAACCATGTACCTGGTATGTCATTTCTTCACCTTGCATTTCTCAATGACTTCCTGTCCTTAGGATCAACAGCAAAACAGTGACCCACGGCGGTGTGGCCGCTGCCTGCTGTAAATCCCACAGCCCTCCGCCCCCTTACTCTAGCACCCTAGGCCACCTTTCAGTTTCTCCAACATGCCCCTCCCTGGGCCTCTGTATATGCTAGTTAGTTCCTCTCCCTGGAGTGAAATCTTCCCACCACCCCACCCGCTCCAGGTCTCCATTGCTGATGGCAACTCACTGTCCGCATTGTAACTGAAGGGAACCTTGCTGTCAGAAGCTTTCCTCATCCATCCAGTCCAAAGCAGTCTAGTGTAATGGGACTATATTGCTCTGTTCCTAAGAGCCTGTAGGTGCTGTGTGATAACCCGCTGAGGACTAAGCTCCATGTCCACCGTTTGGACTCACCGTTTCTCTGTCGCTAAAGAAAGTAACTGACACAGAATTACTCATGACTCTAGCCATCTCTTATTCAGGAATTTATTAGAGTATATAGTTGTAGAATATTAATTTTTACCCTGAGTTCAGTGGTTTCTTTGAGTCTCATCAACTGCTTTGCATTAGAAGGTTCTCTGGGTGCTTACAGTATTTGAATCTGACAATGGATGGGTTGAGCCCTTCTAACAAGAATGTTTGTTGTCTGATGTCACTGTGCAGTCTTGGGCAGGGACTACTTCATATCGCATTCCCTGCATTAAGCACTTCAAAAATTCTGTCAACAGCTCTTAGTGACACTCTTCTTGTCAGGTGATCCTGAATTAGTGCTGACTGCCTGAACTAGTATAAACGCAGGCGAGTATCAAGTTCTGTTGCTAACCAAATGATCATCATGACAAATTTTCTTGTCGAAATAAAATAGATCTCCATTCAGATTTAAAAACATCCCTTTCTTGATGTTTCCTTCTCTTAATGGTGGCTGATAATTAGGTATCACCTGGAATTTAAAGATGATCTTTAAACTCTACCAAATTACATTCCTCCCAGATTCCTCAGGAAAATATTCAGAAAACAGAGTCTGGATTATAAACCTCCTATATATGGTTTATAAACCTCTTGTATGTGGTCTATAATTCAGACTCTTGGTTTTCTGAATATTTTCCTGAGGATTATATTTGTGTATGTATTTCATATATATATGCATGTATGTGTAAATCTCAGGTATTTTGTGATGCCCAATCCATTCTGTCTATTGTTTTCCCAATATTTGTTGAAATGATAGGAATGCAATGGAACCAGGAGGTCAGGAGGAAAACTTGTGAGAGAAATTGTAAATTCAGAATGACAATTTACAAAAGAAAAGTATGTTTCATTGGTTCCTGACAATGCAAGTGGCCAGTAATACCCAGAGTCTCATAGTTCCATGTTGGGAAGTTGAGGACCTTCTAATAGATTAGAATCCTAGCTTAACAAGTGAGAAATTGAATGGGATGATGTGAATTTATATCTTTTAATATCAATTGAAACTTACAGGGTCTGTTGTAGCCATACAGTTACCTATTACAGAAACTGCTATAAAAACTAGAATACAGGGAAGATTCTGAGTTGGTACTTAAAAGGTTAAATTATGAAATGCTTTCATATGGACAGTTGCCCTCTTGTAAACATTATGCCTTAAAAACCAAGTCATCTTAAGTATTCCTGGGATACAAATAAGCAACACAGTGTGTGTATGTGTGTGTGTGTCTTTGAGACCAGATACAAGACAACAAGGCCTTTTAGCTGTAAGACTCTACCCTCATGCTTGTACCTAACCAACTCAACTCCTTTTGCTGTTTAAATTTTGTATGTTGTTATTATCACATTTTCAAAAAAAAAAAAACTGTAGGTTTTCAGTTAACAGTTAACATAAGTAAGAATGAAAGATGGAAGTAAATGGGACATGTCTAGTTTATTTTTATCTGCAATGGAGAGGTACTTTTGAATTGTGTTTGAAACCCTGTCTAAAAAATTGAATATAAGCACCCTCATATTTTTGGAAGGTTTAAATGTGCTAATGTATAGTAATTGAGACGTGACCCCTAATGTGAAAATGGTGTGTTAATATCAAAAGAAAAGTGAACCAAATTTTCCAAACTCTATAGGGTACACAAAAGAGGGGAAACAAAAAGCGCCTTTCTCCTAAATCACATCCATCCGTCAGGTAACCTAACTGCCCAATGTCAAAATAACGTGAAATATTTTCTGAACTACGATGAATTTGTTATAAATCGTGAGCTACTAGGAGTTTATTCTCAGGGGGGAAAAATGAGTGTTTGCCTCAGGATCTCATAGTTTACAGTATTCCAGGTAGCTGTTAGCCATAGTGGCAGCTGAGCCCTTGATGGGTCTCATCCAAATGAAAGCATGCTGAGAGTCAAATACATGCAAGATTTGAAAAGCTTAAATTTCTTCAAATAGTAATTTTATTTTTATATTGTTAATGTTGAAATAATACATTGGATACATTGGGCTAAAACAATTACTTCGCCTCTAGCTACTGGGACATTTTTATGTGTAGTGTGCGTTGTATTTGATTATGAAGTGATGATCATAAGCTTTTTTAAAAGACTGCTGATCTGTTCATATTCTATTAAATATGAAGAGTTTAGTTACCACTTAGGTTAAAATGCTTTGAAGCTTACTAGTATCTTTTTATTTCTACTTACACTGATCAGAATCTGTTAATATATGTATGTATACAGCAGTGGCGCTCAATGTGCATTCTGCTTTTGTTCAATGCTCATGCCTTGTGTTACATGTACATACATAAACAATACATGCTACATGTGTGCTGTGGAGTTTGAAAAACATTTTGCACCAAAATGCTTATCTTTTCATTTTTTTCCAGACTTTGAAATTGTGTGTGTGTGTGTGTGTGTGTGTGTATGTGGGGGTAGCATTTTTGTTAATACGTGCTTTTTTCCCTAGATGTTTACTGAACTGCAGCAAATGAGACAACAGCTACCAGACATGGAATTTGGCCGACGAATGGCTGTAGAGCGTGAGTTGGAGAAAGTGGATGCTGTACGGTTAATTAATATAGTTTTTGATGAAACTGGACACTTCGTACTCTATGGAACAATGCTGGGCATTAAAGTTATAAATGTGGAGACAAACCGGTAAGCTTCACTATGATGTGTGTTCTCAAAAATGCATTTATGGGATAGCAGTTCCTCCATCAGGGAAACAATGGGAGTTTTGTTTGTTCCAAGACAAGTGGCATGGTCCCAAATGTCTAAACTTAACCAAATGTTTTGACTGGATTTTTTGTGTCTCTTGGTTGTTTATAATCTTATGTAAAAAGTTTCCACTCGTGTTTATAAAAGAAATGGAAAGAAGATATGCATAGTTTCAAGCTTTTTTTTTTAACAAGTTTCAGTCTGTCTTTTGCTTGTTGATTTAAATTAGCCTGGCTCACGTTAAATGTTGCCAAATATTTTAACCACAGAATTCGGCATTACATCCTACTAGACATAAAATCAGAAGTTAAAATGCATGAAACCACAATAAGCCTTTTGTGCAAATAGTCCATTTGGTCCTAATACAAAATCGCTATAATCAGATATTGTCACTGAATATAAATTAAAAGAATTTAAAGATTACTCTAAGGACAAAAAAAGGCCTTTGTGTTCTACATTCAAACATACATACGAACATTCATAGTTCCTGGCAATAGAAGATCTTTGAAGGTTTACAAAAAGATAGAAACAGTAGAAATACATTAAATTGCATGTTCACTGTACAAAGGATATTGCCCCGGATCCCTACAGATACCAAACTGTGGCTGTTTCTGTTCCATACATAAAACTGCATGGATTTGTAAATAACCTGTGCACATGCACTGGTGTTCTTCATTTTTTTCCTTGACTCTCCCCCTCTGCGAGCCACAGCATCCTCCCCAGCTGAGCAGGCAGCATCCCTGCCTGACACCATGACGATGCCTGCTGTAACGGACTGTTTTGTAGAGACTAATTTTTTTTTAAGATTTACTTATTTTTTATTGGGAAGGAAGATCAGAATTACAGAGAGAACAAGAGACAGCGAGAAAGATCTTTTTTATTTGTTGGTTCAACCCCCAGATGGCCACAACAGCTGGAGCTGAACTGATCCAAAGTCAGAGACCAGAAGCTTCTTCCGGGTCTCCCACATGGGCTCGGGCTCCCTGGCCTTTGGGCCGTCCTTGACTGCTTTGCCAGGCCACAGGCAGGGAGCTGGATGGGAAGTGCAGCAACAGGGACACTAACTGTGTGGTTCCCATATAGGAACCTGGCCTGGGTACAGTGAGGATTTAGCCATTGTGCCAGGACCCTGTGGTTTACTTTAAGTCATCTCCGTTTTATTTCTGTTACATAAAGACAATGTAAATGTCATATAAATATTTACTATATTGAACAGTTTAGGAAATACTGATAAGGAAAAAACTGTACACATTCAGAACTATACAGTTTTGAGTATTTTAAGGATTTATTTACTTTAAGATCTTCCTTTTGCAGGTTCACTCCCCAAATGGCCACAATGGCCAGAGCTAAGCCAGTCCAAAGCTAGGAGACAAGAACTTCTTCCAGGTTTTTCATGTGGGTCCAGGGCCCAAGCACTTGGCCCATCCTCCGCTGCCTACCCAGATCACCAATAGGGAACTACATGGGAAGTGGAGCAGTCAGGACTGTAACTGGCCACTGGCACTGCGGGTAGAGGAGGATTAACTGACTATACCACCATGCCTGACCCCAATTTTGAATGTTTTTTTATTAAAATTTTTGTTTAGAACCATGGATGAAGAGCCTACAGATACAGGGAACTGATTGCATAGTGCATTTTTTTCAGTATTTTATCCTAATAGGCTTTTTAAAGCACTGTTTTATATTCATGGCAAAATTGAGTAGAGACTGCAGGAGTTTCCCACCTACCCCGTGTTCCCAGCCCAATGCGTGCATAACCCCAGTTACCAACAACCTCCACCAGAGTGGAGCATTGCTGACAGCTGGTGATCCTGTACTGACAAGCTGTGATTACGTATTTCGCGGAATCCATAGCTTATCTTAGGGTAATGTGTGTACATGCTGTGGGTCTGGGCAGCTGTGTAATGACTTGGCCCCTCATTGTATTATCAATCAGAATTTTTCACTGCCCCAAAAAAGCCTTCTCTGCTAAGACCATCTGACTTCCTAACCTGTCACAACAAGCACTAATATTTTCATTTTTTTCTATAGTTTGCCTTTTCTAGAATTCCATATATTGGGAAAAATACAGTATGTAGCATTACAGATTGATTTCTTTTCATTAGTAATATGCATTTAAGAGTGTTCTATGTCTTTCTGTACTGTGGTAGCTCATTTCCTTTTGGAACTGAATAATCTGTTGATTGGATATACCAGCTTACCCATTCATCGCCTATTAAGAGTATCTTGGTTGCCTCTAACTTCTGGCAATCCTGAGTAAAACCAATATAAGCGTACATGTACAGAGCTCTGCATAGACATAGAATTTTTCGACTTTTTTGAATACAAACGAGGGAACACAGTGGCTGAATCATATTTTAGATCTTTATTTATTTGAGTTACAGTTGTAGACATGGGGAGACAGAGGGATCTTGTGTTTCCTGGTTGCTTTACTCCCCGGATGGCCCCAACAGCCAGATAGGGCCAGGTTATAAACTGGAGCTAAGACTTTCCTATCTGTCTCCCACATGCATGCAGAGGCCCGAGCACTTGGGCCATCTTCCAGTACTTTCTCAGATATATTAGCAGGGAGCTGGATCGGGAGTGGAGCAGCCAGGCTACAAACTAGTGCTCATGTAGGATACCAGCATCACAGGCAGGGGCTTACCATGCCAGCCCCAAGTGTATTTCATTTGCAAAGAAAGCGTCAAGCTGTGTTCGGAAGTGGCTGCTGCCTTGTGTATTGCCACTAGCAGTGAATGAAGGCTCCTGTTGGCCCACATCCTTTGGCAACATTTCATATTGACAGTGTCCTGGATTGGCCATTCTGATCAGTGCAGTGGGATTGTGTTTTAGTTTAGATTTCCCTGGTAATACATGATAGGGACAATCCTTTCATTTGCCATCTGTGTATGTACTCTGATGGAGTATTGGTTAAGGTGCTTTGACCATTTTTCTTTTTTCTTTTTTCTTTTAAGATTTATTTATTTTTATTGGAAAGGCTGATATACAGAGAGGAGGAGAGACAGACAGGAAGATCTTCCATCTGATGATTCACTCCCCAAGTGACTGCAACGGCCGGTGCTGTGCCAATCCAAAGCCAGGAGCCAGGAGCCTCTTCCGGGTCTCCCACACAGGTGCAGGGTCCCAAGGCTTTGCGTCGTCCTCGACTGCTTTCCCAGGCCACAAGAGCAGGATGGGAAGCAGGGCTGCCGGGATTAGAACTGGCAACCATATGGAATCTTCACGCATGCAAGGCTAGGACTTTAACCACTATGCTATCACTCTGGGCCCTGCCCATTTTTCAAGTGGATTGTTTGTGTTATTGACTTTAGGAGTTTGTCATTATTGATCAGAATTAATTCTGATGATCTTACCCTGTAAAACATTGTTATGTTTTCCAGTTGTGTGCGGATCTTAGGCAAGCAAGAAAATATCAGAGCGATGCAGTTGGCTTTGTTTCAGGGGATAGCCAAAAAGCATCGTGCAGCAACCACCATAGAGATGAAAGCTTCGGAAAACCCTGTTCTCCAGAACATGCAGGCTGACCCCACCATCGTCTGCACGTCCTTTAAGAAGAACAGATTTTATATGGTATGTGGAAGTGCTAGAATACAGACCTTCCGGGGAGAGCTTCCTTTTCGTGGCTTAAGCCTTCAACTGAAGAGAATGTTGGCAGTAGCTGCAGATTCTCTAAACAGCCAGAATATCATAGTACAACACTAGTATTGTAGAATCTTAACTAGAAGTTGATTCTAAGTATTGCAGTCCTTTTTTTTCCATCATGTTTTGGAAATTTTTCAGTCTGGTGTCTGGTAATTTGTGCTTAGGTAGAAAGTTAGTGGCTATGGTTATAATTGCATTAAAAATAGTTCTTTTTTAGAAAAATATGATTTATTTATTTGTTTATTGAAAAGTGAGATTTACAGAGACAAGCAGAAAGATTTTTTCCATCCGCTGATTCATTCCCCAAATGGCCACAAGTAGAGCTGATCCAAAGCCAGAGCCAAGAGCTTCTTCCAGGTCTCCCACGCAGGTGCAGGGTCCCAAGACTTTGGGCCATCCTTGACTGCTTTCCCAAGCTACGAGCAGGGAGCTGGATGGGAAGTGGAGCTGCCAGGATTAGAACAGGCGCCGATATGGGATCCCAGCACGTTCAAGGCGAGGATCCTAGCCGCTAGACTACCACACCGTGCTCAGTCAGAACTTACAAAAACCCTTTACTGACTCTCCTTTGTAGGGCGGCTGACTTTCTTCATTTATACACCCACTTTGATTGTTTGTTCATTTGCTACCATGGTCATACTGAAATGATCCTGTTCAAAAGCACTGAAATCTCTCTCTCTCTCTCTCTTAAAATCTGCAGCTTTTACACAGGTATTCCTTCTGCCCAAAACGCTCTTCTCCCCAACTCCTAGTCATGCTTCAGTTTCCTCATTGGAAGTCAGTTTCTTTTTATTTAATTTACTTGAAAGAGGGGTTTTCCTTCCGCTGGTTCACTCCCAGATGGCCACTGCAGCCTGAGCTGGACCTGTCTGAAGCCAGGAGCCAGGAGCTTCCTCCGGGTCTCCCACATGGGTCTCGCAGCTCTGTGTCTTCCCAGGCCATTAGCAGAGAGCTGGATTCAGTGTGGCAGCTAGGACACAGACCAGTGTCCACCTGCGGTGCTGGCTCCGCAGGCGGAGAGTTAGCTCGATGCAGCACCGTGCCAGCTCCCAGAAGCCTTCTCTTAGCATCCAGTCTTAGATGTATCTGCATGTGTTCCTCTTGCACTTTCCCTGTCATTATTTGACACATATTTTATGGATAAAAGTCATAACTTGGTAAGTTTTTGGGTCTTAGTGGCTTCTCAAGATGATATAAAATCTGGAACTATGTTGCACTGTTCCTTCTCTTTAAATCGACTAAATTCATAAAAATCAGCCACCTGTAGTATGCCCAGCCCGGATAAGCATATTCATTACAAGATGACGTAGCAGTTGATACTATTAATGTGGCAAGCATCTGATATAAATGTGAAAACTAGTTTTCCTCCCTCAGCCAAACCTCCCACCTAAAATTGGTGAGTTGCTTTAAAATGAGTTTTGCTTTTAATTTGACTCATTTCTACATATGAAAATATTTTTGTCTTGTTTCATCTAACTTAACTCGATTGTGAAATAAACTCTAATAAGAATTATTGATATACAATAACAACACATTAATTTTACATCCACTTTATTAAAAATATTTAGTAGAGTTATGTTTTTTGCTTTCTTCAAACTTAATAGTGGTTAAAGCATACATGTGTGTCTTACTGAACTCAGTGCTTTACACAGCTAAACTGCTGTTGTAAATTTTACTATTTTAGAAGTACATTTTCTTAATGAAAATTCAAGCAGTATATCCTTGAATACATGAATTTTATAGTCCCTTTGTGAAATTCAACATTATGAAAATTGTGAAATTGTACTTTACAAATCCATAAGTGAGTTAAATCAAGAAAGCTTTGAAAAAATAAATTTTAGTGAATAACGCAACAGGTAAGTCATTACTCTGAAAATGGAAAGATCAGATGTTATATTAAAAACTTTTTCACTTGGTTGTACATTTGGAATGTATCGAAGGCAGGCAACAAATGACATTAGCAAGAAAGGGATTTTGCGCTAGCTTTATCATTTGAAAAGCAGTTGGCCTCAGAGAGCGCTCATTTACAGAGAGTAACTACTTACTAGCAGTCAAGGGAAAGAAGTAAAAATGAAGGCATCCAGAGTTTTAACAACTGAGGATTTTTTTCTACTCTCACACTTTGCATATCCTGAGATTCTACGGTTTCACTCAAAATTGGCATTTTTTTTTTTTCCTCCCAAGTTCCAGAGTTGGGTAGAGCTGAGGAGATTGTAAAGAAACGCCAAGCTCTACGACTGATTCGTCCGTGGGAATCCTCACCCTGCCTTGCACTATTCACCAGTAAAAATCATTGTTGATACGTGTTTAGTACACTCTGTATTGGGCATTATTTTCTAAGCACTTTGTTTCCATTCATTTAATCTTACAATCACCTGCGTTGAGCGTTAGTTACTATTATATCTCATTATGAATGAGGAAATTCGATTGAGTCACTTCCCCAGAGTCACATCGCTACTAAATGTGGAACTGGAATTCAGACTGGCGATGAGTAACACCCAGCAGACCAAGATGTCCCGGAAGGCCTAAATAGTCCTACAAATCAGTACGAGCCCAAAGGAAATTAAATCAGAGTACATGTTCATTACAAGGGTTATTTTCATAGTAACTTATTTCATAAGTAAATAAGTTGAATGACTTACTTATGATAGGAAGTGATGCCGAAAGAAGGATTTATACTGACGTGAATTCTTCAAATACTTTATCAGAAGTGAAATTTTTCCATTCATCAGTTCTTGCCAACTAAAAATTTTCATTCACTCGCTTTTGATTTTCCTTTCTGAGTTTACCAAACGCGAACCAGAAGACACAAAAAGTGCAGATTCTGACCGTGATGTCTTTAACGAGAAACCTTCTAAGGAGGAAGTCATGGCCGCCACTCAAGCTGAGGGACCCAAGCGAGTCTCAGACAGTGCCATCATCCACACCAGCATGGGCGACATTCACATCAAGCTGTTTCCCGTGGAGTATGTACTATTTTGTGTTTGTATAAACACCAGTGAAATGTGTGTCTTTGCAGAATCTTAAAGTCACTACTCTGCAGGAATTGTGAAAAATTTGAACATTTGATGGAGCACCCATTCCTACGCTTAGTAACTGCTCTGCTGGACCAGGAGACAGCTTCATACTTCCTCGTATAACCACAGGGTTAGCTGCAAGACAAAATAATTCAGCTGTGAAAGTAATGAATATCAATGCTATCCAGATGTGTAGCATTACCACCGTCAGCTACACGTCTACGCTCTAGGCCTTGTGCTTTCCTTTAACTGGCTTTTATCTCAGAACAGATCCTCAAGAAGGCTAATTATGGTTTTTCTTTCTGAGATTTGCTAGACATGCACTACGTCCTCCTTAGCTCAGTAGTTATACACTTCACACACGAATTCCAAGAAAAATAACTAAGGGTGTCTATTGAAGAAATGCTAAAAATATTCTGCACACTATAGAAATATATAAAATTGGGGTGTGTGGCCCAGCATGGTAGCCTAGTGCCTAAAGTTCTCCCCTTGCATGTGCCAAGATCCCACACAGGTGGCAGTTTATGTCCAGACAGCCCCGTTTCCCATCCAGCTCCCTGCTTGTGGCCTGGGAAAACAATCGAGAACAGCCCAAAGCCTTGGGACCCTGCACCCATGTGGGAGACCCAGAGGAAGCTCCTGGCTCCTGGCTTTGGACCGACTTAGCTCCGGCCATGGTAGCCTCTTGGGCAACGAACCACTGGACGGAAGAACTTTCTATAAATCTCACTTTCCAAAAAAAAAAAAAAAGCTTTTTTTAAAAAATTATAGATTGTCATTTCTGCATAACTTAACATGCGATCATTTGGTAAAGTTAGAATTGAGGGGCTTCATATTTTGGCTCTGATTGTCATTCAGTGTTGATTCCATTTATGAGCTGTCCTTTCTGTGCATAAGCTCCAGCAGGAAGGTGTCGGTTTAATGGCAGAATTTGAATAAGAGTGTTACCTTCCCCAGGAAGTCAGAGCACTTTAAGGTGCTGTGATTGTATCTCCTTAAGTTGCTAAGTGAAATGAAAACTTTTTTTCAAACTCCAAAATTAATAAGCACCGGGATGCTACTTTGAAAAAATAAAAATATGCCCCTTCTGGGATGCACTTTGAACTCTTGCTTGTCCTGATATTAGAAGAGTTTAGGAAAATGACTGGCTTTCTAAAAATTCAGAACACATCGACAATATCTTTAGGAAGCTGAGCTACAACAAAAATTGTCTTAAGATGCCCTGCGTCTGTTTCATACGTATTTACATCTTACTAGGTGCCCTAAGACAGTGGAAAACTTCTGTGTCCATAGCAGAAATGGTTATTACAATGGACATACATTTCACCGTATAATTAAGGTAAGTTACACATATTTCATATGATTTAAGAAATAAAGTATTATTGTATAACCAAAGGTATCAGCCAAAGGAATTCTCTTTTTGACATTAAGTGAATTATGGAACAAAGCGAAAATGGGCTAATAAAGCCAAACCAAAATGGGTCATTGTGAACGGCTTAGATCAGGGTGGGAATGGTGACATGGCTGCCTTTTTAGATAAACGCCAGCAGTGTCTGGCAGCAGCAAAGCAGAGAGTAAGATGATGGGCAGAAAGTCACGCTAAGATAAAACCAATAACCATGGTTAACCTAGTCCTAGTAGCTACCTAGGTCTAGAAGCAGGAAGTAACACTTCAAATCCTATTATTAGAGAAGCAGATGAGCAGCCTTCTGTAAAGTGAATGGACTTTCTGGAAATCCAGAGTAATTGCAGAAAGAAAGGTGAGAAGAAGGAATTATATCAGACATAAAATCCTATATAGGTCATAAAATGTAATTACAGTATTAACTGATTGAATTCATAATATAAAATATGATTCGCGTCTTTAAACTAGAAGGCTGATCTAGGTACGGCCCCGGTGTTTAGCCTCTCAGTGGAGACACTGATTGGAATGTCACATCCCACGGTGAGTCCGTAGCTTGAGTCAGAGTTCCTGACTCCAGCATCCTGTCAGTGCAGCCCCTTGGAGGCTGTTCCGTAATGCCTGCAGGAGCTGGGATTCAGCCGCCCTTGTGGGATACCTGGATTGAATTCCTAGCTTCTGGATTTGACCCAGCCCAGTCTTGGCCAACATGGCATTTGAAAGATTCAGCAAGGAGATATTAACTCTCTTGTCTTTGTTCCTTTCTTAGCTCTGCTTCTCAAAATTAAAAAAAAAATTTTTTTTAATTTAAGTACAAAAAATTTTGAAGTCCATGTATACAAAGAGTTTTCAGAAAGTTCATGGAAAATGTGTTTTGTGGAAATTTTCAAGATTTTTATGCACTAGAGTCAATTTACCATTAATTTTTTTTTTTGCGCCAAAGTATGAAGTAATGTGTGGGTGGATGTGTTTGTGTATACGAGGAGTACATAGAAATAGAGGAAGGCAGTGTAATATGCTTTTGTCCTCTTTCCTGTTCAGGGCTTCATGATTCAGACAGGAGATCCAACAGGGACTGGTATGGGAGGAGAAAGCATTTGGGGAGGAGAATTTGAAGATGAATTTCATTCAACATTAAGGCATGACAGACCATACACGCTCAGCATGGCCAACGCTGGATCAAATACTAATGGATCACAGTTTTTCATAACAGTAGTACCAACGGTAAGTACATCATTCCTATAAACCACAGATCCATGTTTATGATGTAAGAGAATTGATTCAGTGGAAGTTTATCCTCTGCTTTATTTAGATCTACTGTGTTATAAAAATGAAAGCAATTAGGAAAGAAAATAATTTTGACGAATCAAAAGTTTTTTCTAAAATTTATTTCCTTGAAAAGCAAGTAGAGAGGAGGAGCGGGAGAAAACAGACGGATTCACTGGCTTAGTGAACGCAGCAGCCAGAGCTTGGCCAGTCTGAAGAGCTAGGGCCTTCCTCCAGGTCTCTGTGTGGGTGCAGGGGCCCAGCCCCTTTCCCCTGCTTTCCCAGGCACATTAGCAGGGAGCTGGAACAAAAGCGGAGCAGCTGGACCATGAACCGGCACCCATATGGGATGCTGCAACTTCAGGTGGTGGTTTCACATCCCCACAGCGCAGCGCGGCCCCCAAACATTTTCATGCAACACAAAGCAAATTGGACTGTGATTCAAAATTCTTGAGCTTCAATGGCTAATGGATCTTACTCTGTCACTACTGATTTTATAGCTTTAAAGGATTTAATTCACTTTTGTTGATCTGTTTCAGTATCTTGAGAATGGAGGAATTTTAAGACATTTCCCCCACATTTCTGGTCTGCAGTATCAGAATATAATATGCCAAATCAGTGGTGCCTTAGGTTTGATAAAATATATGATGCTCAGGGCCAACACAATGGCCCCAGTGACGAATCTTCTGCCTGCAAGCTCTGCCATTCCACATGGGCGCTAGCTGCGCCACTTCTGATCCAGCGCCCAGTTTACGGCTTGGGAAAGCAACGGAGGATGGCGCAAAGCCTTGGGACCCTGTCCCACTGTGGGAGACCTGGAAGAGGCTCCTGGCTTTGTCTCAGCTCTGCTCCAGCTTCTGCAGCTGTCTGGGGAAAGAACAAGTGAGTGGATGATCTGTCTTTGCCTCTCCTCCTCTGGGGAAATTTGCTTTTCCAGTAAAAAATAGGACGCAGTTTGAGCCCTGGCTGTCCCACTTGCCATCTGGCTCCTTGCTGATGACCCAGGAAAAGCAACAGGAGACAGTCCAAGTGTTTGGGCCTCTGCCCCCCAGTATGGGAAATCCAAATGAAGCTCCTGGTTCCTACATCCTTTCCCAGCACCTGGCCTTTGTAGCTTTCAAGGGTGTGGACTAGAAGATAAAGATTTCTCTCCATCTTTCCCACTGTTAACTCTCAACTTTTTTATTTTTTAAGATTTATTTATTTTTATTGGCAAAGCGGATATACAGAGAGAAGGAGAGACAGAGAGGAAGATCTTCTGTCCGATGGTTCACTCCCCAAGCTGCCACAACGGCCAGAGCTGAGCCAATGCGAAGCCAGGAGCCAGGAGCTTCTTCTGGGTCTCCCACGTGGTGCAGGGTCCCAAGGCTTTGGGCTGTCCTTGACTGCTTTCCCAGGCCACAAGCAGGGAGCTGGATGGGAAGCAGGGCTGCCAGCATTAGAACTGGCACCCGTATGAGATTCTGACGCATGCAAGGCGAGGACTTTAACCACTATGCCATCACGCCGGGCCCAAATCTCAACTTTTGAATAAATCCTAAAAAAACAAACAAAAACTGTTCTACCTATTTTCAAAAATACAGTAAAATATAGAGCTGGCATAGTGGCTCAACAAACTAAACCTCCACCTGCAAACGTGAGGATCCCATATGGGCACTGGTTTGTGTCCCAGCTGCTCCTCTTCCCACCCAGCTCCCTGCTTGTGGCCTGGGAAAGCGGTAGAGAATTGGGCCCCTGCACCCATGGGGGAAACCTAGAAGAGACCCCTGGCTCCTGGTTTCAGATCGGCTCAGCTCCAAACGTTGCAGCCTTTTGGGGAGTGAAGCATCAGATGGAAGATCTTTCTGCCGCCTCCTCTGTAAATACAGGTACGCTGATAGTCTTCCATTTGTTCTCGCCGCAGCCTTGGCTTGACAACAAGCACACCGTGTTTGGACGGGTGACCAAAGGAATGGAAGTTGTGCAGAGGATCTCCAATGTCAAGGTCAATCCCAAAACAGACAAGCCTTACGAGGATGTCAGCATCATAAATATCACTGTCAAGTAAATGTGATTTATACAGAAAAATGCCCAGAATTAAACACAAGATTATTTTACAATAGGAACCTTAAGATTTGCTGAACCTATAGATCATGTGTCAAAGATACAGTGCGGTATTTTTGTATTTGCCATTAAACGCCGTTGTTTAAGAACTGGCTGTGTTATTGCTGTGTTTCTAATCCTGGTAGATGTGAAACCAGACGAAACGTGGACCAGCAGCATTCCTCGCAGGTGATTTCTCATGAGACTCAAATATTCAGTGATTACATACGATGGGGTGTATTCAAAAACATGCCGGGTCGTCCACCCTTTTATGTTGAAACGGGATATTGTGTAACCTTTCCTTCATTAAGCTCTCATTTCACACCAAATATGTTCGTCTTGAATATTGTTCAGAAATAGTGACAAACTGCAACAAATAAATAGGAGGCCCCTTTGGTTAAAAATATTACATATGTTAAGTATTATATATCTTCACATATAAGAACCAGAATAAATGAATATCTGAGTTCTTGGGTTTACAGAGAAGTTCATTTACTAGGTTTTTTTTTTTTTTTCCAAATGTAACTACACACTTTTTTCTACAAGTTTTATCTACTAAGTTGTTATCTAATACCATTATAGTAGATATTGGAAGTTTCATATTGATTTCCTATCCCTGCCTATCCACACAATAACCACGGCTTGCTGCTTGTCCCTTCCAGGTACCTGTACAGGGAGCATGCTCAGCCGGCTGTTTAGGGAATTCATATTCTTACATTTTAAATCTAAGCTTAGACTTTTCCTTGGTCAGCAGGATTAATCCATTTTATACTTAAGCATCCTGAGAGATGGAGGAATATGCTAAATTAATGCTGTGTCCTCCTTTTTAAAAGGTGAATATCAAATTGGACCTAAAAGGATTTTTTACCATGACATTTACCTTTTCATTGTAATATTAAATATTTAGGCAACCATCTAGGCTAAAACCTAATTTCACCTAATTTTTTGGTAATACTGCCACCAAGTGGTGACAAAATACAATTCTTTCACTTTGATTGGATGCTTGACTAACAAATGCTGCCATTCCATGTTGCAAATTTAGCCTGAATGGTAGACTTAAAAAAATACATTGGGCCCAGCGGCTAAAGTCCTCACCTTGAACGTGCCAGGATCCCATATGGGCGCCAGTTCTAATCCCGGCAGCTCCACTTCCCATCCAGCTCCCTGCTTGTGGCCTGGGAAAGCAGTCGAGGATGGCCTAAAGCCTTGGGACCCTGCACCTGTGTGGGAGACCTGGAGGAAGTTCCTGGCTCCTGGCTTCGGATCGGCATAGCATCAGCCTTTGCGCTCACCTGTGGAGTGAATCATCGGACGGAAGATCTTCCTCTCTGTCTCTCCTCCTCTCTGTATATCTGACTTTCCAATAAATAAATAAATCTTAAATACATTGCAATGTGTGTTTTAAAGCTTTTTCAATTTTTTGTCAAGATACACTCTGCTTATTCAGCGATTCCTTCATTCTACAACTGGGTTAGGAAAGTGTGTAGCTAGCTGTTGCAAATTGAAAACTATCCCAGCATTAGGTAAATACCCTTTCTCTAGCAATGTGAGTGCACAGACTCTGGCTACATTTTCAAAGTAATTTCCTAAAGCGATCATTTGAAATATTACATTTCTAATATGAAACATTAAATATAAATTTCAAAAGCAACCAAGTTTAACTATGTGGATTGCCATAGTGGCATGGCAGGTTAAGCCGTAGCGCTGGCATCCCGCATGGGTGCCAGTTGGAGTCAGATGCTCCACTTCCCTACTGATGCACCCGGAAATGCCGCAGATCAGCCCAGTGTTTGGACCCCTGCACCCAGAGCTCTGAGGCTTTGGCCTGCCCTACCCCCAGCTGCTGTGGTCTTTGGACACTGAACCAGCAAATGCAAAGATCTGTCTTCCTTCTGTAATTCTACCTTTCAAATAAATCTTTAGAAGAACAGTTTAGTCCAATATGAAGTTTTAGCTCCTCCTTCCAAATACATTTGTATTACTTATTTAAATATGACCTATGGGGCCTGATGCAGTAGCCTATTGGTTAAAGTCCTCACCTTGCACATGCCAAGATCTCATATGGGTGCTGGTTCATGTCCTGGCAGCCCTACTTCCCATCCAGCTCCCTGCTTGTGGCCTGGGAAAGCAGTCAAGGACAGCCCAAAGCCTTGGAACCCTGCAACCGCATGGGAGACACGGAAGAAACTTCTGGCTCCTGGCTTCGGATTGGCTCAGCTCTGGCCATTGTGGCCACTTGGGGAGTGAATCAGCGGACAGAAGATCTGTCTCTCCTCCTCTCTGTATATCTGATTTTCCAATAAAAGTAAATAAATTTTAAAATAAATAAATATGGTCTGTTGCAAGTACAGAATAAGTTACTTGGATTTCTCCTTTATCAAATAAACTGCCTCTTAAATTATATAAACAAGTCAGTGTCCATCCCTTTTGTATTGTCTCAACTATAGCACAAACAATGACTCTTAGGTTGGCTGCTAAGAATGCACGGTTCAAGAACAGACTTTACAATAATAATAGCACTGCTCCTTTCAAATGATTTTATAACATTTTATTGCTCTCTACACTGTTCATAAATGTGGTTTGAATAATGCTTTCTGGTGGTTATAAAGCATTCCTGAATATAGATCAGGATGATGTACCTGACAAACTGGCTTTCCTTATATCATACAATAATAATTAGGCTTAATACAGAAGACATCTAGAAGCAAATCCAACAAAACATCTAAAATTGTTAAACTTGATACTTCCCAGGGTAAGATGCACAGTTTTAACTAATCAGTAATGAAAAAACACACAACCACAAATAGTAATAGAAGCCTGAGAAAAAACATTTAAGAAAAATCACACAGTAGCAGACTTCCTTGGTATATACACTGCCATCAAACCTAAGAACAAATTTCAAATTCTGTTCACTGATGTGCTGAGAATGTGAACAACAAAACTGCCAAAATGATTTACAAAGTTCACATATTAGTGTTTTTAAAGCATCTAGTAGAGAAAGCAGTTCAGGAGCTCACAGGCAAATGCAATACTTTATTTTTCACAGTTAACTGAAATCAGTCACATTAAATAATTTAATTCCAAACTACTACTTATGCATACAAACTACACTTGTAACAGCATGACCTTGAAATTAAAATAGAAAGGACAAAATATTAACTTGCTTATTTACATGTTGCCCATAACATCGATGGGATTTTAATGCTTCATTTTTTTTTTAAGTCTTGTTTAAAAAAAAGGTTTGAAAAGACTGAACCCAAAACTCCGCCAGCTAAAGGTAACCCCTTGTCTTCCAACGTTACTGCATTTACAATTCAACTGATGTGTTTAAAGCTTCGGTCTCATGAAGAGCATTAAAAAAAACACTCATATAGCTACTTAAATATAATAAATCGTGCTTCCATATGAGAATGTCTTTTCAAAATAAAAAGCACAACATTTCTTTTGCTCACAACACTGCATAATAAATGTAAACTCTTAGAATGTTTCTTTTCCTTCCCTAGACCTATTTTTCCTCTTAAATAACTTATCAAAGCTTTGTCGTGAGCCTTGATTCTGTGTTATTGTCTACATAAATGCACTTAAGTGGGGAAATATTCTACAGTAAATAAGCATTTCTCACTGTTTATAAACTATTTCTCTTAGTTTTTTATTTAGATCTCTACCCTGGTCACTTGTGTCACTACTGTCAATCCCACAAAGCAGAAACTTTCTCTGTGAAATGTGTTGAAGGACAGAAGGCCCAGGCTGGAACCCTGGCCTGGGAGGCACGCATGCCCAGGCTCCGCCCTGGGATCGCGGCTCTCGGTGACATCCGGTGACTTTCACAGCTTTTATTTTTCAGCATAGTATGTATCTAACAATCAGGCCGAGATATTTCATTCTCTCACTGTTTTATATAAAATTCTTCAGGAGAAAATGTTACTGAAACACTGTATAAAGCCTCTTCTAGAGCACGTATTTCTTAGCATTAAAGGTGTTCTGTTCCACTGAACGTAAACGGAATCATTCCACGGAAAGTGCAGTTTACATGCTCACTGAACACCTGCCATTTCTAACGACCACCGTGATGCAGTGAGAAGGCAGGGAGGGGAGAAGCCTCGCTCCCACACAGCTTAGGTTAGAATTAGACAGTTAGTTATTTTCTTCATTGAAAGAATAATGCTCCACTTGTCCCTCCTCTGTGACTACCGCTTTTCCGACATGCGGGTCACGTGCCATCTGAAGGATGGACATAACGTGTACTTTTAAAAGGTAGACTGAACAAACCTCTGTTTAATTCGATATCTCAGATATTTAAATTTTACCACAGAATAACTTTTTAAAGAAACAATGTGTTTACTTTCCAATCTACGATTCTTTTTCCTAAATTATCATCTTGGAGGTGTAGAATTTCTTATAACAATATTGTTCGAAAAATAACTCTTAAACAAAACTGCTGCATTTAAAATCAAGCGACATCCAATACTCCGGCAGCCACGAGCTGCCGGGAGAGCCAGTCTAGGCCCTCGTGCAGCCCCATGCCGCTGCGGGCGTCACAGCCCTGGATGAACCAGCTCCGGCCACAGCACAGCTTGTGCAGACTCAGCAGTTCAGCGACGGCCTCCACCGACAGCGCTCCAGCAACGTCCTGAAAGAGATGGACACATCATTTTTTCTCAATCTATCCAAATCACTGTTTTTCTATTTATTATTTATATAGAAATTTGCCGAAAGCATCCTCATGGAAACTTAAACTAAATGTAAAACCTAGATCTTTTAATAATTATCTGGGCCCAGCGCGATAGCGTAGTGGCTAAAGTCCTCGTCTTGAATGCGCCGGGAGCCCATATGGGCGCCGGTTCTAATCCCAGCAGCTCCACTTCCCATCCAGCTCCCTGCTGTGGCCTGGGAAAGCAGTCGAGGACAGCCCAAAGACTTGGGACCCTGCACCCACGTGGGAGACCGACAAGAAGTTCCTGGCTCCTGGCTTCGGATTGGCGCAGCACCGCCATTGCGGCAGCTTGAGGAGTGAACCATCGGACAGGAGATCTTCCTCTCTGTCTCTCCTCTGTATATCTGCCTTTCCAATAAAAATAAAATAAAGCTAAAAAAAATTTTTTATTCTGAGGTTAGTAAAAATAGAAAATTAGATATTGCTTGATAATGAGTATTTCCTAAGAGTAGCCCTACTGTGAAACAAAAAGTTACAAAACCTGAATGAAGCATAGTAAACTGCAATAAGGTGTCAGCTTTAAAAAAAATAACGTAATCTTCAGACTAGAGAAGGTCTCCCCAAGAGGCCACTGAACTTATCTGGACAATAAGACGCTGGACTTTATGCTAGATATGTGTTTGCAAGGAACGAATCTCAACTGAACTTGAACTGTGGTTATGCAACAAGGTGGAGGAATCCACCATGGGGGGAGGGGTATGGGAGGGGTGGGGGGAATCCCCAGTGCCTATAAAACTGTATCACATAATACAATGTTAACAACAATAAAAAAAAAATAAATAACGTAGCTTTGCAACAACATACGGTATACAGAGAGTGTATACAGTGAAGTGATAGCATTCTCGCTACAAACATCCATTGCCTTGACTTCTGGGGAACAAATTCCAGTGACAATATCTTACATAGTTTTCCAGAAAATTGCTCACATTTGCAAAAAAACATCATGGAACACACTTCAGACTTGCTACACTTAAAAACATGCAGACGTTAGATCTGAAAAACATGTAGGGGACAGATCTTTCCATTATAGTACGAGTAGATTTTCCACATTACTTTCAACATCAGAATTGCACCTCATCAGCCAGTGCTTCACTGAATAATCTGACTGAAGTCGTATGCTAGTACGGGTCCACATACACAGCCAGTGCTCCATGTCTGTGCGTTCTGCATCTATGGATCCAACCAACCTTGGACCAAAAATAATGTATTAAATAGGAATGGCCTCTTTTTCTTCTCACTATTCCCTAAACAATTACTTGCATTTGCATTGCATGATATACTAAAATAAATCCATAGATGACTTAAATTCCATAGGAGCCTGTATGTCAGCCATATGCAAATACTATGCCATTTTATATAACTGACTATATATATGTATATAAACACACGCATACACACAAACATGACACATTTACATATATCCTGGGATGTATGTGCATTCTGCTAGAGATGGCATTTCAGAGGAAAAAGAAATACAAACTGAAAATTTTTACAGGCTTTGCCAAATTGCCCTCCGAAAAAATCTAAACAAATAGCAACAGTCTGTGTGTCTGAGAAAGATGAAACCTTTTCCCCTTTAACAATCTGACATGTGGAGCAGGACACTTGACTTCCTCTTTGCTAATCACGGGGAGGGAGATCTCTTATTCTTCAATTCAAACTCATCAGAATTTCAACCCAAATCTTCCTTTTCACAAATATTTTAAGGTGCCATCTTGAGACTCTCCTAATTCCCCATAATAATTTTTAAATTTTCTGAAGCCACTTGCCAGTTCTCTGTATTAGAATTTTCACATACACATTACTGTCTGCTATCAACTATTTTTTTTTAAAGATTAATTTTTATTATTTTTTTTATTGGAAAGGATATACAGAGAGGAGAGAGAGAGAGGAAGATCTTCCGTCCGATGATTCACTCCCCAAGTGAGCACAACGGCCGATACTATGCCGGTCCGAAGCCAGGAGCCTCTTCTGGGTCTCCCACACGGGTGCAGGGTCCCAAAGCTTTGGGCCGTCCTCAACTGCTTTCCCGGGCCACAGGCAGGGAGCTGGAAGGGAAGCGGGGCTGCCGGGATTAGAACTGGCGCCCATATGGGATCCCGGGCGTGCAAGGCGAGGACCTTAACCACTTGCGCCACCGCGCCGGGCCCTCAACTATTTTTTTTGTACTGAAAAATATGCAGCATTACACTTGTCACAGAAAATGTACTTGAAATACAGTAGAAAGTCGTAACTCGGATTCTCTTTTGAAATCTATCTTATAACACAGAATACACAATATGAAGTAATGCTAAATACTAAAATGCTAGAATATTCAGAAGAAATTGCATTACCTGTTTGTTAGCAAAAATGAGGAGCAGTGCATCGCGGAGTTCCTTTTCCGTTAACAGCTTTGCAAGCTCGCTGTGTGCTTCACTAATTCTGTCTCTGTGACTGCTATCAACAACAAACACAACAGCTTCCAGGAAGTCACAAAAAGAGTCAGTCAGTCATTTGATATGATGCAATGAATATAAAAATATTTATTTAATGCTCCAATTATCATATGGTTAGAGTCTATTTTCACATAAGGGCTACCTAATACAGTAGTTACATAAATCATCGACTTTTATTTTTCCCTTTCTATGATACTTGGTCTATCAAACACAAGTTATGTATATCAATATTTTTCTCTTAACTAAGTGTTCTGCCTCTTATGAGTTCCTACCTACTGATGTCTTTTTTAATACTATTTGTCAAAAGCTAATCTTTAAAAAAATTTTTTTTAAAATTATCTTTCTGCAGTTTTTTCTCCTTCTCTCTTGGCTAAATAATCCCCAAATTTTCAACCATTCCTCATATTCAAAATTTCATTTGCTATTAACTATGGCTGATACAAAACAATGTAAAAACAAATCCCCATGTGAAAATAGTTACCTAGTCTCCATCTGTGCTGAAGCGGGATAGGTGGCATGGACAGAAATCTCACAGTGGGGCGCAGAGGTGTGATCTTACAATCGGATTTAGCTGGGTCCCCTCAAAGGTACTGAATTAGAAGTTTGATTCCCCAGTGTGATGATGTTAACAAATGTAGGACATTGCAAATATAACAGCAAATATCTGGGCGAATGGAGATTCTAAAAACAACTATGTCAGCCAATGGACATTGAAAGTGTTCTTTTATCTTTGGATTGGCGCAATCAACAACGTTTTGAGATCAAACCCTCAGAGCGTACGCTGCATCAGGACCCTGGGTTGATACTGGTGGCCATTCCCTACCCCAGGTGCTGGGGCGGTTGGGAGGCTGGGTGTGGCTTCTCCCCTCATCCTCCCCTCTCCCCACCCCGAGATATAGGAAAAAGAAATGGAAAACTTGGAAACAATGATCACACCCACCTTTCCCTGACCCTCAATGCTTCCCACCCTGACACCCTGGTCAATTCTGTAGCATTACCTAAAATAAAAATTGAAAAAATAAAAAAGAAGTAGGGTGTTGGGTGATATTGTAGTGACACTGAGGATGCACCACTGGGAGGAAGTAACAGTTATGAAACCACAGCTGCTTCCTGGTCTCCTCTCTCGCCATGTCTCATCTCCCTCACACACTCCCAGGAAGCGAGCGGCCTGTGGGTTTCTCTCCAGAGCCAACACTATGCTCTACGCAATTTCTGTTTCCAAGGTGTGGATTACGTAAACCTGTTTTCCCTCTATAAATGACCAGCCACAAATATTTTAGTTTAGTAACAGAAAACAGATTACTCCAGGAGGCAAAGTGTAAAATGTAGCCCCAATGTGAATAAAAACAAAAAATGTGTGATATAATATTCAGGTAGTTTGGTCAAAGGCAGGATACTGCTGGTTTCTCTGCAGACAGCAGCTGTTTGTAAGTGAATGAGTGTAGATGCAACCTTAGCAGCAAAAAGCATCTGCCAGAAATTCAAACTAGCGCCACCACATGGCCAGTGAGCACATCAGCAGATCACAGGTACACGCCAGAGCTAAGATGGTCTCTGTTCTAAAACAATGGTTTATCATGAATATACCAAAAAAGCACACATCCCGGTCTGACCACTGTCGTGTTCTTAAAATAAGGATCTGGTTATTGGCATTAAAATGTATAAAAATATCAAATTTTTAGAAATTCGTAGCAGAACTAAAGTCAAATTTTGCTTAATATCTAGTTGAATTAGTATGTTAAAGACCTTAACAACGTGTAAAGCTGGGTGTCACCTCTGACTCTTACCTTGGGTATTGAGGTAATAATGTTTCCACAAGGGTCTTAACTTGTGTTTTCCACCTACATCCCAGATGGTGAATTTCAGATTTTTATATTCAACAGTTTCCACATTAAAACCTGTTTTAAAAAGAGTTTCTTTATACTGTGCTTACATTAACCATAAGTGACACATCAAACAGAGGTATATCACTGTTTATAATAAATTGTGATTTATAAAACTCTGCAAACCACAACATCTGCTGAAGCCTAACTAACTTCACTCCAAATCCTACATGGGGAACATACACCTTTAGCAGTTAATAACAAACTAAAATCTAAACTGTAGCAAGGGTCTTTAGGATCTTGAAATCCAGGTATTTGCCAACCACGTAGCGCCATTATCCTATCAACACTGTCACTCAGAGTCACCACCCTCCGGTTTTTTCAAATGTCCTGTCAATAGTTTGTTCCTTCTAACTCTATCCCACCATCCGTTTCAATCCGAGCTACTGCAGCCTGCATTTCCCTGGGAGATGTTAGTATCTTAGACACAGAATATAGCCCAGCTGCACATCACAACATCAAGTAAAACCCCAAGAACTAACTCACTAGTAAGATAGTTTGTCTATAAAAATGTACACTAAGGTATATAGCAATACTTGATGCCAGTGTTGAGAGAACCGGTTAAGCTCTCATCTGCCCGAACCCCATGAGACACTGGAGTCCAGGCTGCTGTACTTCTGGTGCAGTTCCCTGCTGACACAGCTGGGAAAGCGGCAGAATGTGGCCCAAGTACTGGAGACGGGCTCCCCACGACCCATCCCTATCCACCTCTGCCTTTCAAACAGATACATACATCTAAACAAAAGCAACACTTAGAACTTACCAATTGTGGGAATGGGCTGCATGAATTCATCCTGTTTTAATTTAAACAAAATAGTAGTTTTTCCAGCCCCATCCAATCCTAATGTAACAACTCGAATTTCCATTTTTGGTCCAATGTGAACCCTATTGTCCTGCAATTTAAAATGCTTAAAATATTAAATTTGTAAAGAAAATAGTACAGCATTTAAACATCATAAAGCATCTCTGAACATTATTCTCATGTCTCCTTAACCTACTCAATTCAAACCGTCAAAATCCCTTGAATCCCAAATCAAGGAACTGAATTCCATCTCATAGCTAAATGCCTCCATACAAAACTACCCACTTTTCTCTTGGTACAGAAGAACACATTCAACTGCTCCACCTTTTCCAACTAAATTCAGTCTTTTTTTCAAAAATATGTTTTGTAGGGCCCGGCGGCATCCGTAGCGGCTAAAGTCCTTGCCTTGAATGCACCAGGATCCCATATGGGCGCTGCTTCTAATCCCGGCAGCTCCACTCCCCATCCAGCTCCCTGCTTGTGGTCTGGGAAAGCAGTCGAGGACGGCCCAAAGCCTTGGGACCCTGCACCCATGTGGGAGACCTGGAGGAAGCTCCTGGCTCCTGGCTTCGGATCGGCATAACATCGGCCGTTGCGCTCACTTGGGGAGTGAATCATCGGACAGAAGATCTTCGTCTCTGTCTCTCCCCCTCTATGTATATCTGCCTTTCCAATAAATAAATAAAATCTTTTTTTTTAAAAAAAAGTTTTATAAAGATCAGAATAGCTAAACAAATTAACAATGGAAGCTGCATTAGGTACTCTGAATCCTCTATCTCCCGTATGCTTCTGGATACTTTCTATGCACAGTAGCCAATGCCCCTACAAGCACACTTCATATGTCGCTCAACACATTACATAGCTTTTCATGTCAATACACAGAGACCATTCTTTTCTTCCAGAGGTTCCATTATACCCCATGAAAATTTCGTCAATTTAACCAACACTCAACTTACAAATTAGATTATCTGATTTTTGTGATTACAAACGATGCTGTAATGAACAAACCTGAACATATTCCTAGAAGTTGGTCTTTCTACCTAACTTCTCTCATTTATGAAACAATACAAACGGTAACCAATTTACACACGAATCTTGTAAAAATTAATCTTTAAAATACGCTTAAAAATCCTTAGCACGGATTTTGGCACAAAGGGGCTAAATGAGTGTCGGCAATTACTACTTTTCTCGTTTTTGAGGAGATATTCATTTGGCTTTGAGTTACATTTCTCATACGATGTGTTACATATATTAAGTCTCATACATGAATTCTCCTAGATTTAGAAATGTAAGTTATAGTTATCTCTTTTTACTGGTTTGTACATTTTTTTATATTGTTATATCATTATGTGATGCAGATGGCTGTCTCCAAGCAGGGTTCATTCTACAGATTCCACTTTCTGCTCTGACCTTTTACCCTTTCCACATTGTTCCTCATGCAACACCATTTACAATTTTTAGTAGTTTTGTTAGTTTCAGTACTTTTAGAGAAAATATAGAAAAATGCTTATATACTTAGATGCTCACTCTTCATATTTACAGGGAGAATAACTTATACAACTTTTTTCCTTGTTCTTTTTACTTACCTGTACATCCTAAAGATCACTCTACTGGGGCACTTTTTGTTCATTTTTACAGCACCAAGGTACTCTATTATATCATATGTTTTATATCATATAAAGCTTTATATGATATAAAATATAATATTTATATTATGCATTTGTATTATATTATACAGGTATGTAATACTTATAATATTATAATATGTAATAAAATGTATTAGCTTAACTGCTTATAAGTGTATATAGTTCAATTACATACATCCACTGTTCTGAACAGAATCTCCAGAAATTTTTTACCTTCTGCAACTGAAATTCCATGCCTCTAAACAACAGCAGCTTCCCCTTCCTGCCTCTCATCAGGCCCTGGTAATTACCATTCCACTTTGTTTCCATGAGCCAACTCCTTAGAGCCCTCATAGAAGCGCAATCGGAGCATCTGTCTTTTGGTGGCTGGCTTCTCTTAGCACAATGCCCCAGAGCACATTCACATGGCATCACACACTTACAAAACTGAGTAATGTTCCATTCTGTGGTATATTCGTAAGTGCCACCCTTACTTGCTTATATCCATATATATTTGCTTAAACAGCCTAAGCTCTCTTGTCTTAGTGATAATGGCTGATAAATTACCGATGGAGACTTGTTCTAAGGACGATACCTGCAAGGTGGGTCACCAAGGGCGTGCCCCTGGAATCCGCTGGAATCCCAATGGTTCTCCAGGGAAGTTTTCCAGCTCCTGTTTAGCCTAGCTGTTCCCTCTTGCGTCTGGCTCACCATGGAATCACTACCACCACACCTGCCATACCCAGCTTCCATCAGATGCAGAGACAGAGGGTTACCATCTGATCCTGTAACCTCCACTGTAAGTTAAAATAAACCTTTTTTTCCCCCTTAAAAGCTCATCCTGGATAAGTTAAAGTAACAAAAAGTGGACTAATAAGGGTATCTTTTCAACTGGCTAAAAAGAAAAAAAAATGTTACAAAAACTGTTGGGGCTGGCGCAATGATGTGGTATGCTAAACCTCTGCCTGTGACACTGAGACCACCCCCACAGGGGTGCTCAAGTCACAGGTGCTCCATTTCCAATCCAGTTCCCTGTTAATAGCCTGGCAAATTAGCAGAGGCAGGTCCAAGGCCTTGGGACCCTGTACCTATATGCGAGACCTGGAAGAAGCTCCTGGCTCCTGGCTTCTGATCAGTGCAGCTCTGATTATTGTGGCCACTTGGTGAGTGATCCAGCAGATGCAAAATCTCTCTGTCTCTCCTATTCTTTCTCTTTCTGTAACAGACTTCCAAGAAAAAAATTGTTTCAAGAGCAATCTGGGAATTTTGCTTTTAGTGAAAATACTACATACTGTTAAACTTTTGGGGTATAATAGTGGTATTTTGGTTATTTTTTCAGACCTTATTTTGTGAAAATACAAACCAAAATATTTCAAAGAAGAAATAAAATGGTATTGGCATAAGATGATATGACATTAAGATTTGCCACAAAATACGTAAGGGATAGAGAGAAAGTGAGATGAAATTCAAAGTTTGTAGTTATTAAACTAGGGTGATGGACAAAGGAAGACTCTGTCATTTTTGTCAATTTTCTAATGATAAGAATTTTTCATAAAAATTCTCGAATTCATTTATTTCCTGCTTGTCTGCTCAAGGTGATAACTATAAAATGCAAATCAATCATGATTTGTCACAAAGCACGCATCAACACAAAGTACAGGCCATCACCTTTGTGAAGGTGACAGGGATGCTGGCATCCAACTGGATGTGATCTGCAACTTCCGTGAACTGCTGCTGCTGCTTCTGCAGGGTTTCCAGTAACCTGGTGATTTCTTGTTTTGCCAACACAACTCTGCAGTCATCCTGAAATGACAAAGACAGTATTTCCTGTAATTTCTTTCTTGAACAAAGAAACAGACTTTCATTAGACATCTTAAAAAATTAAAATATTCAAAATTAACTTAAATATAAATTTAATTAGCAGGTAGTTCTACTCGTACATCCATGTAATAAAGAACATTAAATAATTCAGAATTCACTTTTCCACATATTACTCTTTTACTAATTACACATCTCATGATTTTAAAAGTAAAAATGAGCGAGGTACTTCATTAACTGATTTTTAAAATTATTTGATAATCTTTACATAGTTGATTAGGGCACAGGAAATTGGGTAGGACCATTATTTGCACATTCTCTCTCTCTTTTTGTATTTTTCTGTATCTGGAGTAAAGGAGGCGAAAAGGAGAAAATGAGACCATTCTTTGAACTCCCCTAATGGACCACCACTCTCACTGGAAGGCATGAGTCCAGATGGGGGCAAACCAAACCGGGCAGGGCTACAACACCTGTGGACCTCATGTGAGCTAGATCAGGGAAAAGGGAGGCTAGGCTGACTGTTCCTACCGGTGTACGCATAAATCAGAGTGGATGACACTTGGTTGGGCTTTGCTGCAGCATCAGCTGGCAGAGGCTAGCACTAGGGGTTAACTCTGTCAAGTTAAACTGCAGAACCACCTGAAGAGTGCCTAATCTGGGAGCTGGAGTGGGACCAGTAGGAAAATAGTGGGCACCTCCCTCTTGGGTTACCACTCCCACTGGACAGCATGAGACTAGGACTGGGGCAGGCATGGCTAGAAAGAATGGCACCCATCGGTACATGTGTGGGCTGGATAGTGTGGGTGGTAGTTGAACTAGGCTTAAATGCCCACTGACATGTATGAGAGCTGAATGGAATGTGGGACAAACTGGACCAGTCTGCTGTACATACTGGCAAGCATGGGAACCAGGGCAGGGGGCAGGACTGGTAGGGGGTTATAATTTTAAAAATCAGTTAAAGAGGTACCTCGCTAACACAGTAGGCAGCGCATCAGTCTCATAAAATTAGCTAATGAAAAAGTAGTAAATCATCTACAAATTGGATAACCAGCATAAAACATGAATTAACTGTAACATGCAGTCACCACTGAACTAGAGTTGTGTAGTACATGCTAGAGTGGTACCCAGAAAAATGACCAGCGTGAGATAGGGATCCGGCACAGTGGGACCATAACTCCACATCAAGAGTGCCCGGGCTTGAGCCTGGCTACCCCTACCTTCTTACTCCTGTGGTTCGGTGGGTGAGGGCTCTGCCGCCCACACAGCAAGACTGCATGGAGTTCTTGACTCTTCCCAGTCTGGCCCAGCCCTGGCTGTCGCTGCCTTTCAGATAACTTTTAAAGTTTTAATTACTTATTTAACTTAATTTGAAAGAAACACAAGGAGCACAAGGTTTTACATGCTGGTACTCTCCCCATATGCTTGCAACAACCTGGGCTGGGCCAAGCCAGAGGCAGGAGCCAGAAACAGCATCCAAGATTGCCAAATGCACAGCAGGGGCTCACGTACTGCCTCTCAGGCTGTGCATCAGAGAGAAACTAGAGCAGAGAGAGGGGCAGGAATGAATGCCGGGGCTTCTGGTAAGGGAGACAGACCATCCCAAGCAGCAGCTGCACCTTATTGCCTATCCCTCAAGCAATTTTTTTTTCCATTTCTTCTTTTTTTTTAAAGGCCAAGGAAGAGAGGTACAAAGAAGAGCACACATTTGAACCGGACCTTGAAGGAAGAGGACTTGGACTATCAGAAACCAAAGAGGCACGCCAGGCAGAGAGAATAGTGTATGTTTGACAAGAGAAGCACTTCAGGCATGAGCTGAAGTCAGAGCGCTTCTAGAATCTACAGCTTTGTGCTTAGCAAGGTACTTAAGGTGAGGATGCCGACACGGCTAGTGTAGCAACTTCAAATTAGGGATCACATCCTACACATCAGGTTAATGCAGGCAGCAGGCAGAAAACACCAAACCAACAATAGGCGAGAGTGTGATTTTAGTAATTGTCTATTTTCCCATACAATAAAGGGCCTAGCCACAGTCAGGCTACCTACTTGCTGTAAAGTCTTCTCACAATGGAGGCAGGCTGTTGAAACCTGGGACAACAAAATAGTCATATCTTCTTGCTGCTGCCTGAGCCAAATCAGCTTTTCACGAACATGAGCATCAACCACACTTAGAGCCATCTCTTCTTGTCGACACAGAGTTTCATGCAGATCCGAAAAATAGGCTCGGACACATGATCGAGCATTCTCTGCAGTGCCTGGTACCTAAAGAAATGCAACCAATCGTCAACAACTGGACTGTTAACAAAGACTCTAGGACTGAAATTATAACAACTTAAGTGCCATCCATGCCCTTAAAAAGTCCAAATTTTAAATCTCCACGTTAGACCTTTCCCCTTAGTTACTTCCCTTTAGTAAAGGGCACGTCCATCTTCCAGGTTGTTGAAGTAACAAACAGAATTAACCTTAACATATCACTTCAATATTACTACTAGTCTCTCAGCAAATTCTTTAAGGTTCCTTGAAATCTAGCAGCTATCTACTTCTATTTTCAGTACTATAATATTATAGGGCAGAAATATTTCTGACCTAGATATTGCAACATTCTTCACGTTTTCAATCTGCTTCCCGCCTGGTGCTCTTCGACTTCATTTCCCACATCTCAGAGCAACCTTTCTGTATGCAAGTTTGATTATGTCATTTCGCACATTGTTGCCCTTCACTGAGTTATGAACAGTATATGGCTGACAAAAATCATGCATGCATTGGTCTTGAATTCCCAAACTCTCCTTGCTGTGCCCTTTTTTCATATTCCAATCATAATGAACTTTGATTCCAGCAGTGAGCTCAATCCTAACCCCCAGTGCTTCTCCTTTCCGGGCAGATACTCCCCACTGTGCTCCTTCTCTTGACTGTATTGCCCCAAATTTCAATTTGGAATCATTTCTAGGAAGCCTTCCCCAGTATACCAAAATTGTTGGCCCTCTTACACATCTCAAGACACCACACAGTGCCTCCACAAGGAACAGTTGCCACACACAAAATTATCTCTCTTCTATGATGGACTATACATTCCATGTAGCTTTTAAAAATTATTCCCAGTGACTGGCACTCATTTTAATTGTTCGATAAATACTACAAGTTGAAAAGGTGAGCATGAAAAAGGATAAGAAGATAAAGAGGAAGAAAAAAAAACCCATACATGTTCTGTGTGAGCCATTCCAATTCCATCTTCAACTATTTGTTCTCCACCTTCAATGTGCTGAACAATTCCGACCAATTTTCTGGAATAATCTGAAATTTCCTCGGTGAAGGTCCGTATGCAGTGAGCCATATCTAAAATTGATGCTCGGATCTGGTTAGCTTCCGGTTCCAATACTGAATGCTATACAACGCAATGTAAGCAGAATAAAGATACAGAACATGATTTAAGTTCCTTATTAAAACAAAAAAGATTAGCTTCAAGAGGCCTTTATAACACATTTAGAAAAAGTACAAAAGCAGGTAAACAAAATGAGTTCATTTTAACTAATTTTAAACTATGCTGGAGACATTAATATAAAATTTGGACCTCCATCTTTCACTAGAACAGGAAACTTAGAGGCTATCTCTAAAACTATATACAGTAAGCAGTGTTTGTCAATAAATTTACAAACTGTCAAAACAACCTAGTACATTATGAAAACATACACTCAAACAAGAGAATTTTTTTTCTTGCCAGAAAGCTATTTTTCAGTACAGAAAGGGTCAATGAAGAGGCCAGTGTTGTGGTCTAACAAGCTAAGCCGTCACCTGCAATGTCAGCATCTTCTCTTCCAATCCAGCTTCCTGCTAGAATGCCAGCAAAAGCAGGAGTAAGCTGCCCAGGCTTTGGGGCCTTGAACCCGTGTGGGAAACCAAAATAAAGCTCCTGGCTTTGGCCTGACCCAACCGTAGCCACTGTGACCATTTGCAGTGCTAAGGTCTCTGTCTCCCCCACCCTTTCTCTCTAATTCTCCCATTCAAATAAACAGACCTTAGAAATGAAAAATAAAAGAAGAGGGGAGAGGAAAAGAGGAGCAAGGGGGGAGGGGATCACAAAGCCTCTCTGACATTTATATTTTAAGATTTTATTTTTATTTGGAAGTCAGATACACAGAGAGGAGGAGAGACAGAGAGGAAGATCTTCTGTCCAATGATTCACACTCCCAAGTGGTCACAACAGCCAGAGCTGAACCAATCCAAAGCCGGGAACCAGGAACCTCTTCAGGGGAGTCTCCCACACGGGAGCAGGGTCCCAAGGCTTTGGGCCGTCCTGGACTGCTTTCCCAGGCCACAAGCAGGGAGCTGGATGGGAAGCGGGGCTGCCGGGATTAGAACCCACACCCATATGGGATCCCGGTGCATTCAAGGCGAGGACTTCAGTTGTTAGGTTACCGTGCTGGGCCCTCTCTGACATTTTTTTATGACGTAAGTAAAAAGCTCTCATTTCTTTATACTTCAATCAATCTTTAATACTTTAATCCATACTTTCAGGAAGTGAAAAACAAGTTGTGGGCTGGTATGTTAGCTATTCATTCAGTTAGAGTCCTACCTTGTGACCCTGGTGTTTTCCGTATTCCTTGCAGACACAGCACATGAGTGGGCTGCTTTGACAAGCTTCCTCCAAACACACAAACTCAATGGCGTGCACCTGGTGCTGGGAGCACATGGTTTTCTCATGAGGCTTATCAGCCAGAGGCACTCGCCTGTGCTTCGCCAAAGTCTTTGTCGAATGAGTGCCTTGGGAACACTCGGAACACAAGTGAGTGGCACAAACAGTGCAATAAACAGATGCAACGTGAGCTTCATCTTCATCGCAGCGGGTGATGCTCTGACAAGCAAAGCGGATGTCTTAGAATTCAAATGGGCACTAGAGCACGACACGTTTTAAAATGCAAAAGCCATGATCTTTTTAACAAACCATCCATTAATATGAAAATACACTATTAAGCCAAAATTAGCGATTGATCTAAGAAAGCATTCATTCCTGCAGATAAGTGGGAATCTCCTTCTAGGACTGATCACCAATACACGTTATGAATCTGAGGCCAAAAACAGTCTCTGCCTCATGTTCTCAGCTATCATACTAAGTACAGAGAACTCTCCCGCAAGTCTCACCACCACACGAGAAACTGATCACAGGCTAGCAGATTTTTTAAGACTAAAAAAGAAAAAAGAAAATCTGACATTAAATACGTCTTTATGCTATAAACACAAGTATTACATGCCATGATGACGAAGAAGAAGGAAAACCACAAAAATGCTACTTAGCCTGGAAGTGAACATTAAAATCGTCTGTACGAATTTTAGAAACACACACAGATGCACAAGCTCCCAGCCGGGGATGCTGGGCTGTGGCTGCCGCACACGCTTGGGCTTTTTCCTAAATACACACATGAATAATCTAGCAGCTCCACAGGTGAGTCTATGACAAAATCACGGCTGAAAACCACTGATCTGAGAAAATAGAAATAATGAAACCTCTCTCACATATAAGCATCTAAATATTACTGGACTTCAAATGGGCAAAGAATTGTATGTCAAACTCAATAATGCTTTAAAAACTTTTGCTGAATCTCAGAAGGTCATAATTGCAATGCTTTTAAAACACACGTACTATACATTTTTCAAGGAGCAAGAATTAGAAAATGTGTGACTAGAGTTATGTTTTTATCACATTAAATTAAAATCCAAAATTGGGTAGCTTTATTTATAATTATGAGAAGTGTGTATTTATAACAATAAAAATCCACATAGTTCACATCTACAGTTCTTTAGGCCTAAAATCAACAAAGTTAAACATAGATGAAATAAAGATTTAAAACAATAGCAAATAAAAGAACTTCAAAACTTTTAGAAAATGGAATGCTTCAGCTGGAATTTCATTTTACTGATTTTCCTTAACTTTAATTATAATCTAATAAAAGGAAAGCGTAAATCTATTTTTTCTTTGCTATGAAACATTTGATTTTAAGGTGGATCAGCAAAATCACTGATACTTATCAGAAGTATTATCCTATCCAGAATAATTAAGACACATCCTGTATTACATAAGCTACACACACAATTCCTTAAATGCTAAAATCAGTATTTTGAAATTGTTAGTGTATTTTTTTCATGTGTTTAGTAGACATATGCTTATCTGCATAAATTGAGTACACCTATACATAATTTTTGACAATATTTAGTAATCATTTCTTCAGCTGCCACTGCTTCTTAAAGCTACTTGGGGCCAGTCTTGTGGCCTAGCCAGTTAAGCCACTACTGCAACACCAGCACCCACATGGTTATCAGGTCCCAGCTGCTCCACTTCAACGCACCCACATGCCAACACACCTGGGAAATTGGTCAAAGATGGCCAAATACTTGGGCCCCTGCAAGACCCATCTTCAGGCTGGCTCGACTTTGGTTTTTATGGCCACTTGGGAATGAATGTGCACATGGAAAATCTCTCCAGCTGTCCCTCTCTCCCTCAGAAACTCTGCTTTTCAAACAAAATACAATCTTATTCTTAAAAACATATTGTGGCTTGATATTAAATGTCCTCTTCGGTCAGGTTTGTGTTTCTTTTGTCATACTTTATTTCTGACTAATTTATTTTGCATCCTCTGCTCCAACGTAGCCTGCAGATCTTACTTTTCATTTTATCCATGGATAGAAGTAAACTGACAACAAGAAAGCTAGAACAAAAAATATAAGCTAGTACATTACTTTCAAAGAAACCAAGTTCCAGCTTTAGCTCTGTTATGTTGTGAATAATATTGTCTTCAGAACTATAACGCAACAAATACTAGTGTTTCTAGAAATCTACCTGTCAAGGCAAATGAGGCACTATGGCTTAATAAAGGCAAACATTTTTAACTCAAAGAAAAATTCATTCACAGTAAGTATTTCACTAAGTTCCATCAATACCTCTCCAGATATCCCAATGGCTTCTTCAGCAGCTCCATATTGACCAATATGTCCATTCTGCAAACGTTCCAGAAGTTCCAATAAAGCGAAATTTTTTTTCAATCCCCAGACGCCTGAATCTCCTAGAATAAACAAAAACATTAAATAAATCTAATAAAATGGAAAAAATAACCACTTTGTATCTAACCTCAAAATAAATTTTCAGGGCTGGCACTATGGTACAGGAGGAAAAGCTATCGCCTGCACTTGTGGACAATGCACAGGAGAGCCACCTGGAGTCCCTAGTGCTCTGCTTCCAATCCAGCTCCCTGCTAATACACCTGCAGAAGCAGCAGAAGGCAGCCCAATGAAGAGACCAGATTCCTGGTTCCTAATTCCACACAGGCCCAGCTCCAGCCATTGCAGCCATTTCGGGGATAACCAGCAGTTGCAATATCTCTCAGTCTCACCATTTCTCTGTAATTCTACCTTTCAAATAAATAAATGAACTTTTTTTTTTTTAAGAAAAAATAAATTTGGGGGCCAGGCATGGTAGCCTAGCAGTTAAAGTTCTTGCCTTGCACATGCAGGGATCCCGCATGGGTGCCAGTTCTAATCCCAGCAGTCCCACTTCCCAACCAGCTCTCTGCTTGTGGCCTGGGAAAGCAGTTGAGGAGGGCCCCCGTGCCTTGGGACCCTGCACCAGCCTGGGAGACCCAGAAAAGCCTCCTGGCTCCTGGCTTTGGTTTGGCGCAGCTCCAGCCATTGCAGCCATCTGGGGAGTGAATCAGCGGATGGAAGATCTTCCTCTCTGTATATCTAACTTTGCAATAAAAATAAAATACATCTTAAAAAAAAAAAAAAGAAAGAGAAAAGCTATTTTGAAGTCATATACTTTTGTAAATATTTAGTGTCTCCATTTTACTTTTTATCCCAGAATAATTGCTTTCAAAATGCTCATGGGGGGTGGGCGGGAACAAGGGGTCAACATCATATTATAGCAAACTAACCCTCCTGTGGTGCCAGCATTCCAGATGGGCACCAGTTCTAGGTCCAGCTGCTCTACTTCCCACCCAGCTCCCTGCTAAGAGCTTGGGAAAGAGTTGGAGGATGGCTCAAGCCCTTGGGACCCCGCATCCACAGCAGAAATCCAGAAGCAGCTCCTGGCTCCTGGCTGCAGACTAGCCCAGCTCTGGCCACTGTGGCTATCTGGGGAGGGAAGCAGCAGCTGGAAGATGTCTTTATCTCTTCTGCTCCTTGTAATTCTTTCAAATAAAAATAGAATAAATCTTCAAAGCAAAAAAAAAAAAAAAATCAAAACTACTGTGTTTACGTGTTCCATACATTCTCCTTGTATCACTGGTATTTGTTAAAATAATGTCATTGAATATTTACAGCATTATAAAAGTAGCCCATGCGTTAAACTATGGATCTTTGGGATTTCTAAAGCAAATTTGTTCTTTGATGTAAAATAGAACTGTTGTAACAGCTGGAAATTTTGCACCTCTGTGTGTGTGTGTGTGTGTGTGTGCATTTTTTTTTTCCTTTAGCAAAAAGCAGCAGGAGTTGAAAAGGCACTGAAAAACAAAACCCAAGAACTTCTCAGAATTCCAAGCAGCCATCACAAAGGTTCCTCCTGTAGTTAAATTTTACAAATTATATTGAATGTATTTGTGTGCGTGTATATACACGCACACACACATATATATATAAATGCTTTTAAAACTTATATAGTAGTAAATACTAAGAAATACATTTCATATGGGCCCGGCGGCATGGCCTAGCGGCTAAAGTCCTCGCCTTGAATGCGTCAGGAGCCCATATGGGCACCGGTTCTAATCCCAGCAGCTCCACTTCCCATCCAGCTCCCTGCTTGTGGCCTGGGAAAGCAGTCAAACACAGCCCAAAGCCTTGGGACCCTGCACCTGTGTGGGATACCTGGAAGAAGTTCCTGGATCCTGGCTTCGGATTGGCACAGCACCGGCCATTGCACTCACTTGGGGAGTGAATCATCGGACGGAAGATCTGCCTCTCTGTCTCTCCTCCTCTCTGTATATCTGACTTTCCAATAAGTAAATAAATCTTTTTTAAAAAATACATTATATAATGCAACCCCATACAACATACATATGTTCCCTGAGGATACCTTAAAACACCCACAGAGGAGCACAGCACAATGTCTCATTGGCTAAATCCTCACCTTGCAGCCACCAGAAACAGCTGGGTTGTGTCTCAGCTGTTCCACTTCCCACCCAGGTCCTCACTGGTGGCCTGGAAAGGCAGCCGAAGATGGTCCAAAGCCTTGGGACCCTGCACCGCAGGGGAGAACTGGCTCCCGGCTTTGGATCAGCTCAACTCTGGCCGCTGTGGTCGCCAGGGGAGTGACCAGCAGACAGATGATCTTTCTCTCTGTATCTATCCCTCATTCTCTCTGGATATCTGCCTTTCCAGTAACAATAAATAAATCTTAGAAGAAAAAAAAAACACTCATGGAAAAATGCACTGAAAGTTTGGGGTGAACAGTTAGGAAAGCAACATGGGACATCCCACGTCAAAGTGGTTGACTCAAGTCTCAACTACCCTCTTCTGATCTACATGTTAATGTGTGTGTCCACGTGCACATACACAGAGAGGAAGAGAGAGATCCTCCACCTGCTGGTTTACTTCCCAAATAGTCAGAAAGGCCTGGGCTGGGCCAGGGTCAAACAAGAGCAAGCACTCAATCCTGTCCTCTCACACAGAGAGTAAAAGCCCAAACTCAGGGCCATCTGCTGCTGCCCTGCCAGGTGCCTGAGCCGAAACATGACTGCAAGTCAAGCAGCTTGGACCTAAACTGCCTCTCTGACATGAAATTCAGGCGTCACAGCACCATTTTAATCCACAGCACCACAACTCATCACTGGAACATCTTTTTGTAATTCCATTTTCCATTAACTCTATTAAGTACCTTCATATAACTGAAACAAATGTTTCACAACACAATGTCTTAAAGCAGTATGTAACAGACACTAATACATTTTAAGTGCCAAAAACATAAATTAAATCAATTTCATAACTGCAAATAAGCTATGATTCATGTCGGTAAAACACGTGAAAGACCCAAGTGGCGCTGCCATCTGCAGCACCAGCATCCCATCTGAGGGACCGCTCAAGTCCTGGCTGCTCCCTGTGCAGCAGCTGGGGAAGGCAGCAGAGGACGGTCCCAGAGAACGGTCTCCACGTGGGAGACTCAGAGAGCTCTGGCTCCTGGCTTTGGCCTGGCCAGGCCCTGCTCACTGCTGTCATTTGAGGCATGATCCGTGGGATGGAAGCTCTCTAATTCTCTCAAAATAAATAAATCTTTAAAAAGAGAGCGAGAGAGATACTTGAGTTTAAAAAAAAAATTCAAGGAAAAAAAAAAACAAACCTCATCACTAAGCAAGATGGAACTGTATCAGATAAACAACTCCCTAAGCTACGGCAGTGAACAAATATATAAACTCCAGGAGTGGGGGTCATGGGGCAGAAGGTCAACCTGCACCTGTGGAGCAATACGTGCACCACTTCCTGTTCTGGCACCTCCACATTTAATCCAGCTCCCAGCTTATGGCCTGGGAAAGCAGCAGAGGATGGTTAAAGTCCTTGGGTGCCTGTACCCATACGGGAGACCTAGAAAAAGCTCCTGGCTTTGAATTGGCACAGCTCCAGCCAATGTGGTCATTTGGGGAGTGAAACAATGGATGGAAAATGTCTTTTTTTCTGTAAATTTGCCCTTCAAATAAACATACATTTCAAATAAAATTGGGATCCAGCGCAACAGCTCAATTGGCTCATCTTCTCCCTGCAAGTGCCAGGATTCCATATGGGCACTGATTTATGTCCTGGCTGCTCCAATCCCATCCAGCTCCTTGCTTGTCTTCTGGGAAGGCAGCAGAAGATGGCCCAGACTTGGAGCTCTGCACCACAGGGGAGATCCAGAAGCAGCTCCGGGCTCCTGGTTTTAGATCGGCTCAACTCTAGCCATTGTAGCCATTTGGGAAGTGAACCAGAAGATGGAAGATCTTTCTCTCTCTCGTCTCTCCTTTTCTCTGTAAATCTTTCCAATAAAAATCAATATTTAAGAAAACAAAGAATACCCAGATATATGAACTCCTTTTCACACACACATGAACAGAGACACATACACCTTTGGGCAGTCGTTGCCCCCACCCTGGCCTCTGCGTGGAATAGGCTCCAGGTATTTCCAAGGAAGGACTGATGCTTCTTTTCTCAAAAATGAACCACGAAAGCCAGGTGAACAAACATGTCCATAGGTCGGTGCTTTGAGGAGCACAGGTGCTCCTGGGTGTATGGACACACACCGACACTCCCTGAGCCTATCCGTGAGAACCAGAGCCTTCAGCAGCTATGCGCAGCTCCCGTATAATAAACGCTATCTGACACAGCCGCCATCCACAGGCTTATAAACATACAAATGGCTGCTGGGGCCATTTGTATGTTTATAACTCCCCTTCTTTTCTTTTCCAATTTTCATTTTTCATGATACGATTCTGAAAGCACAGTCTCCCCCCGCCCCCGTCCCCATGCCCGCCCTACTGTTTCCCCCATGTTAACAGTAGTTGAGGGCCTGGCGCGGTGGCGCAGTGGTTAAGGTCCTCGCCTTGCACGCCCGGGATCCCATATGGGCGCCGGTTCTAATCCCGGTGGCCCCACTTCCCATCCAGCTCCCTGCCTGTGGTCCAGGAAGGCAGTCGAGGATGGCCCAAGGCTTTGGGACCCTGCACCCGCGTGGGAGACCCGGAAGAGGCTCCTGGCTTCGGGTCGGCATAGCATCGGCCCATTGCGCTCACTTGGGGAGTGAATCATCGGACGGAAGATCTTCCTCTCTGTCTCTCCTCTCTGTATATCTGCCTTTCCAATAAAAATAATAAAATAAATCTTTAAAAAAAAAAAAAAACAGTAGTTGAGTCCTTCAGCAACACGTATACACACAGACTCACCTAGAGGGGCCATGTAACAGACAAGCACACCAGCAAGTGCAGCTACATCTCTGCTCCCAGACAGAAGGAGGGCTCCCCATGAAACTGTTAACCGTATCTTGACAATAGGATGCTGGATTTTCTAGCAATTGTCTGTACCTGTGACGTCACGACACATGTAACAGCACAATGATGGACTTGTGACTGTTGCTGAAGGGCTTAACTTTCCGATAAAAACAAAGCCATTTCCTGCTGTTTCTCCAAAACATTAAACATCTTTAATGTCTGCCTTCCATGGCCTCCTTTTTCATGAATCATTTTACCACCACCCACTCACTCAGTATTTTTTGCTTAGCTTTGCCGCTCACACAAATCCTCCTCATTTTTAAAATTTTTCACATTTCTAAATAAGCTGATTTCTGTTACTCTATCTATAAAAAAGCTAAGTTATGAAATGACGATTTAAAAAACTGGTCTTGACAATCTTCCAAACATTCGATTACACATAACAAAAACACATAAAAATTTCCTAGCAGTTCCTATATAATCATTCTGTAACTGGGAAAACGTTACCGTCTTCGGGTCTTACTCTTTAAAAATTCATTTATTGCCTTTTTAATAAAAAGAGAACAGATTTAATGCAGTTCATGTATACAACGTTTTTCTAAGATGTATTTTATTTATATTTGAAAGGCAGATTTACATAAAGAAGGAGAGACAGTGAGAGAGATCTGGTTCACTCTCCAAGCAGCTGCAATGGCCGGAGCTGAGCCAATCGGGAGCCAGGAGCCAGGAGCTGCATCTGGTCTCCCAGGCAGCAGCAGGGGCCCTGCCCGTGGGCCATCCTCTGAAGCTTGTCCAGGCCAGAAGCAGGAAGCTGGACTGGAAGTGGAGCAGCCAGGATGCGAGCTGGTGCCCAAGTCGGATATTGGCATGCCAAGCGTGGCCTTAGCCTATGTGATACTGCAGGGCCAGTCCCAGTAAGGAGCCACAAATACAATCTTAAGGATATATTGATAGCCTTCCCTCCCACCGTATCTCCTCCTCCTTCCCCTTCTTTTAATTTTTCAGAGAATACTTTTAATTTACATTGTAGCTGGTGGGTTAATACTCCACTAAAGAGTTCAACAAAATCTAAACAGAGAAGGACTATAGACAAGAGCTGTAAGTAATAGTGAAAAGATTCCACCCACATTCAAATATAGTGACTTTATTTAAAAAGATTTATTTTTATTGGAAAGTCAGACACAAACAGAAGAGACAGAGAAGATCTTCTGTCTGCTGATGCACTCCCCAATTTACTTCAACAGCCAGAGCTGCGCTGACCTGAAGCCAGGAACCAGGAACCTCTTCTAGATCTCCCACGCAGGTGCAAGGTCCCAAGGCCTTCGGCCGTCCTCGACTGCTTTCCCAGGCCATAAGCAGGGAGCTGGATGGGAAGCGGGGCCACTGGGACTGCACCCTGTCCACTGTCATTAACCTGACAAGCGGATGCGAGCCATCAATGGCTGCAGCCCATTATAGAACCAGTGCCCATACGGGATCCCGGCACATGAAAGACAGTACTTTAGCCACTATGCTACTGCAATGGGCCCAAATATGGTAACTTTTAGAAACACAGATTAAAATTACAGTGTATCATTCTTAATTGAGTATATCATTAATCATTTGACAATGATATAAAACAACTTCACAAAGCTGAATGCGCATTATACTGACACACACAGGCATTTTCTTTGTTTCTCGCTTTTTCCCTAAGTTTAGCTCCCACACATTAGGGAATACACTGTCTTTCACTCAACACGACATCCCACAGTTGCAACCATTTTTATGCCAAACAGAATTTCATTTTTTCCATAGTTGAAGCTTTTGCACAGCAAAGGAAACAACCGAGTGGACAGACAGCCCACAAAATGAGAAAAAAATCTGCAAGAATGAAAGATTATCCAGATTGTATTAGCAACTGAAAAAATCCAACAATAAAAAAAAAAAACCACACAATGAAGAAAGGGCAAAGGACCTCAGAACACTTCTCAGAAGAAACACACGTGGCCAGGAGACACATGAAGAGCCTGGCACCAGCCGGCAGCAGGGAGAGGCAAAGCGAAACCAGTGAGGCGCCACCTCACCTGGCACAAAGGCTAGATCCAAGACAGAAAGCAGAAACGCGGGTATGCAGCCGGAGGAGGAACGCTCCACAGAGAGATCCACAGAGCGAGAAAAGGCAGACAGAGAGAAATGCTCCACTCACCACTTCACTTCCCAAGCTGCGCAGGCGCTGACCCGGGAGCTTCTTACAGGCCTGCCCCCGCGGCCTAGGGGCCCAAGCTGTCTCTGCTGTTTCCCAAGGCCCATTAGCAAGGAGCTAGAGCACAAGTGGAGCAGACAGGACTTGAACTGGTGCCCACATGAAATGCCGGCACCTTGGCTTTAGCTGCTATGCCACGGCCGCAGCCCCAAGAGTGGCTTACACACTGTTAGTGCGAAGGCAAATTAGTACAGAGACTGTGGAAAACAGCAGGAAGCTTTCTAAGAAAAAAAAAAAAAAAATCTAGAAACGGAATTGCAATATGTTCCAGCAATCCCACCACTGGGTGTATACCCAGATGATAAGAACGCATTTTATCAAAGATACCGATCCCACCACGTGGCAGCACAGCTTCCAATCGCCAAAACACACAGCAGACCAAGGTGCCATCATGAGATGAATGTGGCAATCAAAGGGGCATTTATATACAATACAAAGCTCTGTTTTTTGCTCATTTAACATCTTGGGCGGCGGGGAAGACATGAATGGCTCTGTTCATCACTGCTCTTGGTCAGGCACACAGACCACTGAGCCGAAAACCTGACAAGGATATCCTGCAGACCATCAGTAACTTCCTCTGTATCACCTGTTCACGCAAGTGAACCCTTCACTTCTGCTCACACTCCCAAGGCAGAACGGACATTACCTAGTCACAGCTAACCAGACAAGGGCAGTGAGGTGGACTCTCACCATGAAGAGGGGGAACAGAAACAATGCTGCGTAGTACTAACCGCAAACACGTTTGGGACTACGAGACTTGAGACCAATCACAGATTTTGTTTAACAGGAGTAATTGCAAGTAATTTTTCTTACCTTTGTTCCAAAAATTTAACTACACATATGTATAAATCTATATTATTTCTATAACATAATTAAAATTGGGAGGAGGTACCTGGTGTGGTGGCATAGCAGCCTATGTTTGCCTGTGGTACCAGCACCCCACCCGGGCACTGGTTTGTGTCCTAGCTGCTTCGCTTCTACTCCAGTTCCCTGCTTCTAGCCTGAAAAAGCAGCAGCAGATGACTCAAGAGTTTGGGTGCTTGCACCTTGAGAGACCTAGAAAGATCTCCCGGCTCCTGGCTTGACTCAGCCCCAAACATTGCAGTCACTTGGGCAATGAACCAACAGGTGAAAGATTTCATTTCCTCTCTCTTATTCTTTCTGTATGTCTGAGTTATAATTAAAAAACAATTAAGCAAATTTTTAATGACCTCCAAATGCGTCCAGAGTCACTAACACGGAATCACGGTAAATGGTCTACCACGTAAGCTACAGTACTTACAATTTCTATCCATTTGGACGTGGCTGCAGGCACATTTAATAGAAGGCATGTCTAACCGTGTCCTGTCTAGCTTAGTCAAACAATGAAGAGGTTAACACCCTACACTGCAGTATTTATGTAGAAAAGGTACAGCATTCCAAGAAAGTGGAAGCGTTCTACCCTCCATGTGCCATTTCTGTAAATAAAGTTTTATACAAAGAAATAGTATGATACATGTGAATTTATAAAATACTGGTCAAATAAAAAAACCTAAAAATGAGACACCTTTCCCAGGCCCACTTTTGAATTAACACTAAGTGCATATTTGGAAAACTACTTATCTTAATAAAAACTCAGGCCTTCCTTTTAAAAAAAAAAAAAAAACTAATGTATTTATATTGGAAAGGCAGCTTTACAGAGAAAGAAGAATTGAGAGAAAGATCTCCCGTCCCCAAGTGGCAGCAATGGCCAGAGCTGAGCCCATCTAAAGCTGGAAGTCAGCAGCCAGGAGCCTCTTCTGGATCTCCCACGCAGGTGCAGGGTCCCATGGCTCTGCGCCATCTTTTACTACCACCTAAGGTCACAGAGAGCTGGATGGGAAGTGGGGCTACGAGGACATGAACTGGTGCCCATATAGGATCCCAGCACATGCAAGGCAGGGACATTCGCCACTAGGCTACCGTGCCAGGTCCAAACTCAGGCTTTCTAAACCCTCTTGGAATTTTAATATTTTAGAAAACAAGTGGAAGAAAACTGCTTTCGAAGACATTTAAATTACTTGCATGATTTTGTCTTAAATCTATGCAAATCATCTGAAATCCATGCAAATACACACCTAGGTCTGTCACCTGTCGGTCAAACGGGCAGCGGATGGCTCTCCCGTGCAGAGGCAGGCGGGTGAGGCAGTCGTGACAGACCGTGTGGCCGCAAAGCAGAAGGCGAGGCACCTTGTCCCCTTGCAGCGAGAACACATCCTCACAGACGCCACACTCGAGCACCTAACAATTGAAAAGGAAACAGGCTCTTTAAACGACTGTAAAAATACACACAGTGTAAGTTCAAATAAAAACCAACGAAATACGAGGCCACTTCCAAAAGTCCAAGGAAAGCCGGAATTAAAAAGTTCCTGGATGGGCAGAGTTAACATCATCATCAAAACATCCATACTACCAAAAGCAATACATACATTCAATGCGATTCCAATCAAAACACCAAGAACATTCTTCACGGAGCTGGAAAAAATGATTCGAAGGTTCACTTGGAAACACAAAAAACCATGAACAGCCAGAACTATCCTGGAGATTAAGAACCTAGCAGAAGCAATCACAATCCCAGATGTCCGGACCTATTACAGAGTGGCAGTGATCAAAACAGCCTGGTACTGGTACAGAAACAGGGAGGGAGATCAATGGAGAACAGAAAATCCAGAAGGGGACCCACACATGCACAACTACCCAATCTTTGACAAGAAAAGAAAACAATCCAGGAAAAAATGAAGGTCCCAATAGATGCTGTTGGGACAACTGGCTAATAGCAGTAGAAAGAAGCAGGACCCACACCTTTCACCACACACAGAGATCAAATCTAAATGGATAAAAGATCTACACCTGCACCCAGAAACCATGAAACATTTGGAGGAAAAAGTTGGAAACACTCTGCAAGATATAGGTGTGGACACAGACTTCCTAGAAAAATCATCAAATGCAAAGGAAATCAAGACCAAAATCAACAAATGGGACTACATTAAGCTAAGAAGTTTCTGCACAGCCAAGGAAACAATCAACAAAGTAAAAAAGCAAGCAACAGAACAGGAGAAGATCTTTGCACACTTCACAGAATGCAAAGGGCTAGCTTCCAGAATATACAGAGCTTCAGAACAACAATAACATCAAAACAAACAAACCAGTCAAGAGATGGGCACGGGAAATGGGCAGACACTTTACAAAGGAACAAATTCAAACGCTAACAGATACACGGAAAAATGCTCAGCTCTCTGGCAATAAGGGAAATTCAAATAAAAACAACACCGAGGTTCCACTTAACACCAGAAAGAATTGCCCATCTACCGAAAACTACCAACACCTGCTGGTGAGGTTGCACAGCGAAAGGAACCCTGCTCCCCTGCTGGGGGAATGGAGGCCGGAGCAGTCACTGTGGAGGTCAGTATGGAGAGCACTTAGGCAGTTAACAACTCACCTACCATATGACCCAGCTATACGATTTCTAGGAATACATCCAAAAGATGTGTAACACGAGAACGCAACATGCACCCCAATGTTCACTGCAGCACAATCAACAATCGCAAGAACATGGAAGCAACCTAAATGCTCATCAACAGAAGACTGGATAAAGAAACTGTGGCTCATCTACACTATGGAATACTATTCAGCCCATTAAAAAAAGAAAGAAAGAAATACAATATTTTGTGGCCAAATGGGTCAAACTAGAGACCATTATGCTAAGGGAAATGAGCCAATCCCCAAAAGTCAGATATCACGTTTGCTCTAATATAAGAAAACATGATGTCAAAACTCACTTTAGAAATACATATTAAGAGTTACATCAAGACACTGATTTTTATTTATTTTTTAAAAGATTCATTTATTTATATGGAAGTCAGGGAGAGAGGGCAAGAGAGCGAGCGAGCCCTCTGGCCTCCACTGGTTCACTCCCCAAATGACCACGACAGCTGGAGCTGAGCTGATCTGAAACTAGGAGTCAGGAGCCTCTTCCGAGTCTCCCAAACAGATACAGGGTCCCAAGGCTTTGGGCCAAGGCTTTCCAGGCCATAAGCAGTGAGCTGGATGGGAAGTAGAGCAGCTGGGACATGAACCAGTGCCCATACGGGATCCTCATATGGGGTGCAGGCAAGGTAAGTTACCGCACCAGGTCCTGCTACATGTTTTTAAAGGCAAGACAAGGGCTAGCAGTGTGGCACGGCAGGTAAAGCAGGCATCCCACACAGCTGCAGATTTGAGTCTCGGCTGCTCTACTTCCCATCTGCCTTCCTGTCCGTGGCCTGGGAGGGCAGCAGAGGACGGGCCGAGTGGTTGAGCTCAGTATCCACATGGAAGACCCAGACGAGGGCCCTGGCTCCTGGCTTCTCACCAGCCCAGCTGCAGCCATTTTGGTCACTGTGTGAGTGACACAGCAGTACAAGGACACTCTGTGTCCCTCCCTGTCATCCTGCCTTTCAAAGAAATAAATTTCTATATAACAGGAAAAGCCAAATTTTTACTTCTTCAATTCAATTACATAGAGAAAATATATTCACAATAGGATTAGGTACTATACATGCAATATTTTAATAAAGACTCACTATTGTGACAATGTAGTGTGTTAAATTTGTGACAACGAGCTCAAAAGGACAAGAGTAAAACTTTGCTTCATAGTTCATTCATCTAACTCTGACCCATCACCATCCAAATTTTTTTTTCAAAAAGTATTATCATAACTCCACTTAGTAAATCAAGCAGAAGTCCAAAAATAGCTCATGCACCCACTCAGAAACAGAGTAAGGTCTTCCTTCCTTTGTGTCTACAAAGAGTTATTGAAGAGAAGAGCGCAAGAAATTCAGTCCTAGGTAGGAAAAGCTTCACCCTTCACTAACGCGCCAAAGCAAACCTCAACCTTATTACCACGTAAGTTAAATCTGAATAAACGAGATCCTACCTCAAAAGGACTCAAAAAAAAAAAACCTAAACAAACAAAAGAAACGTTCTGGTTCATTTTAAAAATTACTGGTGTCAGTCTTTGTTTTTCCTAACAATGAAAACCCTGTCAGATTAAGCCAGTCATTAAACTTGATGGAATTTACCTGGCATTAGTATTAGTCAACTTTTTACCTTCCAATGAGTTTGCACCTCATCAGAAAGGACTATCCCACTGCAGTCCCAGGACTGCACAGATTAAAACGAAAACGCCTGTAATATATCAAATTCTGACGCAAATTCTGCTTCAGGTTTTGTTGCACTTTGCACATCATAAAGCAAAGGGGGTAACAAGAAGTAGAAATGAAATGGCCATCCCAGTGATGGAATCAGAGCTTACTCAAAAGCAATCTGTTGGTAGTATCTACTTAACAAGGGAACACTAAGTAAAAACCTCAGCCATGCGCCATTCCCCGGAATGAGAGCTCTTCTGTGTCTTGCGCATGTATATTCACAATCACTTAGCACATAAAGGTCAGCTGAAAAAAAAAAAAACCACCAGCAGAACTGACAGACACTAAGGTGTGGGCCCAGATGTGTCACCTGCTGTTACATAAAGCCATCCTTAGATGAGAAAGCATAATCGCCTGCTAGTCAAGAGGTCAAAAGAACGTTGACATGATCTGGTTCAGCGATGCCGCCTCCCCTGAACGTTACAATCACTTCCGGAGTTGACATACACCGAGGGGCGCCGCTCGAATCCGCAGCCCAAGTCCCCAGCGATCCGGACAGGCGACCAGGAGAATGACCCACCCCGGTAGGATGCACCTGTCAGATCACTTCTCCCTGGCAAATCTTTCGATATTTTGAAAGTGCAGGTGGAGAAGCACAGCCTATTTCAACTGACTTTTTAGCAACTGCATCATGAGCGCATTCATTCACGGTAAAATGTCAAGGTGGAAGCACGAGCCCCGCTACAGCTGGAGACCCCTCCCAGCGTGGCTGACCCACTGTCCCACCAGGAGGGCAACGGGCGACTCGGCCAATCAAGGACCTCTGACAGAGAAGCTGTGCCGCCGCCGAGAGAGCAGATTCCGGCGTCGCACTCCATGGCAACCTCCGCCCGGGTCTCATCCACTAACCGGCTGAAGACGCACCACAGCTCCCCAGACAGGCCGAGTGGCGGCCTCCACAAAGGCCAGCTCCCGCCCACAGCGCCACAGGCTGCGCTTCACCCACGACCCCGCCGTCACGACCGGACTGCGCGGCTGCAGGCCCGACGGGCTGAGGGGCACGGCTCGCCCGGCGGACACCCGCCCACCCGGGCCCGGGGCGCGGGGCCCCAAGGCCGGCCGACCGTGGCCCCCTCACCTTCACCACGGCCGTGCCCCGGCTGCCTTGCCGGCCGCTGTCGGCTCCTGCTCCAGGCTTGTTGACGAGCACGGCGGCCATCCCGGGCGGAGCGGCGGCGCCGAGGGCCCTCGAACCCGCGACGGGGAGGCGGGGCCGTGCGCTACCCACAGGTCTCTGCGCGCGCCGGGGGAGGCGGGGCTGCGCGCTACCCACAGGTCTCTGCGCGCGCCGGGTGAGGCGGGGCTGCGCGCTACCCACAGGCCTCCGCGCGCGCCGGTGGAGGCGGGGCCGCGCGCTACCCACAGGCCTCCGCGCGCGCCGGGGGAGGCGGGGCCGAGCGCTACCCACAGTCTGTTAGCCAGGCGTCCTCACGCCTTTGTTATTTTTGCTGCTAACAAGTCCGCTACTCACGGAAGTACAAAAAGGTCCAGGGGAAAGGAGAGATAACAACGAATTAAACTTTGAGAATGGAATGCCGTGGCCTGTAATGATTCCTAATTTCCAATTGCGCGAAGCAAAGAGAAAAACTACATCTCCCTACATGTAACGCGACCTTTGCGCGTACTACAAATCCCAGCATGCTCCTCTCCTCCCGCCCCCGGATTTTTCCCCCAAGTAGGAAGTCGTGTGTTGTTACCCAAGCCTACTACTTTCAAGTCGCGATGTGCGACTGTAGATGCAAAATACAGTACTTTATGTATAGATCTCCAAGAGCCAAAGGATGGCTTTGGTGAGAAGCAGCCGGGGGTTCCGCCCAGGTCGTGGTAAAAGGAGAATTTAAGCAACCGGAGACGAGAGGCGCTGCGGGGAGGCCGTTTGACGCTCGTTCTTCGCGAACGTGCGCTGCCTCGTTTCCTTCCGGGCCAACTTGAACCTCTGCAGCTCCCGTAGGCCGTGAGTCAGAAGGGCCGGTCAACATGGAAGTGAATCCCCCGAAACAGGAGCACCTGCTGGCGCTGAAAGGTGAGCGAGTGGCGAGCCGAGGGGAGGGTTTACTGCCCCGTGTCCCGGGCGGGGCTGGGAGCTTCTCTCGGACCTCCGCCGCTTCGGTCACGGCGTTGCCGTCTCCTCCCGGGGAGGCCTCCGTCAGCCGGCTGGTTCCCTCCGGTTTCTCGCCTCTTAGTGTGGCGCTCAGGACGGCGCCAGGCTTCGGGTTTATTTGGAGTGTTAGGATTGCGTGGTAACTGTGCCAACGGTTTAATTTAGGCTTGTGAAAATATCTGCTGCCACGTGTAGTTGACCTGTTCGCGTCGTTGGGTCCCCAGTCTTAACCGCGGGTCACAATACGCGAGTCAGATTGAACTAAAAGTCCCAGCTGTTTGATCGCTATTTCCTAACCCATACAGTAGAGCCACTATTTATATAGGACGGACTTAAATCCCTGCTACCCACGTGGAGAGACCCAGTGAGCTCCCCGGGATCCCGGCTCCAGCCCTACCTGATAAACCGACACACAAGCTAGCGCCCGCTCTCTTTCTGACCCTTCTCCGTCCCTTTCCAACTAAAACGGTGGAAAATTTAAAGGGTTGCCTTGTATTCAATATTATGAGTCATCCGGAAATTATTTAAAATATAAACGAATATGTTTTTGGGTCATATGCAAATGTACACCATTATGTACCTGTATGTGTGTGTAGAACCTTCTGGAGATAAGCATCCTACAGTCTCACGCTGTGATATCCCAGGGTGATCCGAGGTCACTCTGAGGATTACCAGAGGACCATCCTGTTTGTGTATGTGGGAAACTTAACAGTTTCGTTTTGTATATATGGCAATTTTAGTAAGTTTGGTAATATTTTTCTTGAGTTACTGTTGCTCTCTGAAACTCGTATATTTGAAATGCTTCCAGTTTCACGTGTCTTCTGCTATGACAAATGTATGTTTTCTGCGTGCCCCTGTCTGGGGTGGACTGTAAACATTAGTATGCAGGCTGGCTTTCACTGGTCCTCCTTAGGCCATGGCCCCAGGGTGAAGGGTACACAGGATTTGGTGACTGGAGTTAAGGGGTCCACAGCCACACCAGGAAACTTTGCAGGATTAAGTATTATGACTGGGAGCAAGTTCAAGACCGAAATGAGTTATTCATGGAAAAACGGAACAAAGAAGGAAAGGAGCTAATTGTTCTTTATTTTGCAGTATCTCTACAAGCATGTAATGGTTATTCTTTTCCTCTCAGAGGTTAAGTGGTCTAGTGAAAGTGAAACAGGATTTCAACACAAGACTTGCCTCCAGCTTTTCAAGTTCCTCAGTTATCTCCTTCTTGGGCCCGAGGCGATTGCATAGCAGTAAAGTCTTCACCTTGAACTTGCCAGGATCCCATATGGGCTCCAGTTCTAATCCCAGCAGCCCCACTTCCCATCCAGCTCCATGTCTGTGGCCTGGGAAAGCAGTCAAGGATGGCCCAAAGCCTTGGGGCCCAGCACACGAGTAGGAGACCCAGAGAAAGCTCCTGGCTCCTGGCTTCAGATTGGCTCAGTTAATCCCTTGCGACCACTTGGGGAGTGAAGTATCTGATGGAAGATATTCCTCCTCCTTTCTCCTCCTCTCTGTATATCTGCCTTTCCAATAAAAAGAAATAAATCTTTAAAAAAAAAAAAAAAAAGAGTGAAACAGCTTGTTCAAAGACAATTCGCTTGCCAGTTACTATACAGGAATTTGCAAGTTCTGTTTGCTAATAGTTGTGGCTTAAAAAAAAAAAAAGATGTGTTTATTTTTGTTGGAAAGGCAGGATCTACAGAGAGGAGAGAGAGAGATATTCCTTCTGTTGGTTGACTCTCTTAAGTGGCCTCAACAGAACTGAGCCGATCCCAAGTCAGGAACCAGGAGCTTTTTCGAGGTCTCTCAACTGTGTGCAGGGTCCCAAGGCTTTGACCATCCTCTGCTGCTGTGTCAGGCCACAAGCAGGGAAGTGAATGGCAAATGGAGCAGCCAGGGCACAAACTAGTGCCCATATGGGATCTTGGCGCTTAAAGGGGGAGGATTAGCTAATTGAGCCACTGTGCTGCGCCCTCAATGTGGCTTTCCTACAAATCAGAAACTTGTAATACAGTGAAATTGTGGTGATGTGGAGACTGACTGTCACCAGGGCTTTTTGGTTTTTGTCTTCTTTATTTTCTGAAACAGAAGTCAGCTAGGGAAGTATGGTTAAGTGGCCTAAAGAGCCAGTGGCTTAACTTTTTCTGATGTTTTCTGCTTTGTTAGAACTCTCTGTACTCGTCTTTCCTGTTAGTCGTCGGAGTTTCTAAAAGTTTTAATTTTATCGATGTTGAATGCCAGGCAACTTGTCATTTTAAGTTTACATTCCTGTACTTCAATATGTAACATCTTGTTGCTGTTAAAAAGAGAAAAATGCTCATTAACCGGAGCCTTAAAGCTTTGGTTTTCCCAAGTATTAGTGCTGAATAACTGCAGACAACAGAGAGAGGATTCTTAGTGCTTTATCTCACAACATGAACGTGTAAGGGAAAGGGGCAACAAAATCATTACTAATCCTTGAAAGAGTATGTTGTCATTACAATTATGGATGTAAAGAATCATAGTCCTTTTTGAATTAGTTGTCACATCTGTCAGTGGACACTGATGGTATGTGAGAAGAATCATGCAGTTGGTTCCTGTTGGGCTCCTGGACTCAGACACGGGTTTTGTTACGACATCCCAACAGGAGTTCCTGTACATAAACTAACGATGGCAAAGCTTTCACCAAGTAATTCTCTAGTTATCTTTTTGTGGAGAAGAGATTCTGATTTTCTCCTAGCACCTTGCATGTGGTCAGGAACCCTAATTTGCAGCTGGAAGACTCCATTGCTAAGTCTGTGTACTATGCTAGAACCTATTGATTGCTTAATTTGGAGCATCCGTGTTCTAAGCAGAACTAGAAACAAGAATCTAAATATCTTGTTCATCCTCCAGATTGGAATTCTGGACCCATGCCATGTAGGCTCTGGATACTGTGGAAGTGCTGTGTCACAAAACCACTCGCTAGCCTGGTTAAACATGCGAAATAGATTCAGAATTCTGTTCTTGGTGTTGACTGAGAATCAGCTAAAACCACTAGATAGTCTACCTATGGTTTTTGGTTTTTTGGTGTTATTGGCTTTTTCCTTTTTTTAAAAAAAAATAGAATTCATGTATTTTAAAATTTAGGAAGATTCATTTTCATGCACCTAGGTTAAAAATTACAGTGGTTTCATTGTCCTCAATTCAGATTCCTAAATTATTACATACTACATTTATTTCTCTCTTTTTCTTTTAAATTTATTTATGTATCTGAAAGGCACAGCTACCGAGAAAGAGGTTGAGACCAGAGAGAGATCTTGCATTTAGTGGTTCACTCCCCAACTGGCTGCAAGGGCCAGAGCTGGGCTGGCCCAAAGCCAGGAGCCAGGAGCTTCTTCAGGTCTCCCACAGGAGTGCTGGAGCTCAAGCACTTGGGGCGTCCTCCACTGCTTTCCCAGGCCATTAGAGGATCAGAAGAACAGCTAGGATGCCATTCAGCACCCATGGATTATGCTGGTGCTTCAGGCAGTGGCTTTACATACTGTGCCACAGCACTGGCCTGTAATGTCACTGTCATTACGGATGCGATACTTCAGCAGTCACCGTGTATCAGTTGAGTTGATCGTGTCAACGCCTGTGTTTTTATGCTAGAAATGATCTTAAAAGACAAGTAGTTTAGATTCCTTACTTTGTTGAGAAAGGATTTTCATTGTATGGTTTACATTTACAGCAATATTTGGGTAATGCAGTATGTTGGGATCTGTTTGGAGTTTTGTTTTTCTTTTTCTCCCTGCCTATTTGCATGCAGGCTATGCCTACCATATCTTATTCTTTGCTTTAGGTCCTGATTGCCCCTGATTTGGCAAGAAAATGTTGTAATAATAAATTCCATTGTAGTTCTGAGGAGTTCAGCTGAGAAATTTTCATTAAGAGTAACGAGATTACTGCAGAATGACTACAGAAATAATATTACATTATCGACCATATGAGAATGATCCCACACAACTGTCAAAAATTGCAGAAAAGGTAATTCAAGACTTCCCTACTCGTCCACAATCAAGATTTATTCCTTGGTTTCCATATGACGGGTCCCGACTTCCAGTCAAACCTAAGAGGTCTCCACCTGCGATTTCCAGAGAGGCCGTGGAAGATGTGAGACGGTCCTTGACCGTTTTCAAACAGCAGGTGCAGGCGCAGAGCTATGACTGCACGGTAGGCCTGTTGGAGTTTCAGCCTCGTCTGACAAGGCGGCCGTTGCTGCTGTCACACTCGCTGGATGTGCAGGCTCCCCCTGGACAGCTGCGGGAGCAGTCGGAGCAAGGACAGCAGCACAAGAGGAGATCCTGGAGTGTCTCGCTTCCCAGCAGCCAGAGGCCTGGAGAGATTCTACCTTTGTCCAAAAAATTGCAAGACACCTTGAAGACACTAAGTTTACATTCACTACATAGAGCAAGATGGACGATAGAACACACTACTTGTAAGCACCAAACTCTGGAAGATATTTGGGCAAAACTCAATCGAATTATCAGGCACAATGAACTTCCATCCTGCAATGCTACAATTCAGAGACATTTAAGCCAAATATGGGTGTTCTGTGATATTATCTACTGTGAATATGTGGGAAATCTTCTTAAAAAAAGATTAGATCTTACTGGAAAAATTAATTTGTTTGTGCATAAGTATGGTGTTATTTTTAGTATGTAATGAATCCCACTGATGATCCCAAATGGGAATGCTCTGGATGAACTGAGTATGAAATGAAATAGTTGAATAAACTTTTTCTGGCTTTTAAATTTTTAATGACTATTGCTTCTGTTTGCTGCTCTTCTCATATAGTCTATTTATTCTTAAAATAGTAGAAAATCATATTTTGTGGGATTGTGTTACAAGATATGTGCCAGAAATGAGTAAGTACCAGGAACTCCTAGGTTTGTTCATTGAGAACTTTCTGGCAGCCTGCTTAAAAT